ACCACAATGGCCTGAGCTTGCTGAGGTAATCCTCTAGAGGTTGGGAGTCAGGTGACATCCCAATACGGCTAGTATCATGTGTGGTTACCTCCTATTCCTCCGAGGCCTCCCATACTCCTAGATAGATCAATCAATCACGTAACGTATTCCACAAGCGAGCGGCGCATACAAGCGAGCGGCGCACCCGAGCCATAGCAAACCACTTCACAAGTAGATATCTCTACAACGCCAAATAAAACCAATTATTTTTAATATCTAGTCTATTCTACAGTATCTTGCCGACCTAGAGGACATGTTTCAATACGATGTCCTACCTCACGGCAGCGTCCACATCACCTTCGACGCGGCGCTGCCCCATCCTGCAGGGTACGACTTTGACGTATTTCTTGAGAAATTTGGGACTCAACGGCGGAATGATTAATTAAATCCTGTCCCTCCTCAATCGTTAAGGATCCTCTCTCCTGAATTCGCTTTTTTTTACGTTGTCTTCGCTGTGTTGCGAGCTTGTTTGCCTTTCGAAGGCTCTCGGTTTCAGCCTCCAAAATCGTGAGCGAATGGACCATCGCCTGGGCGCCCTTGACGAATTGATTAAGCGCTTCATTGATTGGTGTAGGCGAGCTATCATGATGGTTCGCAATACGGCTTTGAATTAACGTCGATTGAGCCGCTAATTCAATGGCGTTGCTTGGTGTTTTCGTCTCCCATTGAGCATCCTCAGCGGCTGGAGTCGGAGTCCTTGGTCTGACGTCGAGCTTCGAAATCACGGCTTCAGGGTCGTACGGAACTAGCCCTGAGCCTCGGAATGCCCCACAGATATTCTTCTTCGTAAGAGCGGCTTCGTGTGCGGCTTTGAATGCTGGTAGGAACTCGAGTTTGGTGATGTGGTTGATAGAGTTCCGTATCACGTCCTCAATCTGATATCCGTACGCCTTCTTCAAAGGCCCAAAACAACCCACATCAAGCGGCTGGAGGATATGGGACGCGTGCGGAGGCATACAAAGCGTAATAATGTTCTTCTCTTTGCAGAATTCCTGGAATTGAAGCGAGTTATGGCTCTCATGCCCATCAATGATCAGGAGACGCCAGCCTCCGGTTGTACGAGGCGCTGTATGCTTCTCAAAATGCTGTAGCCATTCAAATCCAAGCTCATTCGTAGTCCATCCATTGTCGCTTAGGGTCAAAACCCAATCCTTTGGTATATCGTCGCTGTACCACGCTGAGAGGTGGTATTGTCCACTGAAGACCACGAAAGGTGGGATAGACCAGCCTTGAGCCTTGACTCCCTGAATAACCGTGACCCATTCGCGATTGCCTGGCTGTATCGCTTTAGGTCGATGTCGTCTCTCAGAGGCTGTGATAACCTTGGCTGTTGCGATAAGGCCCATCAGGAAGCCTATTTCGTCCATGTTATAGATATCGTCCTCATGGATGCCGTACTTGGCGATGGTATTGCGTACGAGCTCAAACCAGCCCTTCATGATCTCTGGGTCCTCATTCTGGGCCCTCTGATAGTCTAACCGTCGATTGAAGCGCATTTTGAGCTTAGGGGTCCGCTTAACGAAGTTTGAGGCCTAGTTGACGCCGACGCTTCCGCTATCCCGAGCAGCAAGTAGCTTATTAGCCATATCTTCAACACCACCCAACCGGGGCCCAAATCCTCGCGATTTCAGGTCCAAGATATGTCGAATAATAGCCTTCTCCTCTAGATCCGTAAGTTTTCTTGAATTGGGCGTACAGTCGCGTCGTGAAGGGATTCCGGCGCGTCGCCGACGAAGGGTAGTTTCAGCTGCACCATAGGTTCTTGAAGCATCTCGATTACTCTGAATTTGGCCTTGATCGATAGCAAATTTTGCTAATTGTACCCAACCTTCATTTTGAATTGATTGGGGTTGAATTGATTGTTCCATTGTTGATGAAAGATAGAGAGACGCGTTTTGTGGTTGGGGTGCGCCGCCCGCTTGTTGCGCCGCTCGCTTGCGGAATACGTTATCAATACTTCTACAAAAGCGACAGGAAGAAAACCATAATATGGATAACCAGTAAAGTGATGGTCAAGTTACACAGATATTCTGTGGCAGCTCTTCGAGTCTCCTCTCATGTCGCCAACGAGTAAAAGTGAGGCCCTCGATACATAATGGGCGGGCCATAAGAAAGTAGGTAGCCTCGCCATCTTCCCGCCTTCGACTCCTTCCATATAACTATATTACAGCGGATCCCCACATGGGCCTCGCAGAGAGGCCTGACGGGCGTATGAGTATCTTTCTCTATATTACAGCGGAATCATGCGGCCTTGCTACGTGTTTCTTGCCTTCCCCGTATAGAACCAATTTCATATTTCATGCTCTCGTGCCTCAACCTAAAGGTGGATGATTGACGAGAGGAAACCACATCACTCAGGAAACTTCCAACCATTCTAGAAAGTGATAGTCTCGCTGTGGAACGGCATCGTTGACATCGCCAACCAATATTCCTGGAAACCATTCACGGTGCTGCAGGTGATTATCACGGTTCGCGATTGGGTCTATTGGTGTGATCCCAGTTGATATGGAGTAGTGGTCATTTTCTCTGGGAAGCCCGTTCTGATGTGGGCTATATTATGCCAGCTCGTTGACTGATGAAGCCAAGGAGAGGTGTCGCATTAATGAACGGCCAGTTGAAAGTCCGCCATGGCTTCTGTCCGCACAAATGTCAACCATGAGGTCTGCCGCTCGCCTCAATACATCCGAAAAGATGACGGGGACTGTCTCAATAGCCCGTATAATGAAGGTCGAGCAGAATCCAAGGCTGATAAACACGAATCCAGGGAAGTGCCTCAACTGTTCGCGCCTCTCAATTTCCAAACCTTAACACTTCAATAGACCATTTGCGCCACGTCCAAAACAGGTGTAGCGAGGCAATAGGAAATGCTTCTTGGGCACCTGATTCATGAATCATCGGACCGTTGCGTACATGATCTTTTACCTTTTTTGGTCAGGAGAGCTCGGATAGACCAGGTTAAGATCGACGAAGCCACATCAACCAGCCAGCGAGCCGGCCGAGGTAGAACCAACCGAAGAGAACATCTCTAAAATGTTACCAGCCATAATGCGACTTCCGAGCGAGCGTCCAAGAAGGAACATTTGCAACATGATCTTTCTCAGTCTCACGTCGAAGCTCGAGATGATCCTAGACAGCTCTATGCAGTATGCACATACACTTCCGTTCTTGCTTGGGGAGATCCTTATTGATCTCAAAGTTCATAGCTCACACTCAAAGCCATTCTGCCCATTCAACACTGTCAAAGAAGCGAGGTTATTGAGGTAACTAGTTAACAGTTCCCTAAGTTAGTTAGTTAACTAACTAACTTAGTTTGAGTAGTTAGTAACTATAACTACTCCATGGTAATCTTTGCTGCCCGAGTTTAAATTGAGGATAGCAATTGTGGTAGATCTAAGGTGAGTAAAGTTGGTACAAGATCGGATGAAATTGCTGACACTCATACAGCTCCACCCACCTACTTTGGGTCATAGTCCAATTTTTGAGTACGCCCACAGCCGCCTTATAAGGGGTCAGATCACAGATGTGGCCGCCTTTGAATCTGAATAGCAGTATCCCGGTCCGGCTCCGGATGCGGATGCAGGTGCGGGAGCCGGTATGGGTCCCGGGGTCCTCGCCTGGAGCCATCGGCTCGCACGTTCCTCGCCCCCCTCAACCCCATCCTTAGGTTGTAAGGGTTCATTCAATTCATTCGATTCATCATTCATGCAAACTGCGACGAGGTAGATTCCCCATGGGGTCAAATCCTTCGTAAAGGCTGGCCACTTGGAAAAGCTTCTATATTGGGTTGCCTTTGCCCAACTGACTCGACCATGTATCTTGTGAAGGCATACAATCTCTGGATTGATCTTCACTCATCTCGTGTTTATAAGATCATCTGCCTCACCATGATACTCTCTTCCACGCTCTTTGTTCTAACCTTGATTGTATCGGCTTCGGCTACTCCCATGATCCTCACCCAACAAACCCTTCCTGTTAACCCAGTCGAATGCGGCGAACAGTCTTGCATCGTGGCAGCGTCCGCCCGTTCATCAAGTGACAAACCACCAAGTACGACACCGAAAGGTGGCAGCGCAGCTGGAAACGCTTGCGCGATGGAAAACTTGCGGATTCTCCAGAGCGAAGGGCGCATACCCGCAAATGACACATTGGAACCACCTACTCTCTCTACTCGTGGTGCCAAAGAGCAGTTCGATGTCAGACAGCTATCCGGTTCGGGTTGCAAGCCCTACACTCTCATATATGCCAGGGGTACCTTCGAGCCTGGAGCTTTTGGTATTAGTGTGGGTCCACAGCTAACGCACGGAATTTCGTTGAAGATGCCAGGACAGTGGAAAGGGGTTGGTGTGGAAAAGGGTTATGATGCAGACTTGGCAGGTAAGTTCCAGCGTTATGAAAGCAGTAGTACCTGCTGATCATTTGCAGGCAACGCCTGTGGTGGTATTCCCGGCGGCATTGCCTTGATGCGATATCTCGAAGCTGAGGTGCAGAAATGTCCCCAGACCAAGATCATGGTCGCTGGTTATTCTCAAGGTGCCATGGCTGTTCATAATGGATTGGCATACTCCCGCCCAGAAGCGAAAGCCAATGTCATTGTAAGTCGAAGATTCCCACTCCCTAATCGTTAGGACATGATGCTTATATTGTCCATTCGCCAGGGTGCTGTTGTGTATGGTGATCCAATGAAGGGAGCTCGGATTATTGGTTTCCCTTCGGAGAAACTGCAAACCTACTGCGCTGCTGACGACCCTGTGTGCGAGGGATATGCCGCTATCACACTTACACATTTCTCGTACCTTGTTGGCTCTCCGTCGGATGTCCAGAGAGGGGTCGATTGGATTGTCGCCGCTGCTAAGGAGGCGAAATAGGGTTCAGACAACATAATTGAAGATGTGAATCGGGTTTTTTGTCTGTCCACGGGTCGACTGCTAGTATCTAATGCGCAACTTTCGTGCGCGTGGAGCTACTTCCTATAACCCCCTGGTGACTCACTTTTGAACTCACCACGCCGAGATGGATGACCCTTGGACGGACAGTCGCCCGACTCAATGATCAACGAACAAATCTTGAGACTGTTTGCTAAGAAAGTGCTCAACGGGGGCCGTTTAGCCGACCATAGTTCCAATTACGTCGCGGTCCTCAATTTCGCTGACACTTGCTGTTGCTCGTTCATCTCGTGCGGGATGAAACCATCCGAACCAATCCTGCCGAGGCATGTAGCGAGTTATCGATAGCCCGCCGGCGAAAGGACGATCAGGCGCACTACTAACGGCGGAATCTTTGTATATCTTACCAGCACCTGTCTTAACGCATCTTGCATATGACGAGCCGGACGATCTGATGACTAATCTAATGCGTCCGCCTCCAACTTCGCCGGATGGAATTATCAACCGGGTTCGGTTCACGCAGCGGGACCGGCAGCCGGTTGAGCGATAAATGAGTTCAACCCCCTGCTAGTCAGCCAACCACCGAGATAGGATATCTCTTTGGATAATTGCTAAGATTGGAATACCTGCCTGGGGATCCGATTCAGTCAGATCAGTGGGAGGACACTTCACACGAGATGAGGATGTGGCTATGTGTGCTAGAAAATATGTTGGTTAATATTATATAGGAATATGCTTGGCGTCGTGAAAGCGACCTGGAAGAATCGCGATTCACAGAGTTGACAATCCGATGGACTGAATTACACTGAATGGCAATGGGATCTATTAATTTCAACCCGCGCGGAGCCTCTAACGAAATTATAGAACCAATATCCCGACTCGCATACTTATGTTTCCATTACCACGATTCATCATCTCAGACCTCAAGATGCCTGTTCTAAATCCCATTCGACTCGCAGGTAAACGGGCCTCCAAAACTGTCGGCATTGTACCCATCGACAATGCTCTGCACCGAAGCCTGCGCGCGGGATCAGTATTCGTTTTCGAAATCAAAGGATTTGCACTCACATAAGTTCCGCCAGTCAGGAAAAAGAGGCCAGTGATGCAGAGGAAGATGTTGACAAAAAGGCCGAACCACCCCCTGAAGCCTCTCTTTTCCCAGTATCGCGGCCCGTAATCCATGCGCCTCATGCGCATGTACGCAACACCCCAGAAGATGAACCCGAAGAAGGAGTCAAAAACAGAGCTCATCAGACTCAGCAGATCCCCGAAGAACGGGATCACCTCCGCGATGATGAACGCTACGATCCATGTGACCGCGAGGATCGCCGCCCACGTCACCCAGCCGACAACGGTGTGGCTACCCAGATGTCGGGTGCCGCTGAATACGTTGAAGAAGATGAAGCGGGCGGAGACGGAGGCGTAGAGGACGCCGAGGAAGATTATCGTTGGGATCATGAAGGAGAAGGAGACTTTCTTATACACCTCGTTCCCGAGCACGGCAAATGCAGGGGATGCGTTGTAGTTTGAGCCGCTGAATGCGTACCTGTAACAAGTCAGCACAATTTAACCCATGGTTAGACAGGTTTGCTTACATCACCGATCCGACTATTGAAAAGACGATGACCTCTGCGATCGTCACGGCCCACAACGCCTTAGGGAAGTCCTTTGGTTCCTTCATCTCGGCGATGAAGGACGGGAGTGTGATCTGGCCGATGAACGTGTAGCTGATGTTCATGAAAGCGTTCATTCCTGCAACGAAACCCGTACCCGCCGCAGGGATGATCAGGATTTCAATCGGACCTTTCGAGGGATATCCTGCTGGATGGTCCTCAATGCCAGCGAATATTGTTGCAAGGATCACGGAGACGAATGTGAAGATCGCCGATGCAGTCGCCAAGGAGGAGAGGGTCGAAAAGGTCCGGGGCAGCGAGCAAGCCCATGAGATAATTGCGGTGAGGACAGAGAAGGTGATAGTGCAAAGACCGTGGTTGGTTACCGAATTGAGATATTTGGACCCAACAAGGCAGTGGAACCCCTGGTGCGGTCAGCAGTGGCTTCTTCTGCTTCTACTGGCTACTCACTTGGATAAATGTGTTGTTGCCAATGAACAAGGCCGCCGTGAGGTACCACGCCCACGACTTGCCCCAGAAGAGCATTTGTCCAATATCACACACATCTTTAACTTCCGGATGGCGCATACAAAATTCCCTGCGCCCGTCAGGAAAGCCAATCTCGATCAAGGTTCCCTACATACCAGACAATCAACGACGTGTATAACACTGTCCCGGCGATCACAATAGTGAGGATCAGCCCTGGAACCAGTCCAAGAACTGCGTACGAGTAGGGAAAAGACATGATAGCCAGGCAAATATATTCCGAGAATAATAATGCGGCAGTCTGTGCTGCCGGTGTTAGTAATGCTAATCAGAGGAATAAATTCATATATCCTCATGCGATCGATGAAATATGGATAGAGTGTGCAATCAGATTGTACCTTTTGCCAGCTGCAGCTACGATATTTGATAGCATTATCCTTCTCCAACGCGATCTGCTCTCCAACACTGACTGTGTCCGCTTCGGTTTTTGTCGCAGCAATAGAATGAGTGCGGGGTCTGTCGATACGGCTCATTCGGCGACCGACATCATGACCAGCATCCCACCCTTCATGTTCTGGTTTGGGGATGGCATATTGCTTTTGAGCTTCTGGATCCGCGAGAAACGAACCGGAACTGTTGGGAGATCTTTGTTTCTCGCAAACCGAGTCTTTCAACGCCATTTTACAGAGCGGATCAACCAGATGAAGGGCGTGTAGAGCAGAAAGGCGAAAAAGCGTCTGATGGGCAGCATTTATCTGCGGTTCTAGGTTTTGAATGATGGGTTCGAACAGCCTCCTAAGGGTCAAAGACAAGACTCGTAGGAAGTTCTGGAAAAAGGAAAGGAAAGATCGACGTGGAGGTCGAGGTGATGGCTACCTTTTAAGACCCACGACGTCAGATGAAATCAGCCACGCTACCGGTAGGATCAACCCGTCGTGGAGCTGGGATTTTTCGCCTTTCGGTAGAGTTACGAGGCGAGCCCACCAAAACATCAATTGCATTAAAGAGAAGTTGCACCGTGGACCGTGGAGATGTTCTGGAATTGTGGTAGAAGGAGTGGTGGGCTCCCAAGAATCCGATGATGCATTTTGGGTGATATCCTGCGGTCATCCTGGGCACGCTTGGGGCTATCATTCGCTCACTCAGAGGGAGCTAAGAAAGTGCTTAGTTTTAGATTCGAAAAGCTTGGAAGTCTCTGCAAAACGGATCCGATTCGAACGGACCAAGCTGTAACGGCCATCTCCGCCTGGTAGGGGTTCCGAGAGTGATAGACCACACTCGACAGAACAAGGAGGGATTTTCTGTTTGTTCGGACACCGCGGCCTATCCGCATAACTAGATAACATCCACGGCGAAATCATTGGAAGCCTGTCCCCTAGATTCCATCACGGCCTGCGCCTAGCATCCCACCCGCCACACGGGACCTTGTGGAGTGGCGAAACGAGTGTGGATGATCTCCCAGGTCGACCAAGATGCTGAGGAGATTGTGGGTGAGACCATGGAGAATATCCGCGGGGTCCCAGAAGCTGAAGCGGGCCTTAAGTTGATCCTCTTCCCAACAGATTCTCAACCGAGGAGGGTGGCAACATGGAAGGTTTTGATGATAGAAATTTCACCAGTTTAGAAATTGCCATGATGGATGGTTGTGATACGGTAAGGTAAGCTTGATGGAAGTAAGCTCTGCCAACACTTCTTAGCTGCTGGGCAGTCTAACCGCGATAGGTCCAATCGCATCAGATGAAGCTTGCTGAGATCCAACGCCCTTGACGTCGATGATGCGTCGCAAATTGATACCAGCAACATCAACCTAAGCACCAGTAACTATTTTCTGACTTACGGGCTTAATTTAGGTAGAAATTGTGTGATACATACCTGTACCGTATCGGTTAGGATTTATCCTCTACCACTCATCGACTCTCAATCAGGACAAAAATTCTTAGCCTCGAAGGATATCCTCGGGGCTTTGCAACCTCTCGGTGCCCATTCCCGTACTCGAGTATTCTACTCCGTATTCGTGGCAGGTTAGGATGTACCAATACAACTCTTGGCTAAGCCTACCAGTACCTGTTTTGCCGTTTCCTACCCCGGGGTCCACGTCAAGGCTACCTTGTTACGCACTATCTCGTTGCCCGTTTAGGCATCTCGGTCTACGATGCCGTCAAATAAAGACTGGCTCTATGTCATCCTTTACGTTCGCGGTCGAAAGTCGAAAATGCCGGGGCTAGAAGACATGTTAAGTAGAAAGTGTTGAATGTGATGTCGACCAAACGTCATTGACCAGGTCTGGATACTTACATCTGGGCATTTATTCATGGCCCAGAGGCTGAGGCAGACGACAAGTCAGGTTGTCGATTTCACGTTAGAGACAGACTGGACTTTTCGAGCGGATCTCCGGTGGCAGTATGGGAGTTTGAGGAGCGAGATATTCCCCGTCAGCCGACCGCAAGACTTCTTGTCCGAATCATGATCCGGTAATCACCTGGCTCCTGCGGCATAAGATTATGACTCCAACCTCTCCACCCTTTCAAAAGAACAAGAATAGAAGAATAACGTAAACGGCCTGGGACGGAGGAAATTGATGGTTCTAACAGGTCCCCCAAGCCTTTGACAGCTCTCCATCGTTATTTTCACCTCTTTTCCTCTTGACACAAAGAACAAGTTACCGGTTTATTATCCTACTCGTTGTGGCAGCAGCAGCCAGGTGTCAAAGGCAGTTAGGATATTTTCGATATCCTCCGATGCTCTAGGCCAAGAAGGTGATTAAGTTCAAGTCGAACTCGTTTTATACCATCGTCTTTAATACTTCACTGCGCTTAGGTGCCGCGAAAACCATTCCAATGCCTGCTCCTCCGCCTTTTTCGCATCTCGCGTTTGGTTCGCATTGCTCGGATCGGCCCTTGCCATGCCCGGCCCCTTCATATACCGTCACTTCCGTCGGTACGGACGGATTGTTACCAAAGATCTCCTTGACCCCTTCGATCTGGTGGACCGATAGTAGGTAGTCGTTATCCCCAATCGCAAGGGATACAGGTTTCCGAATCTTCTCGAGGTCCCCTGGAATCTTAATCAGGCCTGGATGACCTGTGAAGGATGCATCCACTAGGGGCACACCGTCGACGAAACTCTCCTCGTGCGTCAGATTTACCACATATCGGCCGCCCCAGCAGAAACCCGCGGCGCCGATTCCAAGTTTTGCGCCCTCATTCTTGCGGACAGCTTCGAAGAAGGAATGTACACGGGGCCAGGCGACGGAATAACGGTTGAAGGTGGCGACAGAGATGAATGAGGAAAGACCCTGCGCCGCGTAATATCTGGCTAGAGTAAGTATCGATCCCGATGCTTTGTTATAAGCTAGCCGTGGAGGACCTACGGCTTCCAAACCCAATCCCAGATGCTGTCGTTCTTCATCAGGAGTGGCATACTCTCCATCGTTGATACAGGTGCGGCCCAGCCTTGGATTTAGTCCACTTCCACCGAGCTATAAAATGGTGATGGGTTGAATGTTCGTACCGTCCATAAAATCTATGAGGTAGACGAGATAATCTCCTCCAGCCGAATAGTGATCTGCGAGAATCCTGGTGTTCACAAACTCCCAACCAAAAACATCCGGAACGATGATGATAATGCCCTTTGGCTGCTTCCCCTCCTCCGGCTCCGCGATGTAGGTTGGTCGGCCATGGATTGTTTCGACGCGGCCCTTTGGTTGGCCTTCGTGAACATGACCGCTGAAGCATGCAGGACAAGACATGATTACAATATTTAGATTATCTGGATGGATTTCACCAGTGATATCGAGCTTAACTAGAAACGCCTGAGGTGAGGAAGGGATGAAATTGTATACCTACCCCGCGCGGTAGTTATTCAGATTTCGGTCGATACCTATTATATTCCGCATGGCCTGATAGTATTTGAGATTTCGATATTTGAGATATTAGTATTTAAGAATTTGCGAATTAGTGAAGTTAAGCTAAGTCTCATTAGTTCGTTGAATAAAGATATTCTAGGTAATCTATACTACGGTAATGGATTACACTCCCTTTGGTGCACGGATGGCCGTGGAGTCTATTGACCGCAAAGTCTGATTGTATTTACGAGCAGGCGGCGCAAAGCGAAACTTGAATTTGATACCAAGACAACCAATTAAAGAACAGTAATCCCCGTGCAGCCTAATAGTTAAACCGACTCCGCGATCATTCGTGCACCGTATCGTCAAGATCCATGTGCTAGAAATTAGTTCTTGCATTTCGTTAACAGACAGCTGCGGCCGCTTGTCTAACCCAGCAGTCGAAACGGCAATTGGAACGAAGACCCGTTTCTATATTGAAGATATAATACTTCAGTGAATGCTTAGAGTGTGATATATCCGGTTCTCTTGAGATGTGCGATTGCTGATGCTGCTTCTCCGGAAGTTGATCCAAGCTGCTTGAAGTAGCTTGAGTCTCTCGCCTTCAGTGGGTCGCTCCCACCTGAGTTGGTCCTGGTAGGAGGCATGAAACGAAGTCTGGAGTGTGACGTCGTCAGTAAATGGTTCTAGGCCAGTCCCATATACGTTTCATATAGGTTTGCTATATGATCTTGCATAATGGGCTGTACACGCTCTGATGAAAGGTGCTTTTAGTCCTTGCTATCGTATGATGACTGGATTTGTTGATCGTTTTGGCGTGTCAATCAATCACGGAAACAATAGTATACCTGTTCAGAGGCAGTGAGATGCTTGTATTCGGTCAGAAGTACATAGTTTACCTTGACAGGTATATATACCCAGGCTTATGTAATCATATGTAATCTACAAGGTGCGGTGACTAAGTAATAGCCGCGGATTTCCGACAGGATTCCTCTATCCGCGCCCCTGGTTCGTCAGCTGAAGCTTACCTCATCCACGATTGTGGACGCTAGATCCTTAATCTAGCGCCAACCTTCTAAACGATAATGCGGTCCAAACGATAACTTAATATAGCTTCCAGTCTCCTTAAGCGGAGTTAAGCCCGTTTATCCTCCGCCATTATGCCGAAAGATAATACAGCTATTGAATCTCGAATCCAGAGAGCCCTCCAATCAATCCCTCATGGCCAAATTCCCAATTTCAAGGAGTTGGAGCGTGAATTCGACGTGCCCTACCAACGACTACTCGCTCGCTCAAAGGGCCGCAAGAGTCTATTCGAGTGGCCTAGTTGCACCCGGAAGCTCTCTACCACCCAAAATACCGCTCTAAAGGACTATCTCCGACGCCTCGATGACCTTGGAATTGCACCACGGATTATACAAGTAGTTTCGTGCACAAATACCATCCTAAAGATCGATCACACGGCCAGCGGGCGGCTTGGCCCCCCACCAACGGTGGACACTCGCTGGGCATATGCGTGGTTCAAACGGGAGCCAGAGGTCTACGCACGGAAAGTACGTGTGCTTGATCTTAATCGTAAAGCTGCTCATGATATCCAGGCTCTCGAGAGATGGTTTGAGCAGCTATACCATATCAAGATCCGATATGGAATCGCGACCGAGGACATGTGGAATTTCGACGAGACTGGCTTCCGCGTCGGTATAGGCAAAGACCAATGGATTATTACGTTCTACCCGAGCAAGAAGCAGTATATTCCGTCTCCAGAATGTCGAGATTCGCTTACCGCTGTTGAAGCCGTAAGTGGTGACGGTAAAGTTATACCGCCGCTCATGATTCTACCCGGATCTGCGTTTCTCGAGAAATACTTCCAAAACTTACCCGATGACTACGCGGTATGCCTTTCTGAAACAGGCTTTAATATCGACGGAATTAGCCTAATCTTCGCAAGGCATTTTATTAAGCATTCGTCTAAGCATCAACGCGGTAAATACCGACTCTTATTCTTCGGTGGTTTCGATAGCCACTGCACGAAGGAGTTCCTCGAGATACTCGAAGCCCACCACGTTATACCGTTTCGTCTTCCTCCTCATACAAGCCACATCCTCCAGCCGCTTGACGTCGGCCCATTTCAGCCTTACAAACACTGGCATGCAGAGGCCGTCGACGCAGCCACTCGTACTGGCTGCGCGCAATTTAATCGTGTGGAATTTCTGGCCGCACTCAAATCGATCCGCGCGAACACTTTCAAGACGCGAACAGTGATCAAGGGATGGAAAGAAACGGGCCTTATTCCCCACAATCCTGAGCGGATTTTACGCCAACTCCGTGAGGATAAGATGGTAATCGATGCCGCGTTTACAGCATACGATCATAGTGCTAGAATTCGAGATCAAACGCCACCTCCAGACACCGATATTCAGCGGCTTCTTTCCCCAACGAAAGACTATGCCACGCTACGCAACCATGTACAATGGTGCTTGGCCAACATTGGGAAACTAAATCTACCATCGCTTATTGTACAAAACTTCGATAACAGCCTCAACGGTGGCCTCCAATTCGCCCTCCAAGCCGAGCAATTGTCACACACGATACAGGCCAACATGGCGGAATCCCAAGCACGTGCGGCACGCCAGCGAGGCAACAAACGTGTCCTCCGGTCCGAAATGGGATACATTACATCATAGCAAGCTAGATCTATGATCAAGGTGCGTACGGAGCGCGAGAAACAGGCCGAATTGGACAAATGGGTTAGGGGCTGGAAGACACGCCAAATCAACCACCGGAAGGCGTTCAAGGACATACATGTAGAATTTTGGCGCTTAATCGGGGGCATGATGCATGATCCTACGTGGCGATGTCGATTTGGAGATGAATAGTAGTGCTGGTGGTGGAAATTTGGTATCTACAAACTTCATAGCGCGGAGTATGTATTAAGTTATCGTTTAGACCGCATTATCGTTTAGAAGGTTGGCGCTAGATTAAGGATCTAGCGTCCACAATCGTGGATGAGGTAAGCTTCAGCTGACGAACCAGGGGCGCGGATATACCATGGCCACCAACGGAGCGCATGCCATCTTCGACTCATCTAATACAACCTTAGATATTTCATATAATAGGCACAACTGTGTCAGGTATCTCATAAGCAATAAAATGATTCATAGTCCGGACAATCGATTCCGTTTGAATTGGCCAGGAGTATAAAAGTAGCTATAAAACAACCGTTAGAACACATCAGTAGAGCAGAAAAGACCTCGCTTCCTAAGCATACTCGCATGAGATGACTTTGGAAATAGAAACTGAAGGGAAAAACACAGCTTAATATTACCTCTCACCGACTTGCTGGGGTCCTCTGCCGCTTCAAAAGCATTATGACGTAGAGCATCCAGCTGTATTGCAACACATAGGCAGAAACAGCCCGATAAGTCACTATGTGTGTGATAGTCATATATTTCTCTTGCGGCCATAGAAGGATGGACTTCATAAACAGTGCTCATTTGACGAACATGCCTAGACCATTAGATGAAACAAAAGGACATACATAGAACTGCTGATAAGATAACATAAGCCTAGGAACATTAGTTCATTTTAAATCGGAGGCAAATTGCTGGTTTCTTCCTCATGTAAAAGGAAATAATGGTGATATTAAACGCGTCGTCGAACAATCGATCAGAGCTCCATTTTATTCGCGGTATTCACACTTGGCGAAAGTAGTCCGCTGTAGCAATTAATCGTCATCTATAGCTGAGTTGCTTGATGATGAGTTGCTGCCTTCATCATCCAATTGAAACGCCGTCGCTAGATTTCCCCAGATGCCTATTAATTACCATCTTCGTGGCATTGTAGCGGTCCAACTTCCGTCATAAATCGTGCGTCATACCTCAAATCACTCCTCTGTCCTGGAGCCAACCACGCCCTCATGCTGCCAGTAGTTGACCAGCAACCCCCATTGCCAGCCCGGCTCCCATCCTGTACGCAAGATCGCACCCAGTCGGTCGAGGAGCAGCATCACCCCCCGCCACGAAGGAGTTTAACCCCGTGCCAAAAGCCTCGCAGGCCGCAACCTGGAGGCCGTAGCATGCTTGGGCACTCAAGCTACTACAGATCGCACTCGCTTCCGCCGGCTGGAATGTCGCCGTCGCACCTGGCACGGTCACTCCTCCATTTGGCGCGCTCACGGTGATCCCATTCACTCCTCCTCCTAGAGCTCCGGCGCATGACGTCGAGTGGCCTTGGCATGTAGACCATGCGGACGAACATGCTGCAGCGTTCACGTATGTTGTTGAGATGTACGGATATGGGTAATACTGATTCGGCACCATCGATCCTGTACCGGCCGCCGTGGTGGCTGCAGGGGCACCGAAACTAGCACTTGATGTCCCTCCTATTATGACGCCGCCGCCATTGACGGAGGAGCTCGACGGAGAGTCCCCCAGGACCGTGCTGCTAACCACCCCCGTGCAGGCCGCTCCTATAGGGCAGCAGGCAAGATTGCCGTTCGGATCCCGAGCGCAATTGCTATTCGACTGACAGCACAGGCCCGGAGCGCCGAGGTGGTTGCAATTGTTGTATCCCCGGGGACATGCGTTGCTTTGGCGGCGGAGCAGCTCGTGTACGGAGTCATTGAGGTCGGCGAGGGTGAAATTGAAGGGTTCGGGGAGAGCGTCGTCGTGACTGAGGGGACTTTCGAAGGGGAATAAAGTGGTCAATCTTGCCGCAGAACCGGTGTTGAGAATCGCGGCGAGCAGGAGGCAAATATTTCGCATGGCTTCAGGCTGGAGTTGCGGAATGGGCGCCGTTGCGGCGGAAGATCACCAGTTGTGTAACCAGCAGGTGGAAGAACCGCTGGAGAATCTATGTTGCATTAGCAGAGTCTGAATAACAGCAATACCATTCCTTACAATAAACTTGAAGATAAGTGATGTCGCTGAATTGCCATATGCAAGCTTCGTTGTTCATGCAGGTGGATTGGTGGGGACTGGCGAATCCAGAGCCAACAGAACTGAACACAGCAGAAAACAAGAGATGGAGATCCGGACGCCACGGCAACGTGCTCTACGGGGAGCGATAGCGGCCAGTCATGCACTATCACCACAATATCATCGATGGCTTATTCTTCTTCAACTGCTATTGTTTTCGTCAAATTGTCAGTCAGATACATATTAATATGATATCACTTCTTCTATGAGAATTACGTGAGCGCGTCTCAGGAAGGCAATGGAGAAGTCCCCTAGTATTCTTCAGTTTCCCCCAAGAGGAGAAGCTTCGAGGCACTCAATGACCATGACAAACATTACGGAAAGCGCGTGCTTAGGTTTGAAGATTGACTTACGGGATTTTTCTATTCGTGATGCCTGCTTCGAATTTATCCGGGCAGAGTGAGATAATGCTCGCATATCTGCTTCTATCTATTAACGAGTCCATTCAATATCAGCCTAGTTGCGTGCATTGGAGCTCCAGGGCAACGAACGTCAGTTCTACGCTTCCTTATGGCACAGCATTCCATAATTTCCAAGTCACTGCATTCGTTCATTCCCCGAATATGGCCCACAACCAAACATACCCATACCCTATGCACACCCTTTCCGCAACCCATGCATGCGACAACAGCAACCCCTCCCTGGAAACCGTCCGCCGACCCGGGAGCCACAGATGGGGCCGCACCCTGACCTCGTTACCCAACGCCACCTCCACCGCCTCGACCAATGCCCCCGAATATCCCATGACCCTGCTCGAAGATGGCCGCGAACAGCATCCGGCGACCGAGTCCAGCACCGCGACCACCAGACGCCCGTGGGGCTTCTTCCCGTGGTTCGGACGCAGCGTGGGCGCCGACACGACCGAAGATTCCTCCTCGACTTCCGATGCGCCGGTCGAGCAAGCGAGTACAAACCCTGCTGCACTGTCTCCGTCGCCAACCGCCACAATTGCGCCGGAAACACAACTGGGAGAGGCATGCCCGCGGCGATGGCACCGCTCGACGTCGCGGAGAGCCGCGGAGCAACGGTGCGCAGAGTTCGGGACGTATTTGCGGCGACAGACGTTCATGTCGCGGATGATGACATTTGTTGGGATCCTAATTTTCGGGATGGTGTTGATTTTAGGGGTCCCGGTGTTGTGCGTGATTCTTACCACCGCAATATCCTTCAGATCTTAGTTCTTCTCATTTCGCAAGGGGCATGATGACGGCAAATGACACGGATTGCATTTTCCTCATATTAAGCTCTCGTACTTGTCCAATCCTTGCTTCTGAGCGTGATTCTGCGGTGCTGGTGGCCCTGGTAGTTGGCTTGTTTGTCGCTGAAAACTAGACGTGCCGCCCCCGAGTGTACCTTGATTCACCGAAGGTCTGCTTTGCGATGATGGCGGCGCGATGTTAAAGCTCGAGTATTGTGACGGCGCGGGTGGAGGGATGGAAAATGCGCTAGACGACTGCATGCTGTTAAAAGGAGGCGCCGGGGAGGAGGGAGTGGCCCATATGTTTGTGGTACCGCCCATGGCAGTATTTGGCGCCCCCGATGCTCGAGACCAATCAATGGAGGATTGGCTAGGATTAAGCTGGTTCATAGTTGGCTTTGAATGCTGGAGAGGTTGGCCGAAAGAGCCGCCCGTTCCTGGATTCGACGGTTGGAGGGTGGCAAAACTGCTCAAGTTGAGCTCGGGGGTGATTGCACGGGAGGATGCAGTCTGAGGCGTAAGCACGCCAGTGCCTGACGGGGACAACGAGGTCTGCGGTGACGACCATGAGAATGTAGGCGCTGGCGCGGTGTTTTGTGTTGGTCGATGAGGGAGCGATGACGATGCGGATGCGGAAGACATCCAGTCGTTTCCAAGCGGGTCAGCGGCCGCACCCGGCTTCCGCCCCAGCACCAGACTCTCGAAATCCACCTCATCTCCCCCAGCGGAGCCGAGGGCGCCGTTCGTTCCACTGGGCCCGAAGGTCATGAAATCACTGGACGTCGCCGCTGCGGCCGTGGTGGAGCCCAGTTCTTGGAGTTTGCGGGTCTGTTCTTGTTCGATGCGCGTGGAAATGGACTTGATGAGCGACATGAACGACTGGAACTGCAAAAGGTTGAGGAGTGGACCGAGACTGAAGCTCCAGAGGATCGGCAACACTTCCATAGCAAGGAAGTCCGAGTCGGCGATCTTGCCAACTTCCCGGAACACTTCGAGGGTGGCCATCTACGATCCATTAGTATCAGCCGAGGAGTAGAGATATGTGTACATACCATCACTGCAGGTTCCTTCGTCTTGATTCCTTTCATGAGCGGCACGACCTTCTCTTGAATGGTATACTTGTCTAGGATGACAGAATTTGTCTTTGCTGTTGGCGACTGATCCGTGCCGAATCCGCTTAATCCACCATCGTCTTGGTCGTCTGCTCCAGGGGTGCCACCACACAGCACATTGAAAGCTTGCAATCCGCGGATTTTGATCCCCATGCTACTGGTTTTGCTGAACACCGCTGCAATGACTGGGAAGAGTTCGTTTTTCACAGTGGAGAAATCTAGGATCGAAAGGATGATAGAAAGGCTTCGCAGAGCAGCGTCGACAAGAGAATGGGTCGGGGATTCGAGCGCTAGTACGACAATGGGGAGGATGTCGTCTTTGAAATCCTTGCCTGTGCAATGATCCGATACAGTTTTTAGATTCTCCAGCAAAACCATTAGTCCCGCTTCCTTTGCGGTGTCCCGTTCTGGAGCAGCGACTTTTGATCCGCTCGGTGTCGTGAAAACATCTTTCAGCTTCGGGATCACCTTGTCCGTGAACGCTCGTCGGGCATGTGTGGGTGGGAGGGTGGTGATAATCTTGAAACCATTTTGCAGCACCATTGCAAGTAACTCCCGATCCTTGGTCTCATCCAGCAATGCAGGGAGCACCTTTTTCTCCAGCACCGTTTTGGGAAACTGGTTCAAGATCCTCGGGAGTCCCCGCATGAACTGTGATTTCTCGCTGGGGGTCTTCGCCGGGAGACTCTCCAGAAATCGAATGGTCGAAATAAGGATGTTGTCAAAATATGAGGCTTGTTGGAACTCTCTCGCGCTGAGCCTCTGCGCCGGTCGTCGGGTAATAAGTCGGGATAGGAGGTTCGGGACTTCACGGGGTAGTGAGCCTTTGATAAGGAAATTATTGCCTTGCGAAGGCACCGACGAGGAAGATGAAAAGATGCGCTTATAGGTAGAAATGCTCGAGGAGGTGTCCAGGGGGCTTTTGTGAGGGGAGTTATACAGCGCGAGGATCAGAATACCCAAGGTGAACATATCGGCTGCAGTCGTTATATTGTTGTCGACGACAAAGTCCGGCGACGAATAGTCGAGATTTAGCTGAACAAATCTCGGAAGTCGAGGGTCGGAATTCAACACTTCGGATAGGGATATTGACGGCGTCGAGGAGGTAGAGTCGCTCGGTGGACTGGAGAATCCAAGGCCGGCTATCTTCCAGTCGGATTTGGCGTTGATGAATATCGCGTCGGGGGTCAAGTTCCCATGAACTAGTCCAGCACTCTCATGCAAGAACTCGAGGCCTTTCCCAAGCTGCAGCAACCCTTTTTGTATCTCCAACTCGTCGATCTCGAGCTCTCGTCTCCTCTTGACCCCCTCGGCATCTTCGACGACATATTTGCTTGGCCTTCCACCAACGCCTCCCGATCTCTCTTGATCATCCTTTTCTTGTAGCAATCCAGCCAACGATGCCGTTACTAGCTCCGTTGCGAACATCAGCCCACCACCCCTCGTTTCCTCTACCGGCTCAACCAGTTCCAGAACGCTTGGATGTCTTAGTCGGGCGAGCGAGCTGGCCTCCTTCTTGAGCCTCTCCACCACCTCCTCATGTACGCGCTTCAATGACGCGGTACTGGACCTTCCACCCAACCCGCCTCCATGGGGTTCCAAAGACTTCTTGTCGAACACAAAGACCGAGGCGGCCTTGCCGGTGGACTTCTTCTTCGCATCGTAGATCTTCCACGGACCTGATAGTGAGGACGGTTGGGATGCGACGGAGTAATTAGAGGAGATATTCGAGGTAAAGGATTTGAGGGCGTTGGAAAACATGGTGCTTCCACAATGCCGTACACAGGACCAATGCTATCACTCGATGTCGGGGTCCTTTCGTATGGGCTGGCTCATGATGGTGGCATTTGGACCGCAACAGCCTTCCCCGTCCTTCAGCGGAGGTTTGTGTACTATTAGAACTCGTAATGCTCGAAACAAACAATGGTTTGCCTTGATGCGACGCAACCTGTGAAGCTGCCTGTCGCAGTATGTCTCTCGAGATGGAACGCAGTAACGCCACGTTTAATGGGGAGCTACATATCCGTATCGACATTCACAGCAGCTGTCGCGTCCCTGGATGGCGGGATTTGGCGACAGGGATGTCTGAACGGCTCACATCGGCTTGGGAGTAATTACCTGGAGTTGTCGACATCTCCACTATCACTCCGATTTTGGTCCGGCGCACGCCCATTGACATTCCCTACTGCTCCAGGATTCAATGACTTTTGAGTGACTGTATCCCACGGTCGCTTTTCTAAATCTCTTCGTAATTCCTAGTTTCTTCATCTCGCCTTCTCCTAGACCAACGAGCATCCTCCATTCCTCATACACCTAGTGGCCTGCACATAATGGTTTCATTACGCTCTCAAGGACCACTACGGTCGCTGCTCAGAAGCCGTAATTCGATTTCTCAACAATCACAGTATCAATGGAGCAGGTGCTACAGCATCAAGACGCCTGCTGCGTCAGGCATGAAGTTACCAGGTCTCGATCCTACAAAGTTGACCATCGAGAAAACTGCACACCCTAAGCAGCTTACGCCTCCAGAGGAACTCGTGTTCGGCAGGACGTTTACAGGTCGGCGTCCCTTCCGCAATTCATACCTTTATCTGACTGGTTTCCAGATCATATGTTGTCAATGGAGTGGACAGCTTCACAGGGATGGCTTCCTCCTCGAATCACGCCTTACCAAAACCTTAGTCTCGACCCCGCGACCTGCGTATTTCATTATGCCTTTACCGCCTTCGAGGGCATGAAGGCTTACAGGGACGACGAGGGACATGTGCGGTTATTCCGACCGGACCGGAATATGGCGCGACTCAACAATTCCGTGGCTCGGATCGCTCTACCAACATTCGACGGCGATGCCGGCATCCAACTAATTTCGGAGCTTGTCAAGCTCGAGCAGAGGTTCATTCCGCAGCAACGAGGATACTCGTTGTATCTCCGACCTACAATGATCGGCACGCAAAAGACCATTGGTGTTGGACCACCGGGCTCGGCGCTTTTCTACGTCATCGCTTCACCAGTTGGCCCATACTACCCTACCGGGTTCAAGGCGGTGTCTTTGGAAGCCACGGACTATGCCACCCGAGCATGGCCTGGTGGTGTCGGCGACAAGAAGCTGGGAGCCAACTATGCACCATGCATTTTGCCCCAGATGGAGGCGGCTAGCCGCGGGTTCCACCAGAACTTATGGTTATTTGGCGAGGAGGAGTACATCACCGAAGTTGGCACCATGAACCTGTTCGTCGCGCTCAAGAACAAGGAAACTGGCCAGAAGGAATTGGTCACCGCTCCGCTCGATGGCACGATCTTGAGCGGCGTCACCCGTGATTCGGTTCTTGCCCTTGCTCGCGAGCGGCTCCAGCCGGAGGGATGGACCGTCTCGGAGCGCAAAATGAGGATGAAAGATGTCGCGGAGGCATCCGAGGAGGGGAGGCTGCTCGAGGTCTTCGGAACCGGTACGGCTGCCATCGTCAATCCTGTGCGGGTGATCTCATGGAAGGGCCGTCTGATCGACTGCGGGCTCCCCAAGGGCGAGGAAGCGGGGCCCTTGACGGTACAGGTTAAGCAATGGATTGAACGGATCCAGTATGGCGACGATGCCCATCCTTGGAGGTATGTCGAGTCTGACTAAGAGGATCATCTATTAACTCGAAAACAGCGTCCAAATCACCTAAGCTCTGTCCAGGAGCAGTTGCCAACCCTGAGGAATGTTTGGGTTTTGTTTCTTCTGGGAGACTTTCGTGTGGAGATATGAGCATTCCGCAGCGGTTTTGGGGATAACCTGCCCATCTGATATAATCGTAGATAAACATTCCCCCCCCCTTGGTATGGATTCCACGTAGATAAATTTTAGCATCGACAACACGACATAGACCTGGAAAAATGGTCTGATATCAGCATCCACAGAGCTGATGGCAGTTAGGGCTCGGATTGAGTACGGATCGCTCCCGAGACAGGGGTTGACCGGCTTCGGATGCGGCTCCAGCTTTGATCCGAATCCCCCTCCAACCCTAATCGAGTGATAATTCTCGTCTGACTCGTTCAATCTGATCCCGCTCGTATGGAATGTTCCCCATTTGTTAGACTTAGAAGGGTGATGGCGCCTGTTAATGATGATTGTAATCCGGCTTGGCGTCATAATCCGTCCATTCATGCGGGGTCCAGTACGGTTTCATCTCGTCCGAACCATTTACATCATGTACCTCTCGGATCGATCTGTTCCAGATCACCCCATTGACTGCTTTTGTCGAGTCAGACAAACGGAAGGAGCCAGAAGAATCTCAATTCTTAACTCACACCCCGATGATCCTTCAGTTTGTTGGGCCGAGGACCGCCAGCAAGCACATGAGCAAGCCATATCGTCTCGTCGTTCGACGTTATCCCGACGGTGCAATTATAGCCAACTCGCTTGCTCGACTTCTAGTTCGCTCCGATCTACTCACCAATCAAGACTCGGGTTCGTCGGGTATAAGGCTGATGTCTACACTCCACACTGGCGTGCCCCACGCGCTCACACGCACCCGGTACGTACCTTTTCCCCCTGATGGAGTCCACATGTGAAAGCACCGTTCTATCTGCATTTTCAACTATCGACGTCAAGCCTCGGGAAATCCAAATGACTATGAAAAGTAGAAGATATTCCTTAGAGATGTAGGTTCTCGGTTCTGGTGTTTCCTTGCTCCTTCCAACCTCTATTCGTCGTTCTTTCGGCGCAGTTCGGTCAATATGTCTTCTTCATTATCTACAGATTTCGTTCGTCAGTTGCTTGAGAAAATCATAGCCCGGATCGAGTTGTCGAAGTCTCAACTATTACAATTACCATGGGGGACTTACCTGGCGCCTCGCAATGTTGCCGTTGCATCCATCGCATATCTTCTGCTTGTCCGACTCCTTCGATACCGTCGGCGGGACAAGATCCACGCCAAATTTCCGTTTCCTACAAGAGACTCGCTCTCGCGGATGACGACCCTTCAAGCATGGGAGATTAATAAGATGCTGGGGGAGTATGAATTCCCATTCATGGGGCAGAAAGCGTTGCAGTTTGCGCTGTTCAGGACATATGGAATCCCAACAATAAGCAAACTACTCGTAGATACTAAGCAGCTTTCCGACGTCTCGTTAGCATCAAAGGTACTCTTCACAGGCGTAACTACCTGGCGACACGAAGTTAACGATAGCAGCGATACGCTGATACGGAGGTCTTGATCGGCGAGTTTGTTATAAATCCGCCTGATTCCGAGAGAACCATCAATGCTATCTCCAGGATGAACTACCTTCATTCGTATGTCGTCTCGCAAATCTTCCGTACTTGACAGCCGCAGCAGATTCTTACTTTTTGAGTAGGGGCTACCGAAAGTCAGGAAAAATCAGCAACGATGATCTGCTATATACGCTCAGCTTGTTTGCACTGGAACCAATCAAATTCGTCGGCATGTACGAATGGAGAGGAAACTCGGAATTGGAGAAGTGCGCAGTGTAAGTCTTCCTCACATTGACTCGCTCCAAGACGGTCCATCTAATGCCAAACAAGGGGTGTGTTCTGGAAAGCCATCGGCGATGCCCAAGGAATCTCGTTTGAAGCCCTTCGACGCTTTCATATGGGATGGAAAGATGGCCTGGAATGGCTGGAAGATGTCCAGGAATGGGCCACCAAATACGAACAGCAACACATGGTGCCGAGCGAGTACAACAAGAAAACTGCGGATGAAACCGTGCGCATTCTTGTGTACGATGTGCCTGGCCCGCTCAAATGGATTGGAAATCAATTTGTGAGCTGCTTGATGGACGAAAAGCTGCGAACTGCCATGATGTGAGTCCCTTACTTCTGCCCTCAATATCCATTCCTGACTCTTGTTCGTTCTCCAGGTATCCTCCGCCTTATGCACCACTGAAATTCACCGTCGACACGGGTCTTCTGGTCCGCAAATATTTCCTCCGATACCTCGCTCTCCCGCGAATCATCCCTTTCAAGGCCTTCTCGCAACCAGACCCCAAGACCGGCCGCAGCCACAAAGTCCTCTACATGTCCGAGCCGTGGTACATCCCCGCCACGTTTGCCAACCGATGGGGCATCACCGCATGGTACAAGTGGACGATGGGTCTGCCGTACCCGGGCGACCCGAAATATGAGCCGGATGGATACGATTTGGAGGAGGTTGGCCCGAAATTATTCAGGGGCAAGGGGAAGAAGGAGATGGAGGAGACCAGGAGAACCTTGACCGAGGCAAGGAGGGGAGGCTGTCCTTTTGCAGTTTGATATATATCCGTATGATCGATGAACATTTGGACATGAGACCTAGAACAGTAGATGGGATGTAAATGGATGGCTATTGTTGCAGCTCTTCAATGCAGCACTGCTGTATCTATCCTCATGTAGGCGGGCGCTTATGACTTTGACAAGAATATCGACCTGGAGTTTTGAACTAAATTATTTAAGAATCAACCATTATTATATGAAATTGCTTGACATTGGTGTTTTTCTGAACGCGGACGTTTCCGTGACGCAGACGCGTCTCCTTTTGATGACTCGCATTTTCGACGCGCCAGGATCTGGTTGAGTCATGCCATTTCCGACCTCTCCGGGCCTGTGTCTCACCAGACGACCAGAGAAGACAATCAAAGATTCCCGGTCTCATCTCATCAGGACCTGTTTATTACTATCGTGATTGACGCCTGTCTTAAAGTGTGCTGTCTGCGAGCATGAGCTCTTTACAATAAATTGTTTCCACGAGAGCATTGTCTGAGCGACGACACATCCCCCAATGCAACGACTCTCTTGCCAATTCAAACCGTTGATAGCAATCGAAAACCTCAACGCCCTCAAGTTCAAGTCACAATTTTTTCAATCTTCCACTCCGGTGTTGCTTCGTAACACCGTCCAACCCCGCATCAACGCCATCGATAAGTGGTTCGATGGCAATGGCAAGCTGGACATTGGCTACCTGGGGAAATATAGCTCAACTATTGTTCCGCTGGAGCATACGGTGAAGTCTCAGGATGGCTCAGGGACCGTTGAATTCCGCCGGCAAAATGTCCCTTTGGATTTATTCTTGAAATGGGTGGATATGAAGCAATCTGCTGCAGAAGGTCATGATTCCAACTTGTACCTGGCGCAAGCCTCTCTCGACGAGCTCCCCGGGCCGCTTATTCATGACCTACCGCTCCCCGAGCTAGTTCAAAAAGCCGGGAAAGGTGACGTCTATGGGTCAAGTCTTTGGATGGGCTACCCACCGACTGTGACGCCCTTGCACCGTGACCCAAATCCAAACTTGCTGGTGCAATTGGCGGGAGAGAAGCAGATCAGAATGATCGCACCAGATGATGGAAAGCAGGTGTTTCAGGAGGTGAAGATGAGAGTCGGAAGACAAGGTATCGGGAGGATGCGAGGAGTGGAGATGATGGGCGGGGAGGAGAGGAGAGTAGCAGAGGACTTGATTTGGGGTGAGAAGCAAGGAGAAGAGCTGGTTCATGGAGTTGAGGCGTGCCTTTATCCAGGTGATGCTGTGTTTATTCCTCTGAGTTGGTGGCACGCCGTACGAGGGGTAGGAGGCAAAATATCGGCATCAGTAGGTATCACATTTCTTATTGTCATCGGATCCAGCTAACTATTAAAAGGTGAATTGGTGGTTTCGCTGAAATATACAGGGGGAGGCATCCGCTCCATGTCCACACGTCCTCAACCAGAGAGGAGAGGTATCCCGCTGCCTTCATGCGCCCCCACGAAAGGCCCCAAGTTCAATTTTCGGCAGAAATCAATCGACAACCCTCAACATGCTGTACGCCTTATGGCTGACCGCCTTTTTCACGACCTTCAAGGGGTCCAGCTTTGGTTTCACTTTCTTCACCGTCACGACATCTTCCCCATCTTCTCCTTTGACCACCTCTTCGACGATCTCATCGTCTTCCCCTTCAAAGCCACCCCCATCCAAGAACACCTTCAACATACCCTGGCTGTATCCGCTCACCAGCGCAGTTCCGGGCTCGTCTGCCGTCACAGGTTTGGGGTCGTTGCTTTGTTCCGCCTCCGCCTCCGAATCCGAACTATCCCAAAAACCGCTGCTCTCTGCCAAATTCCAAAACACCAGCGTTGGCAACTCGTATCCCGCGTCCTCGTATTTCTTCTTGATTCGCTCGAAAGAGGTTGACCACCTCGCGTCCGACATCTGAGCCCCATCAAACTGCATATCCGAAAAAACAAACACCTGCTTGATCATGTCTTCCTGAGGGATCTTATTCTCCACGGCGATGGGAAGGATCAGGTCCTCGAAGACCTTGACGAAATTCGTGTTCTGCCCCCAGTCGCTATTACATATGTAAGCGACCTTCTCGCAGAACTTCTTCTTATCGTCCGGTCCGCCGGCCTTCATGACCTGAGGGCTTTGAGAAAAGGTTATAAACGAGCCTCCGAATGGCGGTGCGGTCACTTCGGCAAGGAGTAGAGAAAGGCCGACTGCATGATCCATCGGCTGGGTCTTGTCCAGGAAGGTTGGATACCTCATTGATCCGCTGACGTCGCAGACTGCGATCGACGACTGAAGCGTGCCAGCCTCGCGAATCCGCTTGACGATTGACTCCCACTGGCCGTCTAAGACCTTCGCCGTAACAGCCCCTTTCAGATCGGAGTTTTTTGCATTGCCCCTGGCTTTGGCAACGAGGGTACCTGGAAGCAGGATGGCTCCGGAGATTTGCGCCGTGCCTTCGACGACTTTTTCCAGGTATGTCGCGAATCGCTCGTTGTCCTTCTTTGCGAATAGCTCGGTGTAGCGATCCATCGCAACCGACGGAACGCGGTCATACTTGATGTTGGAATATGTTTTGGCCGATATATCACGCTCGACAATATCCAGATGCTTCCGAAGCGGAGACAACGTCCCTTTCCGGTATGCTTCGCGGGCATGTTTCAGGTAGGTCTCGCGGTCGGCGGTCGGGACGTCGGGGCATACCTCAGCATGAGGATACAGGATCTCTGCGATCGAAGAAACGATGAAAGTGTTCTTATCGTGCAGTCCGCGGAACGACGGAGCCCATTTCGCAGCGAGGGAGATCTTTCGAATTTGCTCCTTGTCGCCCGATTTCAGGCGGTTGAGATCGAGACGAAGCTGGTCCGCAAAGAGGCGAGCAACCGTTACATACAGGAGTCGATACTTGTTATCGGCCAGCAGTTTCGCGACTGCAGTTTCATGCGTCTTGTCCCGCTTCTCCACGCGGAGCTTCGTCGCACTATCATGGTCCCAGACGTCTTTTGAGGCTCGCTTCGCTTTTCGCACGTCGACATTAAAGAGCGCCCTCGGAGAACTATTCCATGCGAGCATGTCCTTGGATGCAAGCGCAATAATATTGGGAAGATCCTTCCAGTAGCCATGGGAGCCACCATCTTTGACATCAAACGCGGCAGGGTCGCTGATCTCCTCGCCATCCTCGTCGAGCATGACCATATCATCATCGTCTTCTTCCTTAGTCGACTTCACTTGATCCTTCTCCGGCTTGGCGGGCTTCTTCTCGATCACAGGCCGTACCAGCCACTGCAGGTTGGCGATCAGCGTCTGGGGATGATGTTCGTACAGCCATCCAAGCGCATTGTAAACGCTGAACTTCTCGGATTTCCCTAGGTGGATGCTGCGGGCGTTGAAGATGATCTTCAGAGTCGTCAGAGGACTGGCCTTCCATGCTTCGGCGAACTGCTTCTCGGCATTCTCCCGGATAAACTCGCCCTTCAGTTCGTAGAACAGGTCGACAAGGGGAGATTTGGTGGAGATGAAGGCCACGTCTGCGTTTTGCGTGAGCATCTTGTTCTGTTCCTTGAGTGTTTCCGTTGTCTCGTGGAAGGCATTGCTTTTGTTGAGGGCGTCCATGAAGACTGAGCGTGGTTGCTCGGTCCCTTCAGTTATGGCCTTAGTATCCTCTTTATCCTCCTTCAAGGTCGGTTTCGTCTTGATCGATTCTTCCTTTTTCGAGGAAGCGATACCCAAGCTGCGGATTGCAGCTCGAAGCTCTTCTCCTGACATATACAACTCATCAAGATGAGGGACAAAGACAGGAAATGAAGAATCGAGTATTGAGTGAGACTTGACGGCGTCCGGTATCGTTTCTGGAGCATCTGCCATCGTAGTATGCACAATCTCTTGCTTGGGGTTATTGTTTGCCATTTTGTAAAGTCCGGACGTCTATCGATAGCGAAACGCCTTTGTGTGCCGATACCCAACCAGATCTACCGATGTGATGCCCGATGCATCTGGTCTCAAGCACGAGGAACCCAGCTTCCCCAGGAGTCGAGGGGAATGGCGTTTGTTTAAATACCGGACCATAAGTTCATAATTAGTGCCCAAAGATCGAATCCACAGGTGTCTGTATTTATCCAGCGGGGACTGACCGCCCCACCCGTTCGAGCCCATCCGGTGAGTAGGATTCAAGAGTAATAATATCCGCAGCTAGGTAGGTAGTCGCTGTTCATGGGGGGGACCAATTATGAAGTGGGAAACCAGGACGAATCTACTGCGGCACCAGGCAACAGTAGTAAGCAAGCATTTGAATCCCTGAAAGTACTTCCGTCATCGTGAATTGACTCCCAATTTCCGTCGGTCAACATCTCAATATCGATAAGGATATCGGCTGGTAACTGGTTCGATGTGACAAGCCTGGACCATGTTTTCAGACATGGAGTAGTACAGAGTAGGAGTCATCAATGAGTCAAATTTCCAACCCGAAGTCATGAACAATTGGACACCGCACCGTGGAAGCTGAAGAGAGGGTGGTAGGTATGACTTGGAATCTCTCGTTTTGTTAACATGCGGAGTATCGGGGTGGTGGTGGTTGACCTCTCTCTTTTGTACTAGGCGGACGGAATTCCCTAACCTCCCGTCGACGATAACACTACCGCTACTGTAAGACTCACGACGCGTCTATTAGCCCATAAGGACAATGATATTAACAAGCTCGATGGATATGAGTATCCTTTGCTGTTTCAGTCAGTACGGTGAGGTTGACGCCAGGATATCTGGAGTCTCAAGTCTAGTTAGGATGCGCTGGGGCTCCCGCTTCCCCACTGCCAGTAATAAACCATCGTAAATACAAGGTCGAGTCTCCGCCAGCTGGAGACGGGTGGCGACTAATGGTGGAAGTTGCATCTCATGCTGGAAGCTGACTCTCAGGTACATGAAAGGCGTACTACGTAGTATTCTACTATTCTTAGAGCGATGAGTATAAGTACACCCCGCATTCTCATGAGAGCTCGCCTGTCTCGACTGCCGCTGCCACTGCCACTGCAACGTTGTATTGGGAATCCTCCAAATTCGACCCAAAGTCCCTCTCCATTCCTCTCTCTCTGGAACCGATCCTATTCCACTCCAAGATTTGGACAAGAACCCACCCAAGAGATATCTCTAGCCAAACCTGCAACCATGCCAATCGCTCCGGATGTTCTGCAGCACTACCTCGCGGACAGCCCTCCGAGCGTGGTCCCGCTCCAGATCCGTCCCCATTTCGAAGCATTGAGTGACCAGGAGAAGCTTTATGCTCACTACATTTCCGTGTATGTACCTCTCCACCATCTCCTTCTCTCGAATGTAAGAAACTGACTCGTACTAGCGCAAGCTTTGCCGGAACCCGCGTGGTCCTCCGCCAGGTCTCCCCCGAATCCGAAGCCCTCTACGATTTCATCATCGCCCTCCACCACGCGTGCGCCGGCGACTGGATCAAGGCGCAGAAGACCGCTGGACTGAGCGACGACGACCGCAAACACTTCCTCGACTACGCCGCGCAATTCCTCGGCAACACCGGGAACTTCAAGTCGTTTGGCGACTCGAAGTTCCTGCCTCGCATCAGCCAGAAGCAGCTCTTTGCCCTGGCGTCGATATCGCCGGTGGCCCTGAAACACTATGCGAAGATCAAGGATGCGATATTCGGAGCGGAGTCGGAGGAGGTGATGCATTTGGGGTATCCGGATGGAGGCCATGTGACGACGTATTACCCGGACAGCCCAAATATCACGAAGGAGGAAATCACGATTGTGAGTGATTTCCTCGAGGGGAAGAAGCTGTTACCGGAGAATACGCGATTACGGAAGGTCCAGGATGGGTTCGAGGCGCTCATTGCATCGGAGCAGAAGGATCCGGCCAAAGGGGATCGGGATATCGAAGAGTCGGAGTGGGTTCTGGAGGGGAAATTGCAGGGGAAGAAGTTGAGGCTGGTGTATGGAGACCATTCGGTCGAGATGGGGATGATTGCAGAAGCATTGGAGAACGCGCGGAAGAATGCTCTGAACTCGACCGAGGCGTCGATGCATGAGCAGTATGTCAAGTCATTCAAGACCGGTTCCCTTGAAGCGTTCAAGGAAAGCCAGCGTTTCTGGATTCGCGACAAGGGACCAATGGTAGAGAGCGACATTGGATTCGTCGAGACCTACCGAGACCCGCATGGACAGAAGGGCGAGTGGGAAGGGTTCGTGGCCATGGTCAACCAGGAACGGACACAGGCGTTCGCAAAGTTGGTGGAATCCGCACCAAGTCTGATTCCCAAACTTCCGTGGTCGAAAGACTTCGAGAAGGACAAATTCCTTGCGCCAGACTTCACGTCATTAGAGGTCCTTACCTTTGCCGGGAGTGGAATTCCTGCGGGGATCAACATCCCGAACTACGACGATAGTCAGTCGACCTTAAGTATACTATCCGCATGTGTATGCAATACTAACACCATACAGTCCGTCAAACGGAAGGCTTCAAGAACGTCTCTTTAGGCAACGTTCTTGGCGCCAAAGCCCCGAACGAGCCGATCCCTTTCATCAAGGAATCGGATCTCGATGTCTTCACTCGCTGCCGCGACGCCGCCTTCGAGGTGCAAGTCGGACTTCATGAGCTCCTCGGCCACGGCTGCGGCAAGCTATTGCAAGAGACTGCGCCTGGCACCTACAACTTCGACCATTCCAATCCGCCCATCAGCCCACTCACCGGGAAGCCTATCACCACCTGGTACAAGCCCGGGCAGACGTGGTCGGGCGTCTTCGGCGCGATTGCCGGCAGCTACGAAGAATGCCGCGCCGAGTGCGTCGCGATGGCGCTCTGCTGCGACTTCAACGTCCTCTCGATCTTCGGCTTTGGCGACGGCAGCATCGACATCGACGGACCCGCCGGTGACATCCTCTACGCGGCGTACCTCACCATGGCGCGCGCAGGCATCACGGCGCTCGAGTTTTGGGACCCCAAGAGCAAGAAATGGGGCCAACCGCACATGCAAGCGCGGTTCTCCATCCTGCAAACCTTCCTGAACGCGGGCCCGGAGTTCGCGTCGCTCGACCACACCGCCGCCGACCTCTCAGACCTGACGGTGCGGATCGAGCGGTCGAAGATTCTGTCGCACGGGCGACCCGCGGTCGAGAAGTACCTGCAGGAGCTACACGTGTATAAGAGCACAGCGGACATCGAGAGTGGGACAAAAATGTACGAGGGGATCACGGGGGTGAGCGGGTGGTATGCGGAGACGGTGCGGCCGGCGGTGCTGAGGAAGAAGACGCCGCGGAAGGTGTTCGTGCAGGCGAACACGGTGGTGGGGCCAGATGGGAAGGTGGAGTTGCGGGAGTATGACGCGACGCCGGAGGGGATGATTCGCAGTTTTGCGGAGAGGGAGTACATTTGATGAGAGGCTGGGGAAGATGGAAGAGTGCGCGAGCATTTGCATAGAAGGCATCGACATCGCTTTATTAACGCCTGGCGTAGGGTATAGCGAGAACGGATAAACGAATACAGCGTAGAAGATGGGAAGTAGATAGTAACGAGATCATCATTAATTATGATTCTCCATCTGACCATCGGCTCGAATGGCTGTTGTCCTTCCCTTCAACCTGCAACCTTCCAAGACTGCTTGATGTTTGTCCTAACTATTACCTAATTACTACAGTGCCCAACATGCAGAGCTGAGCTGCACTCGTGGTGATTATTTCCTCCATTATTTTCACGAGTCGCAATGGAGTGTCCCCGTCGCGGTGACCTGCAATGCGTGGCGTCCATTAGACCAAAAGGGGTTTCAGATTGGGGTTGACGTGCCACTCAAGCTCGCCGATCGTGATTCAGACGCTGTCATGTCACTCATAAGAGGCACGACTACTAGCGAGAACTGAGTTTGATAGGTAGATTCAACTGTCTTTTTAGAAAGCCTAACCAAACTACGAAATAATTAAAATAATTGAAATCAGACTGGACGAACCCTAAATTATGTGACTGCCTACGGTGACATGCCAACCGTATCGTGATTCGTGGCAGTGGATTGCTGGGGTTGGTGTGGGAGCGCCAACCGAGACGGTGGGCTTAGATTTACGAGAAAAATGCAAAGTTTTGCTGGTGGCGGTCGCTGCAGCAGCGCCAGATATGTATTTGATGTGTCTCAACTCTCAATTCCTAACTCTCAAACTGTCAAGACGCAGGCTCATGTTACACCGCTTCCATGGAAGCCAGACAGACTCCAGAATGTGGTCATGGTGACGATGAGACGTGTCTGACAGTCCAAACTCCAAAGCAGGGAACGTTTGTGGCACCAATGCAATGTTATGACATGAGGACGGAATGCTGTATTCACTGTTCAGACTTGAGAGTCCATGATGATATGAATCTTCGAAGTGCAAAGATCCATGTCCAGCTGATCGTATCGAAGCCGAAGGATCGATAAAGATCTGCTCCCGATCGGCGGCTGGGATCACCCCTAACCATCGCCATATCGGTCGACTTTATTGCCTGCAAGCGGGAAACGGAGAGGAAAGCTTGGGCCCGGGTGCAGTGGTGTAAATAAGTGTAATCGATCGTCATTCGTCCCCCCGTCAGTAAACAAGAAAAGCTCAAGAAAAGCTCTAGAAAAACTGGATTGCCAGCGGCACACTGTACAGGCCCTGGTCACGAACGGGCTGGCACACCCCTGTTTCTTCTATCAACTCAACCTCCATTGTATGTACAATTGTACATAGTATGTATGGCGCAGGCTTGGGGGTGGGGGGGCAGCCCGTTCGTGACCAGGGCCTGTACAATGGAATCTCCCCTGTCTGGGGCTTGTTTAACAGCAACTAACCCTTGGAGATTTGACGCCATCAGATTTTCATCCACTGATTCTCCAACACACGGGAGCAAACAACATCACAAGTGAAGAGACGGGTTACACCACTTCCCCTCCTCCTACTCTCTTTCTTTCTTCACTCTTCATCAACATCTTCTCCAGCGTCTTCTATCCTTTTCGGATTTTTTCAATTGACACTATACCCATCGCTGTCGATATTGCTAACGTAGTTCAACCTCCTGGCGCATGACGCCCTTGGAAACATGTCTTTCCACGCCTTGATTGCTCGGGTACGTCCTCGTGCGACCGTGACTGTATCCAAACAATCCGTGGCCGCAGTCGTGGTCAACCGCATCGCTACAATTCATTAAAGCTGACATCTCGCGCAGCAATCCGGCCAACCAGGCGAAAATCGCGACCAACCTGAGTCTTCGTCTCTCTCCGCTTTCATCTCGACGCTCATTCCCACTCTCGCCCTTGCGGTCCTCTATCTCGTAATCTTCGCCATTGCCCGCAAGAGTTATGTGCAGTTGTACCGCCCGCGTACGTACAACCATGCGCTCCGGAAAGACCAGCGGACCCCGACGTCCAAATGGTCCTTTTTCTCGTGGATCACCGACGTCACCAAGACGCAAGACCTGTTCATCTTGAATCACCAGTCGCTCGATTCGTACCTCTATGTCCGATGGTTTAAGATCATGGGCGTCATGTGCGTCGTGGGGATGTGCATCACGTGGCCGGTGCTTTTCCCCGTCAATGCCACCGGCGGCGGCGGGAGACAGCAGTTGGATATCCTCAACTTTGGTAATGTCGTGAACGCGAACCGATTTTGGGCGCACGCAGGATGCGCATGGCTCTTCGTCGGTAGGTTTTCGCGTTTTCTTCCCGACAATGGTACAAATCTGACGGACAACAGGTTTCGTGCTCTTCCTCATCACTCGGGAGACGGTCTACTTCATCAACCTCCGTCAAGCATATCTCCTGACCCCATGGAACTCCAGCCGCATCTCCTCCCGCACTGTCCTGTTCACTTCCGTTCCGGAAAGCTACCTCGATGAGGCCAAGTTGCGTGCTATCTTCCCCCTTATCAAAAATATCTGGTTCGCGACCGACTGCAAGAAACTCGAAGAGAAAGTCGGGGATCTGGATAAGGCGGTTTTCAAGCTCGAGGGTGCCGAAACGACCCTGATCACCAAAGGCAAGGATCGCCCGACCCATCGCTTGAAGCCTCTCATCGGACACAAAGTCGATACCATCGACTGGTCCTGTCAGCAGATCTCTGAGCTGGTCCCGGTCATTGAGACCGATGTCCAGAGTCGTATTACCGGAGATGTCAAGAAGCAACCTGCCGTCTTCATCGAGTTTGATAGCCAGATTGCTGCCCAGGCCGCCTTCGGCATGGTTACTCATCATGTTGCGAAACAGATGGAGCCCAGGCAATGGGGCATTTCCCCGGACGATATCATCTGGAGTAACCTGAGCATGCCTTCGTATCAGCGAACGGTCCGGTACATCATTGTCACGGCTGCCATTTGCGCTTTGATTATTTTCTGGGCCATCCCGGTTGCCCTGGTCGGTATCATCAGCAACGTCAACTACCTCACAGAAAACGTAGCGTTCTTACGATGGATCAATGATATCCCAGACGTCATTCTCGGTGTTGTCACCGGCCTGTTGCCAGTCGTGTTGTTGGCAGTGCTCATGTCTCTTGTCCCCGTCATTTGCCGATGTAAGTACTCATGCTCATGCACAACGTACAGCGCTGATTCGATCTAGTACTGTCCAAAATTGCGGGAGCTGTCACCCTGTCCGAAGTGGAACTCCAGACCCAAAACTGGTACTTTGCCTTCCAAGTCATCCAGGTCTTCCTCGTCACGACCTTTACCTCCGGCGCAACTGCCGTGGCCAGCCAAATCGTTTCGAAACCCGCGAGCGCAATCCCCCTGCTTGCGGAGAACTTGCCCGCCGCGTCCAACTTTTACATTTCGTACTTCATTCTGTACGGTGTGGCCAATTCCACCGGCTACCTTCTCCAAATCGTCAGCCTGGCTCTCTCCGTGGTCCTGTATCCCTTCCTCGACAAGACTCCGCGCAAAAAGTTCAACCGCTACCTGATCATGCCCAGTATTGCGTGGGGCTCTTCGTACCCTGTCTTCACCAACTTCGGCGTCATTATCATCTCCTATTCCTGCATCGCGCCCTTGGTCCTCGGCTTCGCCGCCATCGGCTTCGGCACGCTATACTTTGCTTATCGGTACAACTTCCTGTACGTCTACGACGCGAAGATCGATACCAAAGGTGCCGCCTACGCGCAAGCCCTGCAACATCTCTTCGTCGGTCTCTACATCTTCGAGCTCTGTCTCATCGGCCTCCTCGCCATCAAAGCCAGCGACCAGCCCTCCGGCAGCGGCCCGCTTGTCGTCGTCATCATCCTCCTTGTCGGTACCGTGCTCTACCACATCTCCATGCGCAGCACCTTCTCCGCTCTCAAGTCCTCCCTGCCACGTACCCTCCTCTTCGAGTCCGCCGAGGAATACCCCGTCTCCACTACTTCTGATCTCGAGCGCGGCCACGGTGGCCCCTCAACCGACAGCGGTCCCGTCAACAGCGGTCCCATCAACGGAGAGGATTCCACTGCTGACGGTCTCCCCATCGTCGTCAAGGAAGCCACCCCGCCTGCCACCGGCGCCATCACCCCCGCCTCCATCGGCGCACACCCCACGCACATCAACCACCTCGCCGCCGGCCCCCTCCCACCCACCGGTCTCAAAGGCCGCATCCACTCCTTCTTCTTTCCCAAATCTATCTCCAGCGCCTCCATCGCCGCGACGCTCGACCCGCTCTTCCAGTCGCCCGTGCCCGCCTACCCGGCGCACCTCGCGCGCACCGCCTTCTACCACCCGGCCATCAATCACGGGCGACCAGTCGTCTGGATCCCGCGCGACGCCAACGGTGTGAGCGACCAGGAAGTGGAGAAGTGCCAAGCGAAGGTGGGGGAGTGGGCGGAGGTGACGAACCGCGGGGCGTGGGTGGACGCAAAGGGGAAGGTGCAATGGGGCACGTTGGAGGATAAGGAGGGTAATGCGTGGGACGATGTGGAGGGGAAGCAGGTCCGCGCGATGCCGGTGTGGGGGGAGGAGAAGGAGGTGGTGTGGTGATTTGATGGCCTGGTCCACGGATGTAGTAATGGAAAGGATGAAGTGGAAGAACGGATGTAATTTGATACCCTTTGAAAATGATCGGCAATTCTTCGTTTGGATCACGTTGTTTGTGTGAAATTTTCCGGCCGAGATTAGTGCTGTGTTCATGTTGGTTGTTCCTCGTGGGAAATACCATAGATATGCAGAAATTCCATCGGTTTCATTCGGATTTCTAAGGTACCAATGGTGCCAATGGACAGCTTTATCGTAACCTCCTGTAAATCTCCGTTTGATGGCATCTACCAAAGGTATCACTGCGCCCACACCGCTTTTTATCGTCGCAGTCATAATATTCAATATCCTTAGCATACAGACTACCATCGTGACCCGATCTAAGCTCTGGTTCCGTAATGGTTTCAGCGATGTGTGCTCAAGTCAGCTGAACGAGTGCTTGAATACCGTCCCTAAGAAGATCCCACATTAGGTTTGCTTCCTTCTCGAGATCTCATAAGCACCAGCATCGATGTTGCGGTTTGTCATAACCCACTAATTATGATTACTTTAAATGTTCATCTTCATCTCGTCGGACAGCAGCTAGTCGTCGAAAGAAGTCCACGTCAGATCTGGTTGTACGGTGCCATCCACATGTCGATGCTGGAACACCTTCTCTAGTCCTTCGCCAACGGGTAGATTCACCCAGCGAAATAATTGTGATCCCTTCGATAATCGTGATATCCGTGCCCAGGTGGTTGAATTTAAGTTGGAACCGACCTTGAGAACCGGCGAATCGATTAATAAGACTCTTAGCTTCATGAATCTCCGCATCTTAAAATGGGACTATGGGACCTTGCGGATCAGCTACCAGTTTCATCTCAAACAACACGCAACACAACCGATGACGGAGTGACGGACCCGCCCTTTGGAATTGCCAGCTGTATAAGTTCCAGTGTGCGTAATATCCTTCTTTCCAACTTTCACACCATTCCGTGCCAGCTAAGATGAGTCCACCAGTGTTTGAAAAGCTCAAGTCTTTCTCGAAGCGCCGTTCCACGGCTGCTCCAGAGAGCGGGGAAGGTCACCCTCCGTCCCAGAAGATGGCGGAGTATTATCCTCGACCGGATTTTCAGCGGACGAGCCTCAATTGGGTGACTTTGAATGGGAAATGGGGTTTCGAATTCGACGACAAAGATGTCGGTCTCTCCCAGCGTTGGTACGAAAGGTAAGTCGGGATTTTTCGTCCTCTTTCCTTGATCGTGAGGCTAACACATCGCCCACAATCCTAGCCCCAGCTATAGCGGAAAGCGCACCATCAATGTTCCGTTCGTGTTCCAAACTCCTGCGTCGGGTATCAATGATCAAAGTGCGCACGAGGTCATATGGTATGATCGCAAGATCACCGACCCCCGCACGGCAGAAGAGCTGGGGAAGGGCAACCATGCCTTGATGCGATTCGGCGCCGTTGACTACGAGGCCACCGTTTGGGTCAATGGCCTTTACGTTGGCTCGCATCGCGGCGGACATGTCCCCTTCGACGTGGACATCACGCCCGCGCTCCCTCTGAAGGGCGGGGAAGAACCGCACCGTGTTGTCATTCGCGTCAAAGATTCGCCGTATGACTTGACGCAACCGCGGGGTAAGCAATATTGGAAGCCGGAGCCCGATAACATTTGGTACACGCCATCCAGTGGAATCTGGCAGAACGTTTGGCTGGAAAGCGTTCCCGCCGTGCGGATTGCCAATAGCAGCGAGGGGACCGTCCTACGTGCGGACGATATCGAGAGCGGCGACCTGCATGCCACGATTGGCGTGGTCGGAAAGCTTGCTCTTCAACCTTATGCGATCCAGATTGAAGCGAGCTATCAGGGTGCTGTCATCCGGACATCGGAGACCGTGCAGCTGCCTCGCGACCGAGATGTTGTCAACTGCACTCTCAATCTCCGCCTAAATTCCGGTCAGCTTGAGGAAATATCCCAAGGATTCCCTCGTACGGAGCTTCCGAACAATCCGAAGTATCTACATAACGATATCCCTGTCTGGTCTCCCGAGCACCCGTTCCTGTACGATATCACGATCCGGCTATACGATTCTTCGAACGCCGTCATTGACCAGGTTGAAACCCACACCGGGATGCGTTCCATTGAGTGGACCCGAGGGGATGAAACGTTCCGACTGAACGGAGAGCCGTATTTCCAAGCGCTCGTTCTCGACCAAGGCTACTGGCCAGCGACAGGAATGACCCCCCCTGTTCACTCCAGCCTGCGAGAAGATGTCCAACTATCCAAAGACATGGGATTCAATGGCTGCCGCAAGCATCAGAAGGTTGAAGATCCGCTGTTCCTGTACTGGGCGGACAAACTTGGCTACCTGGTCTGGGGCGAGATTGCCAATGCCTACGAGTTCGACGAGAAATACGTGGAACGGTTCGACCAGGAGTGGATTGAATGCGTCAAGCGAGACATCAATCATCCGTGCGTGGTCGCGTGGACGCCCGTCAACGAAAGCTGGGGATATACGGACTTGCCGAACAACGTGGAGCAACGCAATCATATTCGAGCGCTCTACTACATGACGAAGTAAGCATGAACTATTGATTCAGTCATCCAGAGAAACTCGGGGAGACTGACGCAATCTAGGACCCTCGATCCGACTCGACCGATCAATGACAATTGCGGCTGGGAGCATGTGCTGACTGACCTTACCACGTACCACGACTATGACGATGCGGCCGAGCTCGCGGTGCGGAGCGCGTCAGTGGAGAACATCATCACCCAGAAGAAGCCCTGTTTCCTTGACCCGATCGTCAACCAGTCCGGTGGCGACAAGGGATCCAAGCATGAAGATGGTGCTCCGGTAATTTGCTCCGAGTTTGGCGGAGTGAACATCCAACCCGCCGAGGGGGTCCCTGGAGCCACCGCGAAAGACTGGGGTTATACCACTGCCAGTGATCCGCAAGACCTGCTCAAGCGCGTGAGGAACCTAGTCATGGCGGTGGTGGAACCGGGGGTGTGCTGCGGGCTAGTTTACACCCAATTGTAAGTTCTTTCGATGAACCGGTTGATCGCAACGCTGACACAGGCTCCTGTAGGACAGATATTGAGCAGGAGGTCAACGGTGTATACTCGTTCGACCGACGGGCCAAACTCGATCCTGCGGCAGTGAAAGACATCATGGACCATGCAATGACGGCGTATCACAAGCTACGAAAGATCCGGAGCCGAGCGTAAGGATCAACTGCATAGGAAATCTTCCAGCGGTGGTCCCTATACGGTCTGCGCACCCTACATTAGGTCGATTATAATCTACTTAGATACAGACCATTGAGGAAGAGACAGGTGATATCACTGTATCCTAGAAAACAGTGGTCATATCCTCGAAATAGAAACATAGCATAGTACAACACGCTTATAATATAATCACCTTTCCCTGACCATGTGCGAATTTATATACTGAATAACAGAGTTAAATCATCACCTATTGTGTTATTGATGCATCTGGAATTCCGGATGTGCTGACGCGTGGATCTCCACAGTCCTATAGAGGTATTTGTGGCTAAAGAATTTCTCAGGAGTGGCTGTGCCGCACCTCTGTCTGCCAGGGGTCCATCAAGCTGTCGGCGCTCCATCCGTCCAATCCCAGACTTTCCCTGTTTACAAAGTTCAAGCTTCAAAACGACACATCTCCGTCTCCGGAAACGATAACGGGACCTGAATGTGGGTGGAACTCTCCATCCTCAAAACAAATATCCTTCCTTCAGCTAGTCATGCCGACGGGCTCGGAATCCTCAAAGTTAGCGGCCGCCGAGGCGTACCCAAGCGGAACGAAGAAGCCTCCTCCAGAAGCCACATCTTCTATTAATGTCCGAAGGGCGGTTGTCGCGTCATTCTGGGCCATTGTGATCCTCTTCGGGCTTCCAGCATGGTGGAAAACGACGAATATATACCGTGCGAGCCTTCCGCTGAGGGAGATGCACGACTGGGCAGACGGCAAGGTAATCCTTCATAGCCAGATCATCGAAGGACACTGTTGACCCTAAATCGATAAATAGATCTGCAAGCCAGTGTTCCCTCTCAGCATATCCGTGGAGGCTCCTAATCTGCCTGCATCGGACGTCGAACACCTGATTCGAACAACTCAGCATTACTTGGATGACATGAACGAATTCGCCGCTCACCATCTCCGACTCGCCCAAGACTCGCAACCCCCTGGCTCGGCTTCGATTACCCAGGACGAGAATCGTGAGACAATGATACTCCGATTGAAACCTGAAGATGAAGCGGCTTCTCCGCGAGCGGTCCTTCTCCAGCATGAGCCGACACTCGAGGTATACTTTTCATCGGCCCAAATGCCATCGACAACATCTACCTCCTCCCCCTTGGCTACATTTATAGCCCATGAATTGCAAAAGACTTTCGAGGCCGAGCAAACCATGCTTTCTGCTCTTTTCGCATCTCAGCCTGCTCTTGAGAATATGCAAAGGAAGGCAATCTCACAGCAGTCAGCAGAGCTCATTGCTCGTCGCAATAATCGAGCATTCAAGTATGCTCCGACATACCATCTCACCTTTTCCCTCTTCACACCGACGGCCACTCCATCCTCTTGGGAGATCGAGAAAGCTTTGGAGGAGTACATTTCACCTTTGCTTGCTACACTCTCATCCATTAGTAATTTCACGGTCGACACTCAAGTGCAACTCTACGCAACGTTGGCACGCTCAATCCGCGAACCCCAGTTTGACGTAGAAAAGGGCGCCTGGATCCTTCGAAATGAGGACTTGAGTGGGTTCATTAATGCCGCTGAATGGCCCCTCAGTCCTAGTATCGGAGCTGGACCGACCATCAACTTCGTTGTATACGTGCCCGAAGCGGGTAAACAGCCGTTGGTGGTCGAAGGCAGTGGTGCCTCAAGCTGGCTTATACCTCAATGGGGAAGCGTACTCATCCTTAACACAGACCATTCAGCTCAGGACGGTCATGAATCACGGTCATCGATGCTCTCAATGCCCGACCTAGAATCCGCCATGGCAACGTTTTCATCGCATTTACTGTCGCTGCTAGGCCTGCCCGAGTCTCCCCACTCTCTTCCGCTTCGCATCTCCACGCTTACCCGCATCCATGCTGCATCGCTCATCTTCTCCGCATCCTCTACCCTTGGCTCGCTCGCGCGTCTAACCGACACCTTGCAATCCATCGCGATACCGAATAGTGTACTCCATTCCGTCACCCTCACCCTCAAGCACCTCGATTCTGCCTGCAACGAGCTGCGCGCCGGACGGTTCCACAAGGCACTGGAGCACTCTCGAACAGCAGAGTTTGAGGCTGAAAAAGCGTTCTTTGAGCGAAGCATGGTGGGCCAGGTTTACTTCCCGGATGAACACAAGGTTGCAGTGTACATGCCACTGCTCGGCCCAGTCGCCGTTCCACTGCTTATGGCGAGTGTGAAGGAAGTCAAAGCCTGGATCGCGACCTAAAGAGCAGCGGGATGAGTCTCCCATGGCATTCATCCGTTCTCTCAATCGGCCTCCGAGAACCGCCCAATATCGACCCGTTTATAGTGACTAATATGCCCAAGGCATTCCCAATATTGTGCCAGCAAGTTTTCTGAGATCAAGATGAGCTGCGACGCCACGAACTTCTCCTCTCGGAATCCATGCGACGCAATGTGTCCGACACTCTTCACGAACCTCGCCCCTTGAAACAGTTCCTCGTCCGCAATCCGAATCGTCCCGTGCTCGCCGATGTCCGGGGCGATGAACGTGTACTCGCCGCGCGGCACATTGGCGTCGCCGGTGAGCTTCACCGCTTCCAGGCGGCCGGCAACGGGAGATCTATCGGAGCCCAGATAAGGGGGAACGCGAAATTCCGGCGAGTCATCGACCGCGTCCTCATTTCCCGATGTCGTCGAATCCCCATTTTCGGTTATTGTCCAGTCCTCATTTTCCGATATCGTCGAGCCCTCTTCGAGGACCTCCAGCGCCCTCTCCGGCAGCGGGCGTGAACCGTCGGCCAGCTCGTCCTCCGTCCATTGCATAATCAACAAAAATTCGCAGCCGTGGCCGGAGTAATCTCCGACCCAGACGCCTTGATACGGTTTAGCGGCAGTCGGAAGATATGTGTCTTCAGTCATCGTTGCGAAGGTGTGGACGTCTTCGCCGATTCGGTTGTTCGGGGAGAACCCCTGGAGCGATACTGATGAGTAGAGATTTGCGGGAAACGAGCCTGTAGCAGAAGCCGCGCTCGATATCAAATCCACGTCTGCTGAGTGACGTAGCTGGGAGTGCAAGACCGACGGTCATGGCTTGTGACGTACATTTCAAGCCAGCACGCATTCAAAAATGGCGATGGGCGACGTCACAAAGGAGACTCCATGGCCATGTATACTATGACCAACAAGCTTTGCACTCCTAGAGATCTCCTTGACTCATGCGTCAGTCGCTCAGCAGGGATAGGATTCGATAGTCGTGCGCAGTCACAGTTAGCAAATGACATGCGATATGCATGTTCGGACTCGCATACCGTGAGTATTCCGGAACCACGAGAAAGTGCCTCCACCCTCCCTATCCCGTCTGCCTCCAAACTCCGCCCATTTCCGGACTCTGAACGAACTTTCGCATAGGTCAGCTAGTCTCTTCGGCCGGTGACCTTTATCCTTAAACTTCGAGGGACTAAAAACCCGCACTCGCTGCGCTTTCGGCGCCGGAATCAAATTAGGTGGCCAGACGTTCGTAATAATATCGGTTGGGTACCGACTTGTCAAAAGCAGCGTATGGTTCACCGTACCCCCGGCCCCGATCAACGACGGGATATCCATGCGCAGCTCCTTCTGCCAAAACGGCTCCCATTGCGTCCGATCCAACTCCCCCTCCTCCGTCTCCGCGATTACAGGCGGCGTCTTCGGCGGCCTCCACCGCATCCACGGATCCAACTTCATAATCGGCGTGCTCACGTCCAGCGACACGGTCGGGTTGAAGCTGTGCATTATCACGTTGGGCGTGTTTCCTTGCCAGAAGACCACGTCGTGCGGCCCTTGCTCCGCGCTGAGCCCGTAGGCCTCGATCACATTGCGGCTGCGCGAGTAGCGCGAGAGCAGGACTTTTCCGGTCGGCTCGCTGGAGGATATCCAGATCTTGTTGCGGGCGATGTGCCAGTGGCCGAGGTGGGAGAGGTAGAGGTCGCGGTACGTCGCTTCGGGTGTGGGTGTGGAGAGGTCGAGGTCGGGGGCGTCGCTTCGGAGGAAGCGGAGCCAAAGGGTGTCGTCTTTGGAAATGGTGTTCATCGGTCGGCAGGTCTTAGCTGCTTGGACGAGCTCTTCGGGATCGAGGAAGCTCAGGATGTGGACGACGAGCTCGCTGGGCAGGTTAAGAATCTTAAAGCCTGTTGAGGAAGCCATATCTATTGGGATTAGATTTGTGTTGTGTTTGCCTCGGATTCCGAAGATATTTTTCGCAAATGGACGTCTATAAAATGGTTAGGATGTCATTAATGCCATGTATTCACTATTCAGAGCACTATGCCTGTGACACACCTCCAGTCCACAAAGTTTTATGAACTGAGCCGGTTGGAAGGTGAATAATGAACGGCTGTCCTTTACCTCTAGGTAACACAAGGTCCACTGGAGCAGCAACCACTAATACTGTTCGGAGCTCTCAAGTTACTCTTGACCGGAGTTACAGCGTCGCTCGTTCTCAGGTGGCGCAATCACCACCATAACAGATTCGAGCTGCAGATAGCGAGGATGAGTAAGCAATCGCCGATTTTCAACGTGGGTGGAATGAAGACGATTGATCCTTAGCTTCAGAAGCTTCTGCAAAGGAAATATCGGGTGGTTGAGATGGGAGAGGTGTTCATCTTGTGTTACGCAGCTAGAGGTCACGCTCATGGTCAGAGGGGAGCTTAGGATGACGACATGGCGCGAGAGCGAATCGAGTTGTGATAAACGAGACCGTTATCAAGTATTTTGACGGTACTAGCATCTTGCATTCGCATTAGCAAATCATTATATTATCACATTGCAAATAGCATACTTGATGCTTGTCCTCCTTACGCTGCAGCACGACGTAGAATCACAATGGTGCAGCCCGAAGGTAGAATTGTTTTCCATTCACAGGCTGGTGGACAATGCTATTACGACTTCTCTATTTCCCTAGCCCGACGGCATATCATCTTTAATGATAGTTCTAATATGTCTAGATATAACTTCATCGTTCTCCCAGAGACCTTCTTGGGATGAAGCGCGCAGCAGTCCCGTAGCAACCGCCCCGTGTGGTACCATATACCTCGGAGCCAGCAGCAGGATCATACAAGGTTTGGAACTTCGCGGCTTTTCAACACACATGAATTTATGCCTCTGCCAATAGTCCCAACAGCAAAAGAAAAGGTCTCTTAAGTCTAAAAACAAAAACATACAGCAGCGAACGTTCCCATGTGGTCACCCACCATAGTACTACTTCGCCTCTGACCGGCTTATGTATGGCAGATCGGACGGGATGCCCAGATTTCAAGTCGATGTGGCCGTATGTACTTGAAAATGAGGTGATGGACCTGATATATGGTGTGACATGCGTTTGGGCAGACAGTCCAGTCTGGAGGCATTACCAGGCCCACAACCGCATTTTGGGGACGGGAGGGACTGGTGGACCTTAATTCCGCATGATATCGGTATACAATAAGGACATATAAACACGAACCACTATCTACAGATGTTTGGCTCTCAGCATGATCATAAAATTCCCAATTCGTTATCAGGATACCACAGCATCGGCTATCCAGTGCTAACACCCCAAATCTAATGCACTTCAACATTGGCCCACCCCTTGGTCCAACATACAGAGCACCAAGACCGGAGCAACGCCACTAAAACCCATTCATCTCGTTAAAAATATCTCTCGCAAGTGGCCTGGACTTCAAAAGAACATCCTGATCGACAACCCCAACTTTTTCCGCGCCCTTCAGCGCGCCGTGTCGGCGAATCGGTGCCCCATTCATATTGCCTCCCGCCACCCCCAGCGGCCTCCTCTGAGAAGAGCCCGCTGCACCCCCTGGCATCCTGCGCGGAGCAGACGAGTGCCGCGACCTCTCGGGGCTTTCACCCGGCGTCGATGTAGAAGCGGATCCAGGGGGCAAGTACGAGTGCGCGTCGATCGCCTGCGGGTGCAAGTCAAACACCCATCCATTCGCCTCGCACTGCCGAACGAGATCGCGAAGCAGTTCGCTGCCGTCGTTTCGCTCCACACGCATGCCATCGTCCTGTTCCACCGGCGCTCTGCGCTTCGCGGAAAGGAGGGTCTTCTTGCTGCCGACGAGGACGAGCTTCGACTTGGCGCGGGTGATGGCGACGTTCACACGTCGCTTATCGAGCAACAACTCGCCTACGTGCCCGTTCTCGTTGCTGCGCACGAAACTGACGATGACGACGTCTTTGTCGCGGCCCTGGAATTTGTCGGCGGTGGACATCTCGAGCGCGGACGAGGTGCCTTTAAAGGTGCTGCGCAGGAGCGCGAGTTGAGCGCGGTAGAAGGTGACGAGGCCGATTTCCGAGGGGGGGACGCCGCCGTCCAGGAGGGAGGAGATGATTTGGCTGCAGAGACGCGCTTCGAACGGGTTCTGGCGACGGTCGCCGGTTGTGGGGAGCTCGAGGGCGGTGGGGCCGAGGGGATCGGTGTTGAGGAATAATACTTTCGTGGAGGGTTGGAAGAGCCTGACGAGATGGCAGGTCCGCGGGTTTGTTCCTGGGCATAGCCACGGTGGGCTAGGGTTCGTCGCTAAGGGTTGGCCGCTATGGCTGGGGGTATCTGGGAAATGATATCTGGAGAGAACTTCTGGGAAGGGAATCCGAAGCGAGAGGTTTGTCGTCGCATCGTTGCCGCATTTCAGACGGCCGGAGTAGATAAGCTTATTCGGCAGCGACATGATTTCGGCGCACATGCGGTACTGATGTTCCAGACAGACCGTCGCTTGCGGATGTGCTTCGCAAAGGTGCTTGAACAACGAAACATCCAACCCCCCGTCAGCCGCCTTTCTGTTCTTCACGAGCGGCGGCAGCTGATGATGATCGCCCACGAGAATGAAGGTCTTCGCCATCCGAATCGGCCCGACGCATGCCGGCAACGTAATCTGCGACGCCTCGTCGACAATGCAGTAGTCGAAAGTTCGCTGGTTGAACAACCGGCTATTGACGCTCAAGGCCGTCGCGGCGACCACGGGCGGTGAGTGCCACGAGTCCTGCAACTCCTCGAGGGACGCCTTTTGCTCGTCTGCGAGGATCGCGAACTGTTGGACCTGGTGGTGGATCTTGGCTTTAACGCCGACACGAAGGATTTTGAAGCCGCCGTCGCGAATCTTCAGGAGAATGTTATCGACCGCGGTGTGTGTGTACGAGGTTAGCAGCACGGACTTGCCCTTGGCCACCAAGGCTTTGATGATATATGCGATCGTTGTCGTCTTTCCCGTCCCGGGCATACCCAGAACCAGCGCATATTCTTGGGCGGACATGACCTTCTCGATTGCAGCGATTTGATCAACGTTCATGCTCGCGCCTTGGGTTGAGGTTATTACGTGACTTGAGTGCGGCTTGAATGTCGGGGCACGTAGATCGATGATGAGGGACCGCAAGTCGCTGGCTTTGAATACCGCATCGTCCATGATCTGGACAATATTGTTCCTTAGTGTCGCCATGCCGGTGGCGTACTCATCTTTATCCAACCGATACAGCACCGGCTCTCCCTTGCCTTGAGTCGCAGAATCGTTAAGCTGGGATTTCGACTTTGAGACATCCATGAAGGCTGAGAAGGACTGGTTTCGGTCAGGATCAAACCCCGGCTGCTTGACTCTCGCGTTATGAAGTCGACGATCCAGGAGCACGGTGATTTTCCGTTTATCGGCATGCTTCACAAACCCTTTCGCGAGGTAAAAATGACCCTTTTCATCAGAGATGACAATCGGTTCGGCCACGGCCAGCTCCGTTTCACTCGATTGCGACGCCGATGGCTTGGCGTCTGGCCGAAGCAACGTGTACTCGTAGCGATTAATCTTGGATACGTCGCTGAGCGCCTGGAAGGAGCCGGGTTGGATGGTGACATGGGCATAGCACCGTCCGATTTTCTCGCGCTCCTTACTGGTCATCGTCCACAGCTCCCGCGCTTGGAAGGAGTCCTTCTCCTCCTTGGTGAGAAGGTCATCCCACTTCTTGAAGAATTCCGCGTGTTTCGGGGTGAGGTACCGGATGAATTTGTCAAAGGCCGCTTTAGCTTTCGGCTCCAGGGTCTCCCCGGCCCCATCTTCAAGGAGGCGGTGGTATGCGAAACAGCTGGATCGCGTGTAGCAGTTATCGCACATTCGGTTGTGATTGAGCATAGGCGGCAGAGAAGTCTTCTCGCTGACATAGCAAGCGATCTCGTTGCGCTTGATGATCATATGGATGAGCTCATGGCGTAAGGCAGGGATGCGCATCATCTCGGAGTCTTCCAGATAATATAAGAGACCATATTTAGTATCCACATCTGAATCGGCGTAAGCATGCTTAAATCACGTTTAATCGGGAACCTTACCGTAACGATCAGATAATAGCAGGGTGTACAGCGCTGTCTGAGCTCTGTGATGTCCGTATTTCCTGCCTGTCTTCAGTTCTAGAGGAGCAACTAGTCTCCGTTGGCCTTCATAGTCGTCCATGAAGGCCTCGACCGTCGCGTCCACATTGCCTTTAAGACCATATTTTGGCGACCAAATGTGTTCCTCGACATCAAGAAGCTTTGTGATGGCCAATGGAATCTTTTTCCCGCCTCGGTCCCCAACGGACGAGATAGGCTGCGAACAGGTGAGTGGTTGATAGCAAGATAACATGACGGGAAAATACCTTCTGCCAATTTCCAACGAACTTCGCCGCCCAGGTTTGCAATTCGGGATACTTGTTTCGCAGATGCTCTCGAACTTGTTCAAGACTGAGGTTGATTTCTGCAATATCTTCAAGATAGCGCGGCAACATCAGCTCGACACAGGCGCTCAACCATTCCGTGTCCCATTTGTTCTCTTCCAGGGATCGTTGGAGGAGTTCGTGGATCATGTGGCCATACATGATGTATTGATTGGTTAGATTGGTACTCCGAACCCGACTTTGAAGAACGGCGCGTCGCAGGCAGCTGAATGCATCGGCGACGTGGGTGGTGCTGACGAGGTAATCCGGATGGAGGATCAACAAATTCTCGGCATTGTCGACGATGCAGGTGTTGTCGTTGTCAAAATCCCCAATGAGAGAGACATGGCTGTTGATCGAGACGGTGCTATCGTACCATGACTGTTGCAGACGGATGACATGATTCTTCTTTGTCTTGTCGTCAGTGACCACCAGAACCTAATCGACGTCAGCGCTGAAAGAACGTTAGTCATCGGGTTCGTATACCTTCTCCGGACACACTTGGGCCAGTCGGTTTTCATAAGTCGATTCGACAACGCTAGATATTCGGTATCGCTGTATGATACCCTCATTCTGACTCTTTCTTTCCTCAGTTTTGCTTCCAATAAATTGAGATGACATGGCTTGAACCTACACTCGCTACGCTTCCAGCTGCTGGTTGCTGATTCTTCGCTGAGGCACCTTGTACATCGACCTGATCGAGTGGGACAAGATCGTCGAAATCCACATCGTCAAAGTCGCCATACTCGTCTTCGTTCAGGGTATTAGGCTTGGCCGCCCTGGTCTCCTGGTAGACTGTCTGCACTTGAACAGTAGGGAGTGGAAGCGGTTGCTGGGTTTGAAGGAAAGGTTTGGTCTGAACAAAGTCGGCGACTGGAACAAGATCGTCAAGATCTAGATCATCGTCAAAATCGTAATCGTCGTCTGTCCGGGTGGGTTCTCCGTTGGCCAGAGGCGGACTGGCAGATTTCACAGCAGCGGTATTCATCCTAGAATTGGTTTGTGACCCTGCTGGAGCAGTTGACAACTGGGATCTTGATCCAGCAATGGCAGCTTGCGTAGAGTGCGCTGTGATTGCGTCAAGTATATCGTAGTCATCGGAGTCCAAATCCAAAGAGCCATAGTCGGTGGAACTTGAGGTTGGTTGTTTCGGAGAGTTACGTCGCACAGGGGTCATTTGGACATTCTTAGGGAGGGGTGGATTGGGACCATCAAACAGCTGGGGCGCAGGATCGGCTTCTCCGGCAAGGGTTTCTTGGGACGAAAAGGGACATCTATCTTTAGTTCGAGCAGGTTCTGGAGCCGTGTTTGAAATGCGGTTCCCATGTTCTGCCTCAACTTCGGGAACGCGGGTCTCAGGTAGCGGACCCGAGCTTGATGGTGGTTTCTGCAGCTCATATCGGACGTTGGAAAGATCGGTTATCTTCCCTATTAGGGTCTCAATCTCCGTCTTTTGTCGTTGGTTCCGATGCATCTCGACATGCGCCAAGGCAGCGCGACTTGGAGATTCGACTAGGCGGTCGAGCACGTCTCGAGAGGGGTCGGCCACTCGTCTTCGTTTGGGGGATCGGCTTTCTGGGAACTGGTTGCCGCAGCTGAGCCAACGACGTAAACCGTTGACATTGCCTCCTTGGCTGGATGAACGGGGGCTCGATCCTGGGTGAGGCGCTTCAGCATGCGCCACATTCCCAGCGGTATCAGGAGTGACCATGCTCTCTAGATTGATCCCATAGCGGGACAGCAGATCAGCCGCGGGGTCGGCCTGCGGGGTCTTCAATGTATGGGACAATCTTTGCATATCGAATGAACTGTGCTCCTGAATAGTGTCTAGGTGGGACGACAACGGGGACGAACTTCGTGCTCGCTTCTTTCCACGGCTTCGTGCAGGCGTATGGTGCTTCCATTGAACGTGTTCCTCCGGAGAGTCATCTCGGTCCTCTGTTAGATCATCGTCTCCATCTTGGCCAACCAGGTCGGACAACGGAAGCCGAGGAACGGGCGTCGATGGGAAGAGGGCATTGTTCGGCTGCGAGGAAATACGAGTCACCGCTGCTGGTTGCCGATCTACAGGATGCTCGACGGGTTCATCTAGCCTTGTCCGCTTCGTATAGTCGACCTTCCCTCGTTTCGGAGGGTCGTCAGAAGGATTCATGTTCTCTTTATCCGCGTCTTCAGGCAGACCTGCCTCGCCAGCCGGTCCTCCAGGAATGAACTGGAAGTTCTTAAGCTTCCTCTTGGTCTGTGATGCCGGAGCTATCGGCATGGCATTCCCTGCAGGTTTGCTCGGGCCCGTGGTCATCGGCTTCGAGTACGCATCGTTCACACTTCGAGCACGATTGAAATTGGTGCGGGCCTTGGGAATGAGGTCAGTATAACTATCGAGACGGGATGGGGGGAGAAGGACGACGGACCTTCTTGCGGTCTTGATCAAAGAAAGATCTTTGGCGAGACGCCATGGTAGGCGAGAGGGATGATAATAGCAGTTACATCGGTAGGTGTCGTGGTAGTAGCGCTGGCGGTTAGCAGAGGGACATGGCCTCTCCAGCTGGTATTGAAACTGTGGACAAACTATGGACGCGTCGGAGCAACAAAAAGACGTGACGTTGGACAGACGCGTCGTGGAGAGCTCGTGTATTGGTGCCTTGGTGCCTTGGTGTCTTTGTTGGATTGCTGCCTTACTAATTTACTCAGAGGCTCCATGTCCCTCCCTCCCTCCTTAACGCCTTGACACCTAACATCCGAGACCTGGACTGAGAGCCCAAAATCTTATCTTATCGCATCTCTCCATCTCCGATCTCGCTTCTCCAAGCGATTGGCCATTGGGGCTCCTGACCAGGGCACGTGCCCCGAGTCAGGGGTTCTCCTAAACTCCTAACTCCACAACAAAATCGGAACGCAGCCGAGCTCCCTCACCCTTCGGCAGATTCCATGACGAACGCTTGGACTTTCTCCAGTCGCGCATTCGCGATAGTAGCTGGACGCCATTGAATCGTTGAAATCTTTGCCGTGAAGCTTCACTTTTCGGCTTTCTTGTCGAGATTGTTGGTTAGCAAAGGTATCCTGCTTTCATTCAGGCCAATAGACTACCACGTTTATATTCTCCTCCCTTCTTCTCTCCTCCATCCGAGTCCTTGACCGCTGGTTGTTCTCGGCGTATCTCTAGATCGCATATCACATAGACAGGCCATCAAGACATCCAGCCATCATGTCGACCGAGAAGCCATTGCCATTCATATACCAGTTCGCCGCCGGTAAGCTTCGCAATCCTTCGCAATGGTCGCACAGTCTAACCTCAGCCCCTGACAGGTGCGGTTGCTGGTGTTTCTGAGGTATGCACCAACAATCACAAGTTCTTTGGGACTCATACTAATGATATGAATGGATAGATTCTTGTTATGTAAGCTATCATCTGACAGCAATCACCGTGCCGAATTAACATGTTACCAGGTACCCGCTCGATGTGGTCAAAACAAGAGTGTATGTTCTCTACAACCTAACCTCCACGATGTCGCTCACGGATACATAGTCAGATACAAACGGGGAAAGAAGTCGGAGAAGAAGCATACAGTGGCATGGTAGACTGCTTCAGGAAGATCATCAGGAATGAGGGGTACGAACGCAGCCATCTACTCTTTTAGGACCCAGCTAAACCCAGGCAGGTTTTCGAGATTATATCGAGGCATTTCCGCTCCGATTATGATGGAAGCACCCAAGCGGTAGGAAGCCGAGTGCAGCCCGATTTGTTATGTATTATCTAATCCAAATCCAGTGCTACCAAATTCGCCGCGAACGACGAATGGGGCAAAGTCTGGCGAAAGGTGTTCGGAATGCCGCAGATGAACCAATCCCTCTCTATACTTACTGGTGCTTCAGCCGGTGCGACCGAGTCGTTCGTCGTCGTTCCATTCGAACTCGTCAAGATCCGCCTCCAAGACAAGGCCCAGGCGGCCAAATACAACGGCATGATAGATTGCGTACGAAAGATCATCGCCCAAGAAGGAGTGTTGACCCTCTACCAAGGCCTGGAGAGCACCATGTGGAGACACGTTCTATGGAATTCAGGATACTTCGGCTGTATCTTCCAAGTTCGGGCCTTGATGCCGCAGTCGAAGGATAAGGGCAAGCAGATGATCAATGACCTGATCTCCGGTTCCATTGGCGGTACGGTCGGCACCATGTTGAATACCCCGATGGACGTCGTGAAGTCGCGGATCCAGAATACACCCAAGGTTCCGGGCGGTGTGATGAAGTACAACTGGGCCTGGCCATCGCTCGGCGTCGTCATGCGTGAGGAGGGTTTCAGTGCACTCTACAAAGGATTCCTTCCCAAGGTCCTTCGACTTGGTCCTGGAGGAGGGATCTTGCTTGTGGTCTTCACCGGCGTCATGGACTTCTTCAGAAAGACTCGCGCGGAGTAGGGTGGATTTTCTTTGGCATTTGAATAGAGCACGGCTTGGCGACATCATCGGTGTTCAGCATTCTGTCTGTTTGTGTAGATAGACGGCAAAAGGCAATTATTCTGCCATTTCAGTTACTTCCGTTCAATTCTCCGCTACGTTCACATGAATCCTGCGTTGCGGTGACCCACTGCGGTGGGATTGATGCAAGTACTCTTTCATTTGATGTTCGCCACATCGCTACTGACAGGACAACAATGCAATCCTTTGATCCCACTCCTGATCGTCGTGCAGCGATGAATCGGAAGCCGCCCATTGATCAAGCTTTAGAGGCTCTTCCCGCAAATATATTGCGTGGTATTTCAAAAACTCCGAATCGAGCCAAGAGCAACAAGAAAGTATCCTTGAAGGGCCTGAGCGTGTCTCATCCACCCTCTGGTTTATCTTCGGATACGACTAAAATGACAGCGGCACAGCAGCAGCTGGAAAGGACTGGGAATCCCTGGGATGCACTCGAAACGGTGATGCTGATCCTTGTCAGATGCGGTATCCCAATCTCGGCCACATGGCTGAAATGCCAGCCCATCTAAACTTCATCAATTCCTGCAGGGACACACCTCTCTCGTCGACCAACGCGTGCAGGTTCTGATAATCAATACATCCTGGATCTCATACTAGGATTGTATTCACTTGATCCAGATTCGTCCGCCAGACGCTCGCCTGCCCAGCAGTACGGTAGCGACGTGCAGCGTTCTCCCAAGGGAGGAGAGCTTAAGATGAGCCAATGTTGGTTAATATGCGTCCTATACACCACTTATTTGACAGGTGATCGCCCATCTCTTACGGTTGCTTACCATTCCGTTCTATTCGTGTCGTTCAATATTTCACTGTCTCTCGTTTGTACCAGTACAAAGCCTCTTCGTGATCCTCCGCTCGTTTAAGGATCTATGAAGAGCCGTCCGCTCACTTTTTGAATCTTTCCGTATCGAACACCGGTGAAGGGTTGAAGATGCAGAAGATGTTGTTGTTTCTTGTTTCGTTGCTATTTCAGGTCGCGTTCGCGACGTCCTCTCCTTCATCATGGAAACTTAGACGCGAGGTGAACTACACCGAGACCGCGGAGCAGATGGCTCCTGATGAGCAGATAGAGGTCCAGGGTATACAGATGAAGGCGGCGGTCGCTCAATGCAAGGTGACGCCGTACGATCGTCAATGGCCGTCCGAGCAAGATTGGGCCGCGTTGAATAGGAGTATCAACGGGGTCCTGATCAAATCCGCCCCGGCTGCATCAACCTGCTGGCCTGGCAACCCCCTGAATTCGAACGTGGACTGCACCGCCGTCAAATCCGGATGGACGGACTCCCACTTCCACCGGTCTCAACCGGAGAGCGTCGCGTTTCCGATCTGGGCCAACAACAGCTGTATTCCGCCTGACAGCACCGGTTACTCGGAAGATCGAGGATGCACGTACGGAGGATATCCGCGGTTCATCGTCGATGCATGGTCGGAGGAACAGATCGCAACGGCCATGAAATGGGCCGCCGACCGGAACATCCGCATCGTCGTCAAGGGCACGGGACATGACTTATACGGACGGTATGTAGACGACCTCTGATCTTCGAACACATGCTGAGTAGTTCTACAGTTCCGTCGGTGCATACGCCCTCTCTATCATCACGAGGAATTTCAAAAGCATTCGCTACGATGCCACCTGGACGCCCCGTGGCGGTGGTCGGAACCAGGAGTCCTACAATGCCATGATCGTCGGCACAGGGCTGACGTGGGGCGAAGTCTATCAGGCAGCGCATCGCGTCGGGCGCGTAACTGTGGGTGGTGGTACGGCGTCAGTCGGTTTAGGTGGTCATCTAGGCGGCGGAGGCCATGGCCCTCTCAGTTCCTCCCATGGGATGGCTTCCGACAACGTCCTGCAAGCAACCGTCGTGACGACTACCGGAAAAGTCTATATCTGCAACGATCACAAGAACACTGATTTGTTCTTCGCAATTCGAGGGGTAAGACTTGCAGTGCCGTTCCCAGATATGACTGCTAACATGGAACAGGGTGGGCCTGGTGTTTACGGTGTTGTCACTGAATATGTGATCAAGACCTATCCCACGCCTCGAGTGACCACTTCTTCGCTCATGGTCAAAGCAACCGCGGATACCAACTCCAGTATCGCTGCTGCTTGGAAGGCAACAGCAATCATTGCTGGCAAGTTGCCGACTTGGATGGACAAAGGTATTGGAGGAACCTATTACTCTGCGCAAGGGTTTCTGGTCGGGCAGTTCGTTCCTGGATGGAATGACACCGCCCATGGCCCCGTCACCTACGTCGATCTATTCACCTTCGATCACGATACGGCATACCTGGACTCCATCGTTCAGCCCGTGGTCGATCAGCTCACGACCATATACAACAGCACCCTTAAGATTACCTACGCGCCGCGTACGGAATACCCCGATTACTACTCCTGGTCTTCGACACACGAGAATGAATTGCCTGTAGCATACGAGGCGATGCAGTCCGGTCGTCTGGTTCGGAAATCCAGCCTAGAAATCCCCACCCCACAACTCGAGAACCAGATTCGAGCGATCGCGAAACCGCAGGTCGACCTCGTCGGCGCCGTCATCGTCCTAACGATGGTCTCCGGCAAAGGGCCCGCAAACGTCCCCCGCGAGCGTCGCGGCGGCCTGAATCCCGCGTGGCGCCAGACGTACATCCACGCGGTCGCGAACACGGCGATCGTCAGCCCGGGCGAGCTGGTCCCGAGCAAGAAGCTCAAGGAGTGCGCAGCGTGGATCAACGAGAACACGGAGCCCGAGTGGCAGAAATGGGAACCCAACACTGGCGCGTACATGCACGAGGCGAACGCGTTCCTGTCGACGTGGCAGAAAGATTTCTTTGGCGAGAGCAATTATCCGACGCTCCGGAATGTGAAGAGGCGGTACGACCCGAGCGAGAGCTTGTATGTTATGGAGGGTGTTGGGAGTGAGAGTTGGACCTCCGACCTTGATACGGGCAAATTGTGTCGAGCTGGACAGCCTGGACCACCGGGGTCATCCGCATCTGGACAACCGACTGGGCGACCATCTGGACAGCCGTCTGGGCAACCGTCTGGGCAACCGCCTGCATCGTCGCCAAATCCTCCAGTATCATCACCAAGCTACACAAACTCTTCGTCGAGCATCCTTTCACCGTCCTCACCTAGTCCTAGCGGGTCTTCGGGCCTTGGATCGTCCGCACCCACCAGCTTCGCTCCGTCGTCACCATCTCTCCCAGGGAGTACGCCAATTTCTACTGTCCTAGTGGATACGACGTCGCTCGCACCAGAGCCTACGAAAATTATAGTCCCCACTCCAAGCCAGCCAACATCTACTTCTAGGGGAGGACTCTGGGGATTCATCGGCGGCTTTTTTGATGGACTATTTGGTGGATGGTAGGTGGGGGGGTGACAAGATGGAAATTGGCAATGTTTTAGCACCGGAGCGGAATCTTTTTCGCTATGCTTCGAACCTTTTAGGGGATTTCCATCTACTGGAGCGACATTCGCTCCAAAGACGGCAATAGAGCGTGTCTCGAGATATACCATATAATGATAATTGCTACCGTTACGCAGCGTGTCGTATACATACAGATGGAAATCATTCCTATCGCAAAGCCCCTGGGAAAACATTGTACAGATCTGGAGAGTGGAGCGCCGTGCTGTGATCAAAAGGGGTTATGGTGAAGCTGGATTCATGCCTCAGGCAAACAATCGATTTATCTGACATTCCTCCCAGGACTTCGAAACAACATATCAGGGCAGAAAATTGCGCTCCGGCATATTCCTATCCAATTTATCTGCAACCGCGCTGTATACGGGCCATCCCATAATCCTGCTCAGGTGAGATGACGCGAACGATCGAGGGACGTGGGTAGCCATTCTCGAAGCAACCGGAGACGCAGGTTGGTGTTCTCCAGCCGAAGTGCCATGGACCGTCTTCATGACAGTAATAAGAAGCCATGTAGCTAATCCTCTAGCGGTGTACATGGAAATCCTTACTGCGTGGACGCGTTTTCCTGTCAGAAACATACAGCTTTGGTGGAGAATCAGTATTCGGTACCTCTTCCCTTTGGATCAGCGAGGGCATGACTCTCCCTGTACGGGTACACTCCGAACGAATGAAAGCCAGCCTCCAACGACAAGAATTTTCTCATTTACTTTATCATGCATGTTGGTTGAGATTCCTAGTCGTAGAATAGGTCTGTTCTCGGACTCTTGACGTTATCTTCCGGGTTCCGATAGCCTAGGGCCGTCCTCATCTCATCACAATATGGCATCGCTGATCACGGTCCCATCCCAACTCTCCTGGTGCATCGATGTATTCGAAACATGACATGGTCCTCGGCGGTGATCAGAACGCTAGAAGAGCTTAGGAATATGGACGACGGTGTCAATGCGGGCGGCCGTGGGTGATATACGGAATCCTTATCCCATCCCATCAATAGGTATGAGCGGCCGTTGTTGGTTCCAGTTCCAGTGGGTCACGACGGCAGCGATCTTTATCGGCCGTTATACGGGTAACAGGCTTCTATATTAAACCAATTCGGATCCCTCGGCGTCGTCGTGGTACCTAGCAAGACGTATTCTTTACCCCACCTGCCAACGAAGAATTCAGGATGGGACATGGAATCCTGGGCTGGGTTCTCTGCAGCATCATATATGGCTCCTCTTCAATTGGACGGCGGGTGCCGGATACTGGTCTCATCGAGCTCTATACGACAATGTTGCTCAGAGAATACTCCATGTGAGGGTCCTTTGGAAATGCGCTCATTCTAGAAACGTTCTACGCCCATAGTCGGGTCGGGTGTGCTGGCACAGCTCCAGTTTCCGTCCCGCCTCGAGTAAACATTCCCAGCATTATACAGTAAGTCAGAATTTATTATGGAATGTCTTGTCCGCGATGTCCCTGTTTGTCATATGCCTGAACCTCTCACATCAGTTGGGTCTACGACGCAGGGCTTGGCTTTGCGGCTCCCGCTAATTACGTTCATATACTATCTCATAAATTCCATCATTGGCGTCTCTATGAGCCCTTGATACTGCCATGTCAACTTTCCTGGATAATCCTGTCGCTGGACCGTTGACATATACCCAACAGCTCCTCGCAGCTCCTCGCATCTCCTCGCAACGGCTCAAAACCGGACATTCCTTTAGCGTGAGATGCCGCTGGACGTCGTATCGGGGACACAAGTCGTACTGATAGATTTCTGTCTCATTTACCTTGGATGGTCGTCGCGTTTGATACGCACGAATATTATCTACAAGGCTTAGGGTCTGGAAAAAAAGCCTTCGTGTGAACTTGCCTCTGGATTATTTAGCTACTGCGAATCGCGAACGGTGCCGTGGACATTCCTTACCATTTATGGTAGCGACTTCAAAATCCGCATGATCCGGACGGGACGGATTAACACCAAGTGTGTGTGAAGGAAACAAAGACAAGATGGATGCTCTCGTTCATTTCGCGAAGCATGTCATTCGCGCGCAGGATAAGGCAGAAGACGAGCTAGTGAAGATAACGAGACCGGCTTTGCAGGTATGTTCCAATCCGAGAATGAATAGCCGTCGAAATATGAGACTAATCCGTCGTCACAGACCACGATGTGGGTTTGCATTACCGTCTCGATTGTCTTCACCGTATTGCGCCTATCGATCAGGACAATCATGGCAAGAAAGCTATTCGACGACGACTATGCAGTTATATTTGCCATGGCATGCTTCCTGACATACTGCATCTTGTATCAAATTTGCATGCCACAGCTCTACCACGTGGGCATTCTATGGTACACGTTGGACATCACCCCCGAATCGATCATTGGTGTCCAACTGTTTCTCCGGTTCCAATTCGGCATGATAATTCTGTTCTGGACCAATCTTTGGGCGGTTAAGGTTAGCTTCATGCTCTTCTTCAGGCGCCTTCTTCCCAAGACAAAGAATCGACTGATCTGGTGGTGGTGGACCGTCCTTGTTCTTATTATTTCTACATATATTGTCAACATTGGCCTTCAACTAGGATCATGCCAACCGATCAGTCATTATTTCATCCTTGGTGAGTAGCTATTGTTCTTCTTGCAAGATATCCACTGACGTTTGATCAAGGTCAATGCGAAAAGGAGCGCGATATCCGTATATCCAACTTGTCATTACGCTTTGCTGCAGGGACCGATATTGGGACAGACATTCTGAGTAAGTATGTGGAAGTCTATGCCACCTGCATATCTAACCCAATCCAGTCATGTCTGTGCCTCTTGCTCTCTTAAGAAACCTCCAAGTCAGCCGACAACAGAAACTCGCACTCGCTGGAGTTTTCTCCATCAGTTTCTTTATCATAGCTTTCGCAATCGTCCGCATCGTTATGACCAATCCCTTGACGCACCAAGCCGATCCCATCTGGTTGGCTTTCTGGTCGATTCTCGAGTCCGCTGTCGGTAAGCTCCCAATTCCCACTTCTAACTCTCTATTTCCCTCGGAGCCCTCAAATTCTGACTGATGAATCTAGCAATCGTCGTCTCTTGCCTCCCCACCCTCAAATTCCTCGTCTCTAAATCCGTTGAAGCCAGCCGCCGCGGCCAGTACCAGAACTACTACCACAATAATTCCGCCGGCTCCGGTCCCCGCTCTGCTCGCATCATTAAAGAACCTGCCGTTGAGTTCGCCAATCTCAGCACTAGCTCTTCGAAGTCCCCTGGCCCAGCGTGGTCCAACAATATGGCGAGAAACGCAAACGGCAACGTGAATCGCACGAACTCGGACGGGAGTGAGGAGCGGATCATTCCGAAGGATCGGATTCATGTTGTACAAGATTTCGTAAGTGGCCCTATCCACCAGGGTTTGGTTAAGGAATTTGCTGATAGGTATCTACAGAGCGTTGTTGACGAGTCGGGATATGAGAAGTATGGGCATCCAAGACCGGGGATGGCGATATGACCTTTCGTAGTTCGAGTCATTACTAGATGGTCGGTTAATTTTGATATCATTGATTGATCTCAGTTTACTCAGCATGAGGCGCGAGTTTCGTTTCTAAGGACGTTTTATGACAGAAGTACAACCTTCCCTACTATTGATACCAACCGCATTGCGAGATGAAAAGGCTTTATTTTCTAAATTATATATTCTGTACAAGCTGTTGGCAAGCTTGGTGTTTTACTACATACCTCCCCAATATATGCCCTTGAATTCGATAGTTCATGATTGAATGGTCAGAGAAATGATCAGACCCTACCATATCTGTATCGCTGCGTTACTCAGACCTTCCGCCACAATTAGCTCATGACACGTATTAGGGGCAATACGTCCACATTTGAGCCTAACCTTCGGCTTCATACAGAAGCCAGTTGTGCAAAAGCCGAAAAATGCCTCGTGGTGAAGTGACATATGAGACTCCGCTAAGTTTACTTATACAACAACTAACTTACCCCGAAATTTTATACTACGCGCCGGCGCCTAGTATCGTTCAATTTGATGGCATGACTGCTTCATTAATGTCTCTAGTATATTTTCTACTGCTAGACCGAATTTAGCCTTTCGTGCTGAGGCTAGATATGCCTGTTGAGGTTATCTCCTCTTGAGATGCCAGCCACTCCCACCAAAGAAAACTTGCATCCTTCATAAGGACTATGATATATCACAGGCTCCTGAAACAGCTCTAAATGCTTGGTTTTGCGGTGCCGGTCAAGATCCTTTCTGTATCGAAATGCCTTCCCACAAGCTTCCGCTTCGCAGATAAAAGGTGGGGAGTGCTTCATGCGGTACGTACTGTAAAATATATCAACCACACCGCTCATTCAGCAAGTCGAGGGAGGCCTCGAAGAACGACTTGATCTAGGCTAACTTCCAGAAGTTGAACGCGTGCGTTGCTCACTAGCCGATCCAATTGTCGGGAAGACGTTGATTGATTGGAATAGATATAAGAACTTCAAGTGTGAGGAACACGACAAGTTCTTCGAAGTGAACGTATATCAAAGGGATCCTGTGAGTAAGCGTCATCGGTGCGTGAATCCAGCTCGACTGACTTGTGAGGGATTGCAAGAAATGAAGGAGCAGGTACTTGGAGGACTTGGCCCCAATCGACAGTGCAAATACTCACCGAAATTTCCTTTCAGATAGGTAGTTAGCAGATAAATTTTATTCCACGTTTGATAATGTCGACCCCCAGAACGAACTCTCCAAATTCAGTCATGTCATACGGAACCTAAGTGCACTGGAATGAAGAGCGTGATTCTAATCGTGTATATGGTATTGCAAAGTTGACCGCAGCCCGGTCTTTTCGAGCTGGCCAAGCCAGTCGTGCAGTGATATGTCTAAGGGGAGACCCAAGAACGCTATGGTTGAGTGCAATACCCTTCTCAATGCTTTTCTAACCAACTTCCCTGGCCATGGTATCGTACAAATATTCGTCTCCGAACCTCCCTAAAGCCCAAACACATGACGTAAACTAAGCGTCGCGTGGTTCGTCAACATCCATCTTGCTCTCAAAGGACGAGCCGCTCTGCTCGCCAACGGGCAGCGGGTTCGTATTCATTTTGATCGGACTTCCTAGTCCTGAAATATGATCATGCGCAGCTTCAGGGAGCGCCTCTAGGTTCCCATCTGGCTGCGTACCAGGCATGTGCTTGATCGGACTGTAACCCCTCGGGCTCGAGCTTAGGATGCCAGGTAGTCCGCCTTTGCTACCATCGCTCACATTCATCGCCGTGGCGCCTGCAGAAGTAAGTCGATTGGAGTGGTTCCAAGAGGCACCGTTCAGCGCAGTGAATGGAGCGATCCCGGGAGCTTGGCCGGTAGGATTGTGGAGCGAGCCTGGAGGCGGACTTCCGAAGGAGTGGGGAGGACTGGGCCGCTTCCTAGGTGACATGCCTCCGGCTGCTGGAGGAAGCAACGGGGATGTGTGCATCGCGGACGCAGTCGGAGAATATGCACCTTGCCTCGGCTCCACTGGAGAGTATGCACCATGACCTTGATTCGGATCCACTGGTCGCGGCTCCGGTGTGCTCGAGGGTCGGAATTGCGACGACCGTTTAATCGGAGACACAGGCATCGGCTGCTGATGTGGGCGGGGCGACCAGTTAACCGGAGACATAGGCCGCGGGTGCCGAGGAGAGTGGGACGGCCCGTGGGGCGACCGTTTCACTGGAGATATCGGCATCGACTGCTGAGGAGAGTGGGACGACCCGCGGGGCGGTCCGTAGAAGTGCGGTGCCGGTTGGGATAAACTCGGAGAATGGTGCGGATGGAGCGGCGGAAGACTCGGAGACGCATGTTTGATGGGAACAGGGTTTGCGGTGGGGCCTTCGGGGCGGGGAAACTGTAGCGAGCCTTCGGAGGGGAAGACTGGCGCGGGGCTGCTCTTCGGATGGAAGCCGTTCGCTTGGGATGGGGTTTGCGGGGGCATGTGTTTCTGAGGAGGCTGCTGGGGCGGTGGATACGGGCTATGCGCACTTGGGGGACGGGGTAGATCGGTACTCGTCATCGGTACGGCCCGTGGGCTTGACTGGTCCGTGGCAGGATAAGGGGTATAGGAGGGATGGCCATTGGAATATCCATGCGGTTGTACCGATTGTGCTGGTTGCATCGGTCGCGGTGTCTCGTTCTTTTGAGCAGTGGCTCCACCAACGCTGTAGCCTTGCGGTGGCCCAAAGTAGGCTGGACGCATCGGTGCGCCGAATGTCTGGGAGAAGGCGGGAGATTGATATGGCACGGGCCCGGATTGATGTGTGACTGGACGGGGTTGGTTGAACAGGCCGTTGACATCGACCACAACCATAGGCTTGGGCGCGGCTGACGGAGATCCACTTGGAACACCATTGGCAGCAGGAGATGTGCCATTTGGAGCCCCCTCAGGGAGCGGATTCTTTCGAGGTCGTCCAGGCTTTTTCTTGGGCCTCCCGTCCTTTGTGAGCCCATGTGGACTAGCCGCCGCCTTTTGGGCCTTGGTAGACTTCGGAGATGGTCCCATCTTAACTTTGAGAGGCTGTGGCTTCTTCGCCTCCTCCTCTCTCTTCTTGCAGTCTTTGCAATAGAAGTGGAAGTTCTCATTCTCCGCCTGTTCTTTGTTGATACCATGACAAGCGCTGTGTTGCCACACCTTGCAGGTCTCGCACTCGATGCTATGCTCCCCATCGTCGTAGTTCTCCCCATGCTTGCCGCATACGGAACAGTCGAAGATCCATTCGTCTTCCTGTAGACTCTCTAGCTCTTTCTGGCGGCGTTCCATTTCCGCTTTGAGGTGGCGTTCCGATATGCGTGACTCTTCTTGCTCCAATCGCTTGCTGTCCTCTTCTAATCTACGGAGTTCTTGTTCGTGAAGAATGCGTTTGACCTCTCGTTCTTTGAGGCGCTGTTCGCGTGTCATCATGCGATTATGTCGCTCCTGTGAATGGTTAGCTGTGAACAGACCGCTTGAATCAAAATGCCACATACGGCCTCCATCTTGCGCTGCTTCTCCTGCTCCTTTCGAACAAGATCCAACTCCACCCTTCGTTTTCTCTCCTCCTCAGCAGCAGCTTCCGCCTCCTTGAGTTTCTCTTTCTTGCCAGCAAGGCGGCTAGACCGTTTCGCCATGGCCAACTTCTCCATGATTTCTAGGTCCTTGATGCGCTTCTCCTCCTTTCTTTGGCGCTCCTCTTCTCGTTTCTCAATGATAGGAAGCACAGAATCCGTCAATCGCTTGTAGAGATCCTTCTCGTTAGGGTCCTTGGACTTTTTGAACGATTCGATGATCCCATAATATTCGTCAAGCGTGATGGCTATGCATTCCCACTTCATGCCCCCCAATGTGTTTTCCTCAACCGTCGCTTGCTCAGAAGTTTCGACGTTTGCGACGGCGTCCTCTTCATCATCGTCCTCGGCATGATCTTCGGAGAACCGGAGTCGTTTGCTCGCTCGGGATGCTCTAGATTTAGATTTCGGCTTCTTGGTAGACTTCTTCTTTGGGGCAGGGTCGGGAAGAGCTGGGTCGGTACGGCGGTAAAAACGATCATCGTCGAGCAGGAAGTAGATTCTATCATCCGCATCCCATCCAAAAGGGTCAATACGCTGCGTAGACGTAAGTTCTTGCTCGGTGTATTTATGGATGTGATCAACGTACCCAGCTTGCTTGATCCGCATCTCGTTCATTCATTTTCTCCCTTATCCGGTCTGGGTTGACAAAGGTCCATACCGACAGTTGATGGAGAATGCGAAGCTGTTGAAACAGGTCGAAAGCTGCGAAGCTATTGGGTTCTTCCTCGTCACCAAAGGGGTTCCTCTCGGGTGCCTTAGCAAGGTACTGGCGGCGAGTATATTCGTCAAAAATCTCGGGGCTGCTTGGGTCAGCACAGAGAGCGCATGAGTACCAAGGAGAAGGTCGTACGTCAGTCCTTTGTGGGATGAAACATTTTTGAGAAGGGCCAGGCCGATTTCACCTAGCTTGGAAGATCGATCAGGTGCTAGACATTTCTCTTCGAAATCCTGCAGCAGAAAGAATATCAGCATAAATAGTTCTCAACAAGATGGTAGGAGCCTAGGGTAGCGGATGGAGATGTACCTCGATGTCGGTGTCCACAACCTTGACAGCTCTGCCAAAGGTGAAGAGATACTGCATAAGGGATGCAAACTCCCAGGTGTTGCGTAGTCGGACTAGAGTACTTGGAAGTTTGGGGGGCTCTTCCGCCTCCATCTCCTCCCTTCCACGCTTCCTCGACCCCATGGTGGAAGTGGGTGATGGAACGCAACTGATGACAGTCGAACGCGTGTACGATAGGTGAAGGATAGCGGCAGGGCAAGTATCAGGGTAAGGATGGGACAGTAAGTGGATTTTGCACGTAGAAAAGAAAAGCGGAAGGAAGATATGGTGATGTTGGATGTAGGATAATGGAGAAACAGGTGAGATTATCGAAGTCGATGAAGTGATGATCGCGTTCCATTTCGAAATGTTAAGGAACGGGTTAGGAACAGGTTAACGCCACACTTTAAGTCACGTGGATGTATGTTGATGTGGCTGGGATTTGTTATATCGATGTGGACCTGTGGCGCAGGTCGACTTGGCGCCACAGCACAATTCAGCGGATTCGTCACCACTCACCACTCGCCAGGTTTCATTTCCACTGGAGGGTTTCTGCCAGGAAATTTTCAGCGCTGAAAATTTCGACCAGTGAATTTTAACAGCTTTACTCAGCAGCATTTTATTAACCATTTTGGTCAAAGCGTCTTGGCGTCAGAACATTGGATTTATATCGTATTCTTGTCTGCCCTGGCACTAATCTTAGATAGGAATTAGGAAGGTTGACAAGGCGATGAGGGCGGAAAATTGAGCTGTTAACGATTTACCACAGCTGTAAATCGTTAACAGCTGTATTTTAATCGAAAGCACGCCTTACTAGTTACGGCCACACATTTCATACTTTTCAGCTGAAAAATACGCGGATTGGCGCGCTAACAGCGCTGAAAATCCTGGCAGAAACCCTCCACTGCACAACTGAACCTGACTGACAATTCAATACCAGTGTCACAAATCCATCCTTTCCACAGAAAGAGATACAATAAAAGACGTCCTTGTCTCCTTGATTGATTGAATGAATATATCCCATTCATTAAGTGCTTTGAGTTCAAATCACTCAAAGATCTATCAATCTGCTATGGTGCGTCACTCTCGTACATCAGACCCTCTCACTCAGCTCTCTCGTACCGACACACCACCGGAATGAACTTCCTGCCCGTTTTGGCTAGCCGAGTTCCTGACTTCTTACCTAGTTACTACCTACTAATGAAGTCATTCACTTCAATACGGGACAATGGGTAGACTTTGTTTTGCTTCTGCTGTAAACATCAAACTATATCGTCAATACATCGTTCCTTTCCAGTAGCAATGGAGTCAGGCGCAGTCGATCTTAAATTCACAAAGGCGCTTCCGAAAATTGAGGTACTTTTCCTGCAGCATTCTAGCTCTTCCATTAAGTCCAAACGTTTCAAGGCACCTTTCTGTTGGAATTTTAATAAGACATGGAGATGGAGGGCTCACATCTGTATAGCTACATGCCCACCTGAGTGGAAGCATCAGTCGAAAAACCCTCCACCAGATATGGATCACCCGCAGAGAGTCGGATCCCAGCTTCGAACTGGAAGATCCACTGACCGCTCTGCCGCCGGAAAAGACGGAGATGGACGTGAAATCGTAGGTCTTATCCAGGCACATGATCACCACGCAGAGCGCTTTTGATCCGGGCTTTTCTCCTGACTGTTGACGCTCTACCCCTACTTAGATTCTTCCCTATCTTCGATGACTACATCTACTCCCTTCTAAGCACACCCTCTGCCGTCACCCACGCCGTCACCTCCGTCCTCCGCGACTTCCTTGCCGATGGAGTCCGCTACATCGAGCTTCGCACCACTCCCCGCAAGTCGGAGACCATGTCCGCAGAGGAGTACATCCAGACCGTCCTGCAAGCCATCTCCGACTGGCACTTATCCCGGGGTTTCCAGCCGCCCGAGGACAGCGCCAATCCGCGGATCCGAGCCAAACTGATCATCAGCCTTGACCGCCGCTACGACGAATTGCGAGTTCAAACAGTGATAGGCTACGCGATCAAGTACCGCTCCCAGGGCATCGTGGGCATCGACCTCTGCGGACATCCGCAACACCCCATCGACCAGGAAGTCCTCCGCCATGCGTTCCGCCGAGCGGCCGAAGCCGGGCTGGCGGTGACGGTCCACTTCGCTGAGACGCCGGCGTCCGCGAGCAGGCCGGAGCTGGAGTTTCTGCTGAGCAAGGACGTGGGTGCCAGGCGGCTGGGCCACGTATGCCGGGTGCCGGAAGATCTGCGCGAGCAGATCATCAGCGAAGGGCGAGGTGTGGAGATGTGTTTGTCGTGCAACGTGATGGCGAAACTGACGGACGGGGGGTTTCCAGGCCATCATTTCAAGGACTGGTGGGAACGGGATGGGGGCGGGGAGAGTTTGAATGCGGGGCAGGCACGGGCGAAGGTGACGCTTTGCACGGACGACGTGGGGGTGTTCGGAAGTCCATTGTCAAACGAGTTCCTCATCGTGTCACAGCATTTCGGGCGCAAGACTGCGAACGGGCAGTGGCACCCACTGAGTCGGGTGGACTGTTGGTCAATCTGTCGGACTGCGTGTGGGATGATGTTTGGTGGAGACGGTGAACGGAAACGCATGGAAAGTATTCTAGAGGACTTCCGGAGTAATATATTGCATGATACTGGGTGAGAACACCTGGGTCAGTCATCAGAAATAGCATGTTAAGTCTAGCAGTTGTGAAAGAGATAGTTGAAATTCGTTTGGTATCTACTCGTCCAGTCTGTTTGCTTGGTATCGAAAGTAAAAGCACAAAATGACCTTGCAAGCGGCAATGGCCTAGAAGTAGAATGGTCATTAAAAGTCGTGATCTGAGGAGATCGTGGCTCATTCCCGGAGAACGCCAGAATCCCATCCCTTAACCGGATATGAACCGTTGAACCTGCGATCAACCGAATTGAAGTCGAGGTAGGTGAGTTCTCATAACTCATCGACCATCATAATGAAACAGCTGCCGTGCGCCGCCCTGCTCTTAAGAAAAGACCTATCCGGTCCAATTAAGCCCAACCATTTATGCCTCCCGTGTAAGCGCAAATCACTCATCAGAGCCACCCCACCAATTGGTCGGAGAAAAGATCAAGTCCGTCTTCAAGTTCGACACTCATGCCTTGCCTTCCAAAACCATCTCCCACCCAGCCACCACTCTCGTCCCCACATCCGGCCGGGGCTCTATCACCCTCTCCAAAACCCCCCCGAAATCCCTCTTCTCCTCCTCTAGCTCCAGATCCAGACCGCTAGGTTGCCTCCGGATGGCGAGCATCCCCCGCAACCGATGGGACGCGTACTTCGCGCCCTGCGAGACGTGGAATCCGCCCGACGCAAATGCAGAGGACGGGGAGAACGAGCTGACAGACACGGCCGATGCCGGAGAGAAGGATGCGTTGGAGACGGTGTCGGTTGGACTCATGCTTAGATCCGTGGGGGTACTCGGTGGGAGGATTGCGCGGGCTTTCGCGGAGGTTGGAACTGGTAAGGGGTGGGCTGTGGTGCCGTTTATCGTGTTGATGTTGTGCGAGGCGGACGGATGACGGGGTGGGCCATCATGATATATATCGAGGGAACTGGTCGAGGGGGAAGAGCTCCCCGGGTGTGAGAGCGGAGAGGATGAGGAGGTGGGGGAGTGGCGAACGGGGTCTGGGGAGGCCGTTTGGCGGCGGCGGTGGGATGGTGAAGGGGAGAATGCCGTTCGAAGACGGCGGAGCGGATGGGACAATGGAGATCGCATCGTGGTGGTTCGATTGGATGGGTGATCGACGTCCACGGAGTCCGAATAAGAAGATGGAAACTTCGAAGACTGGAAAACCCCAAACTCTCTTAAGAAAGAGATGTAGAGATGAATCAAATGAAAACGAGCGGAAAGTGAGATTTTGTTCCTGCAAACAGTTGAGTTCAACTGTGGAATGAAAAGGACATGTAGTTTGCAATATATCTTTAATGTCCAGGGGGAGCGGGAACCACCAAACTGGGAATAGCAGGCAACTCCAATGTCTTTTTCAGAATATTCCAACAACCCAGATTACCCGGATCTTCAAATAAATAAACTAGGCGAGTCCTAGTCTTATTATTCGAGAATCGCAATGGAAGGATCGAGAGGTTGTGAAGCAGCGGTTGATGTTCTCGACGATCAAGGCGAGCTTCCTCGTCCGAACGCTCGCGGAGACTGGCGTAGATCTCAGTCGCACTGGAATTCTTAGGTATCACGGCTGTCTTGCAACGAATTGCACCACGATGATCTATTTTACCGAGTCTTGGATGTTTGAAGGAAACACGCAGCGTTGTCCAGGTCGCGCACCGGGTAGATTGAGATACGGCACCTGATTACAAGGTCCGATGGTTCACCCAATGGAGAGGAGGGCCAGGGCCAACGAGAGGATGAAGTCGGAACTTTCTGACTTCGAAGCAGATTAATTAATTGTCCCGTCGAGGATGATCGCCCTGCTGCACGGCTGGGTAATGAGGTAATGATCTGATCCCAGCCTGGGGATCCTGCAAGCGCAAATGAGGTCACCCGATGAGCAGGATCGACTTTCGTTTAGGATTGGTGCTAACGAGAGTAGGATAGGTATGATGTAGGAATCAATTAACAGGAATTAGCTTGTGGTATATAAAAAGGTCCAAAACATAACACAGAGAGCGACGAGCCAAAATGGTTCAGGGCCGGAAAATGGGGTGAAGGATGGGCAGATAGGCGGACGGCGAGAGTAGATATATTAACATCCACGCAACCGAACACCAGGACTTTGGTATGTCTCTAACATTTGCCAGGAGGTTAGGAGGGCAAGCCTGTGTCATCACAGACATCCAATGTTTCTCCCTCCCTTTGGAAACCGGTCGCAATACCTGTGTCGGGATTAGTGCGCAAGTTCTTCCTTTCCCTTGTGGTAGGCAGCAAATTCTTCCATTCTACGGATGCCGTGTTTTGCAACGACGCGGCATTCTTGACCGAGAAAGGAAGAATGGCGTCCAAGCGGGTGTTACAGAACAAAGGGTTGAGACAAGCGACATAGGCGACGGAGGGAGGCTGCTACTGCTGTTGCCTCGAGTGCGTCAAGCGATGTTGTGGCCAAGTTCAGGCGAAGCGCGGCTGACAGGGTGTTGGGAACGAACTGCTTGGTGAATACAGCGCAACTCTAACGATGATACAGGAGCAGGTATTCGGGATATGAGACGGTTCGTGTTAGTTCCTGGAGGATGAGGGGCTGACTGCGAAATAAGATGAGGTTGGGGGGTTGAGAGTAAAAAGTGCGGAGCGCGGCTATCCCGAAATGTGTTCCTGAGACAAGCCCTACTTCAACCTCAGACACGCCATCTGCCTTGCTTTTCCTTCATGCCATTCGATCGCTTCAAGTCTGACCCCGTTCCTTACCATGTTCTTTGTTCGCCTTCTTATTATCGTTGACACTTTCGTGCTACTGCGACTATATGCTAGTGCTGTCGCAAAGGCGCAGGAACGGTTTCTGTTATCGTAATCCAATAGCTACGCTTTCGATGCTGCACTGCAGAATCCGATCAGTTCTCCTCGTACAGCAGGTACACAATGCATGAGCTCAAGAAATTCTTCCTATTAATGAGGGTTCGATTATTTCTTCCATGCCGCACGGGTTCGATAGGACTCCTCGTCCGACTGAACCTCGTTCCACGCTATTTGAACATATCTTTTATTTAAAGCTGTGCAATGGTTACTGTCGATGTTTTCGTTCCTTTGCTATTCACTCATTCGGCATTCTGTCCGCCCTGTAATTCCCAAGCCTGTCTACATCGAATTCATGCCGGATTTTTCCGGTCTCGCGAATATGCTCCAAGTCGCCATGTTTTGGGCATGCGACCTAAAGTGTCGCAGGAAATAGTCTCACTTGGGGACGCCACCAGAACGCAGTCGCGAACCTCCATGCCCGATAACATGGTCATTGTCGCATGCCCATTTCTTGAAGAAGACCTGGATTCCGAGGGTTGGCTTGTGCTACATATTGCTGCAGTGTAGTAATTCAAGGAGCTAGGTCACTACAGGATGTGTGGAGTTATTATTGGGGTTGCTTACTGTGCCTATGCACTGAATGAGGACAAATCGGGCAATATTTCTTGGCCGCTCTTCGAATGACGATGAAGGCTTCTCGACTTCTTCCTAAATCACTATCCCCACTCCTCGGCCAGCCGAACCTGCTCTGGCTTTACCTCCAACACAGGCTACTACTATGTATGTACATAGTAGAAAACATGCTAGAATTTGTTGGGAAGATAAAACTGGCCTTGAACTAGGCGGATCTGCCTGCGGAAATCCTTTTTCCTGGTACTCGTTCTCTATAATTCTCCGAGCTCGTTCGGCCTCAGCTCATTTCATCTTCCGGCAACACATTGAAAGCGCTGAAACCATGGATTTCAACAACATAGCGGACTGGTGATTTAAGATATACGCTGAGCCATTTACAGGTCGTCAATATACCCAACAAGGTATCCTGATACACATCTAGACACTTGTGCGTGCAGCTGCATCACAAAGTGCTCGATGAGGAGGGGGCCGCCCTCCGTCTCGGTGTTCGTGATTGTAAGATCGTTGACACTCGCGGATCGCGATATGGGGTCTGGCGCCAATGAAACATAGACCGTCAGTCTGATGTCTTAGCTTTCTACACGGCAAGGGATGAGAATGGCGGACGCGTCAATGGCTTTTCGCCGATACCATGCATTATCCCATTCCCACCGACGAGAGGTTGAACCATGGAATTGACGGAGGCGGGGTCGCCCAGGACCATAATTCGCATGGACGTTTGAAAGCGACTAATCGGAGACGATGGAAGAAAAGAGTGAAGAACATGGGTGCCCATCCTATGCCTACTTTCGGAAGTGTTTATCGGCCGGAACTAGAGCAGGGCCTGCTCGAGGTCTATACTTCAGAGCCGTAGCTGCGTAGCAATCGATATATCCTCTGCAGCAGTCTCACCCGCCAATGGCTTCGGGGAGGATAGGTATCCGTACCTAGTTGTGGTATATCCGCCTCTGCTTCGCTGGTCGGTCCTGGGTCGCTCATTGCTGTGATAATGATCGAGATTATTCCATTCCTCAAAGGTAAACATACGATATTAATACCCTTCTCATGTTGTGCTGTAGTGCACGATTGGGCTCTACACCAGATGACTGAATCCCACATGCATGAACTTTGCTGATTGACGACTGTACTTCGTTTCTCCAGAGGCTGGAGTTTTATGACCTGCAATGAACGTCATATTCCACGACTCCTGCTATGTCATCGCCAATTGCGAGTCATTCTGTCGATATACGGTTGAAGGGAGACAATGTGGTTCGATTAAAGCAAGTGATAATTTAGATCACAGCACTGCAATGAGTGCAACGGCTAAGCTACTCTAATTGAACGATATCTCCGTCGCGATCTGCTTCACGATAGGAAGGGGAATGGGTATGGGCGGACATGGATATGTTCGCTATGTCCGATGCACCCATGAATCAATTACGCATTTGCATCTAGCACAGCAGATATCGACATTCCGTAGGCTTGTAGAGATTCTGTTCCCCCCAAAGACTATTTCCGCTGAAGACAACGGTCCAAATAGGGGGTAGATAATAACGGGTACTCTCGATTGCCTTATCTCCGCCCCCTCCCAAATGCGGGCGGGGGCTTACACGCTTTCTGAAATAGTTTCGCATATTCCTTCGATTACCATACTTAATCACCATGTGATATGAGTATATGACAGCAAATTTCGTAAACCGAGAACGGCCAATCGGACCATTCCGGTTAGAAGCACGGAGTAGCTTTGGGTAAATTCGGAACTTATTATTATTAGGTAACTTATAATTTCCTTCACTAACTTACATGTAATTAAGTAATCGAAGGAACGGTACAAGACGCTAATGAACGAGGATATCTAGAAGTCCGTCTCCGAGTACATGCAGCGGGGTGGATATAAGGAAACGGGAGTAATTTGTATAGATTCTGTTAGCTCCAGTTGAGAGTTCGACCGAACAATCGCTCCGGATTTAAGTTAGCCAACAAAGGCAAGTCCGTTTCCGCTTAAGGCCATGTCTTCTTGTCAACACCGCCTCCGAAGGCCGGAAGCCTTTGCTCTATTTCGTCTCAAGATATAAATTCCACGACTGCGCGCGAAAATTCGAAAGAAGAGTCAACATACTTCTATTCATTCCTAAAGCCAGTTAATATCTTCATTTAACTACGTGCCATACGAATATTGTTAAAAGACTTGTCATCATGGTCCAAGTGGCAGGAAGAAATGTTGGGCCGATTGGCTTTGGGTTGATGGGTTAGTTGTCTACTTCGTGGATTGCCCTCAATTGTTCTTCTTACTGACATACAATAGGCATGACTTGGCGCCCGGAATCCCAACCATTCGAGGAGTCCATCAAAACAATGCGTGCGGCCCTGGCACGCGGGGCAAATCTCTGGAACGGAGGCGAGCTCTATGGCACGCCTGAGCGGAACTCCCTCCACCTCCTCAACGCCTACTTCACGAAATACCCGGAAGACGCCTCTAAGGTCGTCATTGGCATCAAGGGTGGACTTAAGCCTGGCCAGATGGCCTTGGACGGATCTCCCGCCAACGTAAGCCGAAGTATTGAGGAGTGCCTGAAGGTATTCGACGGCAAATGCAAGTTGGATATCTTTGAGTGCGGGCGTGTTGACCCCAATGTGCCGGTGGAGGTCTCGGTAGGGGAGATCAAGAGGTATATCGACGCTGGGAAGGTTGGCGGGCTGAGCTTGAGTGAGGTGAGCGCGGATACGATACGCCGCGCCGCAAAGATTTGCAAGATCGATTGTGTTGAGGTGGAGTTCAGCTTGTTCTCGCTGGATATCCTATCAAATGGAATTGCCGAAACCTGCGCGGGGTTGGGAATTCCGATTGTGGCTTACTCACCTCTCAGCAGAGGCTTCTTGGTACGTTATCGGGACACGCTGTGGCTATGGGCACGTAGAGCTGACACATCCACAGACGGGACAGCTAAAAACCTATGATGACGTTAAGCCCTTCCTCAGGGAGACCTTCCCTCGCTTCTCCGAGGAGAACTTCCCTGCCAACATGAAGTTAGTGCGAGAGGTAGAAGAGATTGCAAAGAGGAAAAACTGCGCGATCAGCCAGGTCGCCATCGGTTGGGTATTAGCTCAGAGCGGACGGAATGGTCTGCCCACCATCATCCCCATCCCCGGTGCCACCACGGAGGCGAGGGTTGCGGAGAACACGACGGCCGTGACGTTGACGGAGGAAGACTTGGCCGCAATCGACGAGCTTTTGAAGAACTTCGTTCCTGCAGGCGGCCGATACGGTGGATTTGGAGCGGCACTGATGAATGGCTAGACTTTGGGAACTCGATGAGGCGGTAGCGGTTTACTAGAATGTTCCGGTCAGCTGCGTCTTGGACAATGTACGTTATATAGTTGTGCAAGACATCTTGGAAGGAAGATTCAGATCAAGTGTAGAAATTTGAGTCCGCATTCGGTTCAACAAGTGAACCGTTGGTATTGCAGAATTCTTTGGTCATCATGGTAGGATGGTGATGTTAGGAAGTGCGAATATGCTTACCTTAATCCAACGGCAACCATCCAGATCTGTCCAACGCATTCAGTAAGAGCTTCACGAGTAAGCATTAAATGATTCTAATATCTCGTACATTAGATCCGTTCCCTGCTGGTTAGTTTCGAAGGCTGGCACATCCATAGCATCCAGAGTGTGGAAAAGAGACAACCAGTACAGGGAGAAGAAAAGTGTCTTCTCCCTTTAAACTCAAGGCAGAATTTGGACTGATAGTGACATTCTTTCGGAATCAATATCGGCTCTCATGTTGATGTTGTGGGAATATAGGAATAAGTAAAATTTGATGCTGACCTCGAGCCTTTTGTAGTCCAGGTCCAGTCCATTTGGCGAGGCAGAAATATCGATGCCTTAAAGCTTCAGGCTGACAGAGACGTCGTCCACACGCGCATCCATCTCCTGGGAAGTTGGAACCTCTTCGCGCATCATGTACTATCGAAAATAGACCTGAATCATCCACTCTCTCCCATATATTGGTCGGCCTGGAGTGTATATACGACTCCATTGGTTACTGAGTATCTTGGAGGATACACAAATCCAACCTAGACCCTTCATTCCTCTAGAGAGCCACCTGAGCTATTCGTTGCTTCCCATCAGCGCCCACTCTTTCGTCATTCACTGCCACACTCTCTATCATGGCAAACATGGACTCACCCGGTTCGCCTCTTTCCGACCACTCCGACGACGAATTTGCCGAAGATATGAAAAGCGACGAACGGTCCCCCTCCGTCGAGCTGGAGCACGAACCTGACCAGGACGTCGCGCGACCCGCGAAACGACAGAAGACCACCGGCCCATCGTTCGAAGCCGGGCAGAACTTCGAGATCGACGAGCTCGAAATCTCTGAGGACAGCGATGGGAGCGTCCCTGGATCTCCCATGCATTACGGAGCGGGCGGTTCTGCCTCCGCCGTCGCGCCGGATCGAGACGACGATGCAATCCCGCTGGAGCAAGTCACGATGTGCAAGTGGGACGGATGTCCGGCGGGAGATCTGGGGAACATGGATAATCTGGTCAGACACATCCATAATGATCATATCCAGGCGAAGCAGAAGAAGTATTCATGCGAATGGGCCGATTGTCCGAGGAAAGGGATCACGCATGCTAGTGCGTATGCGCTTCGAGCGCATATGAGGAGTCACACGAGAGAAAAGCCGTTCTACTGCACGCTGCCAGGTATGCAATACTTCGCGCGATATAGATACTAAAACTGATGGCTAACCTCATCATATTTAGAGTGCGATCGGGCATTTACACGGTCAGACGCGTTGGCGAAACATATGCGGACGGTCCATGAGACGGAATCATTGCGACCAAGCGACCCTATCCCAAAGCAGCCACCTACCCACCCGGCGAAACAAGTCCAGCGGATTCGCTTGTTCATGAAAGGCTCCAACGGCGCCGACCGCTCAACCCCCGCGTCACCAGCACATCTCGGCGCCGTCGACGTCGCCGATGACAACAACAACATTGTCTACGGTCCCCCTATCCCTGGGGGTGGTCTCGACTATTCCATTGAATTCCCCAAGGACATCGAATTTACTCCCGAAGAGAAGGCGCTCCCTCCACCCGAGCTGTACCGATTACTGAAGAAGCAGCTGGACTGGGCGAAAGACATCGGCGAAGGGCTGAAAGAGGACGTGGATCAGATGCTGCTGCAGCGCAAGCACGAATGGGCCGTTAACGACGCGTTGATGGATCGGGCCATGGAGAAGGACCTGGATTACTGTGAGCACAAGTTGCGGCGGAAAGGGAAGCTGAACGATCCGAAGATGCGGGAGATCCTGAACGGGATGCGGCGCGATATGGGAGAGGAGCCGTTGGTGGATTCGTCGAGAGCAGATTCATTGAGGGCGCAGCTGGAGCTGGCGGAGAGGGACGAGCCATGAACCCGGAGTCGATCAGCCCAATCGGGATTGGGTTTTCTACAGTGCAGTCGTGGCGGATTTATACCGCATCACGGCGGTCGAAAGGCGACCACCTGTCCGCTACTGAATTGTTGGGAGGTATGCTCCTGTGCGATGCTCGGGGTGCTAAGTTCTTCATCCGTAAGGCGATGCATGGCGGAGTCTCGTGCAACATTCTCCTTGCTTTACCTGCTGGGATATATGGTCGAAGATATTCGATATGCGCTCAACATTCAAGGTTCAACTTCCGATTTGATATGTCAGGCTCTATGGAATGTTCCGATCGTGCGAGGCCATCAACAGGGAGAAAAATTGGGGACTGTGCAACAGATACTGGAATCTGTACTCCCACAGCGCCCTCGACAATATTCCAGATTCCAGGCTCACTACAGAGTACCAGTAGTCCCTTCCTCGTATCTAAGGACTTGAATAGTATCCAATCTCACCTACATTGCCTGATTATTTTGAGCATCATATCCTGATTCCTCAGATGCCAGCGGACTTTCTTGATCCTAGTGTCTCGGAACGTCAGATTCCCCCCTTCTTTATTCCCGAACACGCACATGAACATTATGAACCTGGATATCTGCCGTGAAGTGACCGTAGGTTCATGATTCCAAGCGGAGAATCCGGAATGCATCCTTTCCATCCCACCGAGCTAACCGTGACCTTACTTCTACAAGCCTACATGTGATCCTTTCGATCTCATCAATCTCGCTCCTCTGAACTCCTCGGATGGCGTCACGATCCCTAATATCAAAAACGACACCATCTTCCAACTCGGACACATGAAAAAGGTACCCGAGCAAGCGAGCCAATCATCCCAGGATCTTCCTGCGCCAACCATCCATGTCCCGGATCGGCTCTCTCTCCTTTTCCATTCTCCATTTTCCCTGTTGTCTCCTAACGAGTTCCCCAGTTCTTCTGCGCCTTTAGCGTTTTCTTCGTGACAGCCTGCTCGACTGCTCGCTTGTCTTCGGGTCCGATCTCACCATCTCTCTCGCGCCTCGCTAACTCACGCTAACGGCGGGACGAAACAGCTTACCGAGAAACCCACGCCAGACGACCCGACGGCCGCCTGGGCTAACGCGTGCCCAGAGCATGGCATTCGTCCGCCCTTTTGCTACACATGAAACCTGGGTGGGGATGATAAGCGATTTCGACTTTCCTCGACGGTGGTCCGTGGTGGCTTTCGGTAAGTTGCTCGTTCCGTAATCCGTTGCCGGGCGGCTCGCGAATCGAGAGGGGGCTGAGACACGGGCTACATCAGTACGGGACAGGGCTTAGTTCGCGGAAATTTTCGCATAGATGTTGAGGCGGTTGAGGTGGTTGAGGTAATGAGGTTGGACGTCGGCGATGCGGATCGCGATGATGGAGAGGCAGAAGACATATTGTCATATGAAAAGGAGGGTTTATTGTCTTTACTACCGAGTAGCGGACTTCTAAAGGCGGTTGTCTATACTGGAGCTCGTATGCAGCCTCCGCTCGCTGGATATGTGTATTTACCTGCTGGCACCCTGCTGGCACCCTGCTGGCACCTGTGTTCTCCCCCCATAGTGGTCTAACGATTCGGTCTGCGATCGCCGTTAGAATACCTCCCTAATTAGCTGAAACAGATTCTCGAGTAATGGACCACGCTGATGAGAAGTCTGGTAATCCATCCATCGCATGAAGAACTTGATATCGCCCCTAGGATAGAAAGGAAGCGGATGTCACGATCGTAGTCAACTCATCGGCACCTCTGCATATGGATATAGTTGCTAACTTGTTAGTGTACCGGCAAACTGGCTGATCCAGGCTGCCTTTTGAGGCGATGAACGTTTCACAAGCGAACAACGCATCCGACGCGTATTCTCCTCCTAGAAGTCCCAGTACAGGTAATTACCTATAACTAGTTAACCTATTAGATGCCGTTAGCAAAAGACATTCTCGCTTGTGAAGCATGCACTCATGCCGCTCGCAGTCTCGCTTGCTGCCCATCCATCCTTGCCTCATGCACATGCGGTCTTCGCTTATGCGTCTATCCAGTCGCAACCTGGCTCGTGGCCGTGGATGGTGTAACATCAATCTGACAGTTTCTTATTTTACCATTGGACACGGGAATCTGGTCTGGGGTTGGGAGGGGTTGGACTTGGGGAATCGGAGGGTTTGCCCACTTGGATCATCCTTGCTATGGACGGAAACATCGCCGGCCTCCAGATGGGGAGTGACTGTCCGATTGACGAACGTGCCGGCTGTTGATGTTTGAGTTATCCGGGACAAGAGGGTTCTCCAGACAATGCCATGCCAGTTAGGGGAAATAGACAAATAGTACACGATTCGACCCATGCATCTACTGAGACTTATTATATACGTATTATGCCGATCCCTGGTTTAGTAACGGACCTGTGGACTCTGTCACTCATGTAATCCAAGTCCTCTGAAGCCCAAATGTGAAATGTCAAAAGATTAAATGGAGTATTAGCGCCCTTATGGTACGATGCTCAAACAGTTGAACAATGGAAGAGTTCTAAAGTGGTCTGATAGCGCCACGAAAGCCGTCGGCAAGTTGATATGAGAAGTCGATGAAGATATACCCTGTTCGGGGACAGAACCAGCGGGATTGCCATGTCAGCCGTTGCGGCGATGTCTATTTGCAGCGTGATGAGCTGTCAAATAGGATTTATGCAAGGTGGGTGGCAGTTGACATGCTCCTTTGGACCGAAATTAGCAAAACAAGTAAGTACCTTACTTGGATGTTCGATATGCCTGATACGCCAGCGTATATACGAAAAAGCATTTCACCATCAATTGTCCAATCACTTCCGCAAACTATATTACGCGTCTGACTATCTGGCGTTCGTATTGCCTCCAAATCTGCATACATAGCAAAAAGCAACGGGATGAAGGCGGGACATCCAAGTGGGACTTCACACTCCATCACCTTCATATTAACTGAAGCAGGTGGTCGAAAGTGCCAAGGAGGTAGGGAACAGGGCTCGATAAAGCTCGTCTCCGCATTCTGCCCCCCCCAGTTCCCAAAAGTGTCGTGGGTGTGTGCTCCAGTGCCATTCCCTGGTTCGACGAGTAGCCTCTTCATCTATCCCCGGCACAGCCGAGGAATATGTTGGAAACCATTGGCTATGGACTGAGTTGGATGCTGAAACTCATGAAAAGGAGAGCCAGTCCTCGGATGGGCCCCGGAGATGGGGAGGTTGGAACGTGTGATTGGGATTTGGGATTTGGGATTCTGGGGGAGGGCAAACACGTTTTCGGATTTGGGGCGAAATGCTGGAGATTGGGAAGAACGTACGGAATAACGATATGCTGAATGGAGAAAACGAGGGTTCGCAGTCCTGGAGTAATATTGACTGTACTGGTCAATCTCAAGGGAGTCGGTGGCTTGGGCAATTTGACCAGTTCATCGCTTATTCATGTCGAGACAAGATATGGATACAACCGAGTGACTACCGATTATCAAGAGTAACAGACTGACAGCGACAGGGACCAATTATTAGACTTTGCAGTAGTTCAGCAAACACCAATATGTCACCGAGTCCAAGCTCACGATGCAATAATGAATAGGGCTTTGGAAAAGGGGCAGTTTAAGCTTGGATGAACTGCTTCATGTATCTTGTTTGGTATGACACTGTGCCAGGACCAGGGGTAATGAAGGCAGGAAAACCATTCGATCGTTTGGATAATGTCTTATGTACTCCGTACTGTAACAGAGACAGGAAGGTAGCACGAATGGTGGTAGTAGTATCATACGGAGTACCTGTAACTAGCGGTAACTCAAGCAAGAAGGAAACAACCATTAAGTTCAAGCTTTCAACGATTCCCTCGCTTGGACGGGTTGCTCCTTCCATCCCTGTCTGCGCCTGCTTTTAGGACCCTGTTCGCCATGCCGCTCTCTTTCTCGCTTGAGTGGCCGGGAAGTAAAGCAACCAATCCGACACAACCTTCACGCTTCAACCCTCACTTATTCTGACATCCTGACAGCACGGAGGAGTAAGGGACAGCCATGCCAGCATCTTGACATTGTCCTGCAGCGGTTCTACAAGAACCTGCATATCTCATTACTCAGTTAGTCAGTTCAGGAATCGTGTCCGATCCGCATGTCTTGCCTTCCTCTTGTCATATCTTGCTTTCTTCCTCCCCCACCCCAGATTGTCTCCATTTTTCCTTCCTGACTGGTATCCACCGAGTCGTGCTTCTCTTCACAAGCCACTCGCCCACCTCCACCTCCAAACCCGACTCCAACTTTCATCCTATCGAAAGTCAAACACCTCGATTCCACACTCCTCCGGGCGGCTCTGTGGTCTGCGATCCCATTGCGCCATCTCCTGCACTACCTCTCTAAGCGAACCCCAAGTGCTCACACCTATTCACTCCTTGCAGTTCCTTCTCCCCCAATTGCCTGGCCTGGTCTGCAGCCGTTGCGCTGTTCCCTGCCCTAACCGCATCGGGAATCTCCCCTTCTGATCTTCGCCGTCTCGGAACCTCCAAGCTGCCATGGCCGACGAGACGCCACGCCACGACGAGGACCGGCAGCAGGACGAGAAGAAAGAAATGATGCCGCCCCAGGAAGAACCACCGGCAGGTGCTCCCCACGTTCAGCAGACGCCGACGGAACCACTGCCGCAGCCGAAACAAGAGCCTGGCACGGAAAGTCAAAGTAAATAATACCATCGTTTCCCCATTTGCTGCCACTATTCACCACTCCCATTCTCCTTCCAACTTCCCCTCATCTTGGTGCCCGATGATCCCTTTAGCCAAAATGCAGTCCGCTTACTCATACACGTACGTTCCAGATCAAATCGCGCCTCCGCATCCTCACCACTACTCCTCCATTTCCTCCCCACCAAACATCACTCTCCCCTCAATTAACCTCCCCCCGATTCGCACCATGGACGGCCAACAGCCGCTGCCTCCACATCCGAATCCACCGTCATTGCAAAGCAGCGTTTCCCCTAGTCCTCCGTCGCATGTGTCCAATTATTTCACACAAGCCGGGAACCACATGACCCTTCTAGGACACTCGTCGCATTCGCATTACGATGGCTCACACCACCTACGCTACCCGCTACCGCACCAGGAAGGCATGGAGCAGCGGATGATGTCGGATGGAAGGCATAAGAAGGAGATCAAGAGGAGGACGAAGACCGGTTGTTTGACTTGTCGGAAGCGAAGAATAAAGGTGAGTGCTGCGGAGTGTTATCACCCATTGACATCGATTATCGAGCCTACATATTCCTGAAACGTTCCCATGTATTGCCATGACTGAGCCGCTACATCACTTGTGAGGTTTTTTAAAGGGCTGGGCCTGGGGGACTACTGGTCATAAAGCGGGCGTGGCGCTAGACATCTTCCCCTTGCGCATGCAGCAAGATACACAGTTCACATCACTCTCATGTTTTGTCCGGAAAACACAACAACCTCCATGCGAAGCTGCGCATAACAACTAACTGGTTCTTCACAGTGTGACGAAGCCCACCCCTTCTGCAACAACTGCAAGAAAAGCAAACGAGATTGTCTAGGTTATGATCCTATGTTCAAATCCACCATTCCTGCCAACCTCCAACCCGCGCACCCATCTAACTCGCACCATACACAAGCAGGCGCCCAGTCGGCGTCACCACCAGCAGCTCAACACTACTATCCTTCCGCCCATCCACCACAACAACCAGGTCCGCAACCAGTTAAACCGATTGGTCACATTGGTGAACCCCTCGGCGACCCTACTTTCATCTCGACGATGCCGACACTGCCGGCGTACCACAGCAACAAATCTCCCCTGATCACGGCAGACTATAAGCGTAAGTTCAGCATGTGCCTATGAAGATGGAGGATGCACCTGACGGTCCTAAGCCCCAAAACGAATAACGATTGACGACCTGTACCATGTTGGTGGATGGTCTCCCACGAGTCCACCAGTAGCCAATCTGGGGTACAATATCCCTGAAAGCTCCATAGCTGAGATCAAATTATTGTACACCAACGACTACGCCCCCGGACTTGACGCGATGCTCGAAACCACCTGGTACACCACAAAAGGCTGGAGTCGTCTCATCACGAACCGGCCCCTTCTCACCCTCTTCGCCCACTACATCGATCGATGGCGTAAAGTCCCCCAATCCGACTATGACGGCATGCAAACGATCCGGTCTCTCGGAATGCAGCTTGTCTGGAAGCTCTTCTGCATGATTCGGCCATTCCAATCCTACGCACCGGCCACCCAACCCCACACCAACGGCACATTACCACCCGTCTCCAACATCGATCCTGACAACCACCCTGCCGACACCCTGCAACTCAAAGAACTCCTCCCACGCCTCGAAGTCCTCGAACACCTCCTCACCGGCCAACAACTCCGCGACAACCCCATCTCCCTCGCCGACTACCCCCCGCACCTCCCCGAGCTCAAATCCTGGGAAATCGAGTTCTGGCGCCTCGTGGGCCTCTTCCTGACCCTCCGCGCCTCCGACTCCAACCTCGAGGAATCCAAGCGCGTCGAAAGCGCCCTGAAATCCGTGCGCCTCATCCTCGGCCTCAAGGAGAACCGCGACGTCATCTACAGCATCCTGGTGACCCGCCATTTCGGCCCGCGCGTCCCCGGCTTCCCGCGCATGGAGATGCCCGACCCGATCCGGAAGCTGCGAAGCCCCGACCAGCCGAACCAGGAGGTCCCGATGCTCGAGGACGGCACCGAGATGCGGCTGTGGGTGGCGAAGGATTTCATCGAGAAGGAGGCGAGCGGGGGTAGCACGAACGAAGTGGCGATGCGCGTGTCGGATTTCGTGCGGCGGAGTTGGCATATTTTGCATGAGGAACCGTAGTTTGACTGTCTTGTCGCCCATCACATCAATGGGTGAGTGTCGATCCCGACGCTCTCTCGTCTCGGTAGCCAACTACAATGATTTCGGCTTGTCTTTCATTCTTGGGTTCTTATGACCAGCCTTTTTTGTTCACACGATTTCATGTGGCTCGGGCATTTCCTGACGGGGTTCTTCTTCTTCCCCCGCTCCCTCTCCCGCGGACGGGGGTGTTTTCCGCCGCAAACGCGTTTCTCGTCGGCAACCCTGCCGTTTCTTCATTTCGGACGAATTTCTTTTGTTGATCATGTCTTAATACCATTGTCCAGTCACGGCGCTCTGAAGAGGGCCGACACTGTATAGTTCTTGCCCGGGAGCGGCTGGGGACGAACGGAAGGTGGATTGATGCGTGGTAGCGGCCACGATACATAATGCGGATTGGGGTTGCATATGCAGTTGTTAGAGAGCTGTAATTATGAGGACAGAGTTCGGAAGTAGGGGGTTAATGTCGGTGTAGATACACTGCATGTGCATACAGCAGAATATCAGGCGACGGTAATTCCGGCTATTTATTGAGTTGTTGATATTACACTGTGTCTCGATTTCAGTCATCTGATCGTCCTGTGCATGAGCTACGCTCCATAACCATCGATATGTGCCGCTAGAAAGGGCCTTCTCTGGACACATAATTACATCCAGTGTGGCCCGCGCTAGTGTCCTAGGCCATCCAAATGGCACGACCGACAATCCAGCGGCCATTTCAACGGCGATCCCGGATGGGTTGCCAAATGCTGCATTTAGCAATTTTCGGTCCCTTCGTAACCCGGGTGCAATCTTCAGGATTCTTCATCGCGAAGCCCGCCCGAAGCCGGCTCTCGAATCCGCCGAATCCACGGAGAATAAACCTTGATATAAAGCAAGCTTGTGCTCGCCTGCACCACTCAATCCGCATCCGGCCCCAGATACCGTTCCAAATCTCGTTCCTCCCGAAACATCCTCATCACCCTCTCCCCCCGCCTCTTCTTCCCCTCTTCCATCTCCCTCACCTCCCTGGCCCCCAACTTCCTCCCCTTCTCCACCCGCTCCCTCACCCGCTCCTCCAACCTCGCCCTCCCCTCCCCCTCCTTCCGCATCGCCTCCACCAACCCTAACCCCGCCGTATCCCGCTTCTCCCGCGCCCGAATCGGCGCTACGATCCCCTCTCCCCGCGACCCCAGCCCGGTGCGCGAATCGGGGTCCCAGCCGTACGATTGGAGGTAGTGGAGGCCTTTGCGCGTGCGGTCGAGGGAGGACGGCGGGTGCGAGTGCGGGAGGGAGATCTGGTGCGTGATGCTCGCGGCGTGCAGGTTAGGCGCGGTGGAGGAGACGGTCTGGTTGCACGCGGGGCAGATTTGCTCGGGAGCGTGGTGCGGTGGCTTGGAGGCGGGGACGGTCGGGGCTGCGGGCGGAGCGCTCTGTGTATCTCGTGGTGTACCGTCGGTTGTCGTTCGGCCAGCCGATAGCGCGGGCGATGATGAGGGGGATGGGGTTTCTGGGAGGACGATAGACAGGTATTTGGCGGCGACGTCGGTCCCCGAGGAGCGGGGGAGGGGCGGTTGGGTGGAGGTCGGGGCGCTGGCGGGGACGAAGGCGACGCGTTTGCGTTTGATGCCAGCGCCGAAGATGCGTTGGTCTTTTAGGGGTATAGTGTAGGTCTCTTCATCATCGGACATCGTTATTCGGGTGGGGGGTAGGGAACCATCCGCCACGAAGACAGCTTTAATAAGGTTGAATGTTCACAGTTGGATAGTCTCATATCAGTAGACAGTAACACCATTTTGCTGACTAAGTGAACTAACGTAAACATTAACTAACTTAAGTTAGGCAAACATCGTAATTAATATAGGTCGACAATCTGCACGTGACTTCAAATCTATCACGTGGAATGAACGATTACCTGTTCCGTGCACAATGCGAGTTCCGGAATCGCACCCAGATGATAAATACCTACAATCCTCAACCTCCATAGTCTAGACTTGCCATTATCGCACTGCTCATCTGAACGGACTTCAATTCTTCCATGAAATGTAAATGCTAAGATCATACGGCCATAGAGGGGATCAACCGAAGTGGACAGCTCATGATGCCCATTTCCGGCATCCTGACGAACTGCAGAGGTCCATTCACTTCGAAACGCTCCGTCCTTTTCAGAATGACAGAGACGGCGATTTGAAGGGCCCTATAACATTTGAGCGCGAGATACTTGAACTGAAGTGTAGATACTTACATCCTCGCGAGAGGCGCTCCCGCACAACGGTGCCGCCCTCGGCCAAATCCAAGATGGGATGAGATATTCGGCCGATCTAAGACGAACTCATGAGGGCGAGGAAATACTTGAGGATCCCGGTTGCCTGCTGCATAGGTCATGGTCACCGGCTGCCCTGGTCGGATGATGCGACCGTGGATTTCCACTTTGCTTGAAACCGTTCGCGAGAATCCTCGATAGGGAACATATAACCGGATGAACTCTTCTACAGCAGGCCCAATCAGTCCAGGTTCTTCTCTCAGCCGTTGTTGCAGCTCTTGATCCTCCGAGAGATGGTTACATATCCCTCCTAGCATGAGTGGTGGTGCGACCATGCCGACCACCAAGCTTTGCCTTAGTGCACCGCTATCAAGTCCTCAGCATTGTTGTTGTTTTCAAAACTCCCGATAGTCAGTCTTACATTAGATGCTCTTCCTTCAACGGCTCCCCTTTCTCGTCCTGTTCTGCCAGTAAGCTAGTGGCGGGATCTGATGCCGTGTCTCGTGGATTGTCTTTTCTGTCTGCAAACAGCGCTCTCGCAATGTCGTACAGTCTCGTCGAGTACTTCATAACATTTTCAGCATCTTCCTGCCTCCATGCGTTCACCCACCTCGCTGCTGTTTCCGCTAGCACAGGTGCCGAAGCATGATCAAGGTTCAACCATTCTGTTTCAACCCATGCTGCGTAATTCGCTCCAAATTCGGTGCAGATGTCGCCACCGCCGCGTTGAAGAAGTTTTTCCAGTTCCTCTTCGGCATGCTTTTCGAGCAATGGACGCAGTCTCTCCAGTCTTTGTGGTCGGAGTGTACGGTCCAATGCGGTTCGGTACGGGGTATGATTCGGTGGATCATAGTTCAGCGGCGGCCTTCTCGTTCCTCTTGGGTCGGATGGGACAACAGCTTTGACAGAGGATATGAATGTGTTATGATCTGCAGCGGATGCCTTGATGTCGGCATACCTGGTTAGGAGCCAAAAACCGCCCTTATCCAAGGTGAATGCGAGAGGACAAGTGCTGCGCAAATGATCGAATTGTGCGTGCAGAACTGCGGGGTTGTTGGATGGATCAATATGGAAATCGGATTTCCTGTTTTCGGGGAAGCTTCCTTTGGCACCGCCCGGACAACCCTTTTGAGGCTCTATATCCAACCTCCGGCAGGTATTGACGTGAGCATTCCCGCTTAGCACTGACCCAGGAACGCCCAGTTTTTCCATTTTCTTCTTTATTTGGAATCGAGATGAGAGGAAAGGGAGCAATCGAAGTTTCTCAGTCCTCCGCATTGACTTCGTCATGGAACTACTTCGGTACTTAAGTGGCTTGTCATCACTCTGCCGATCCTCGTACTTCCTTGTACCGACTCCAGGATGTCATTGGATTCCAACGTCACTGTCAGTCATGGATGCTGTGGAGAGCTGTGGAGAGCTGTGGAGATGCATGTGGAATAGGCGAGCTTAAACGAATGGGGCGTGTGGAGAGCGAAGAAAAGAGCTAGGGTTCAACACCAAGGCCGGAAATTCGATCCTCGTTTCCTTCCGGGAACGAATTTATAAAGTGATCCTCTAAATTCTAGACACTTTGGGCAAGGAATTCGGATTATTGGCTGAATCAACAGAGCAGGTATCAAAATGCTACCGACTCCGCCCCTGCCGTTATCTAATACAGGGTCTGTATTACCTGTCGGAAGACAGCAGATGTATGCCCTCTGCTGCATATCTATTTGCCGGGAATTATTCCCATATGCGTGTCCAGAATCAATAATTATGGACTATCCCTAGTGTGGAACGAAGAGGGGTCGTCTACATCTCGCCTGTTTCGCTCAGCCAAACCTATATAACAAAGGTAAGCCACGCCTAACCCAGCTACTGGTTATCCCCTTCCCAATTCGCGAAGGCACTAGCAGACACCAATATCTACGGTCTTTCACATCCATCGAGATGGAGAAAGCCGATATGGTCACGATAGAGCAACGCCCGATTCGATGGAAGCAGCACTCTCACTATGAGCCCACCACCAATGAAGAGCGAGAGTTGGACCGAACCATTAACTTGAAGTTGGACCTGGTGGTTGTCTTGATACTGTCTATCAACTTCATCGTGAGCCTGTCTATCGCATTGTCTCCGGCGTAGTTGCACTGACCTCTATCAGTTGTGTGGTATAGACAAGACCAATATCGGATTCGTCGCAACAACAAGTATGCACAGCGCTAGGCCGGGACAGACGATATCTAACCTTGACAGATTTTGTTAAAGACGCTAACCTCAGGCCTGACGATGTTCCCGACTCTGTGTCCTTAGTGCGTATCATTAACCTTTTAGAATAGATGTGGCTAATCATCCTCCAGTTATCTGTGACATTCGTGACTCTGCAACCATTCTCAGCTGCCATAGGCCGCTATATCCGTCCCAAATACTGGATCTGCCTCATGATGCTCTTTTGGGGGGCAGTCTGTATGGCTCATGCCGGGGTGAAAAATCGAGCCACCTTGATTGCATTACGCTTGCTTCTCGGAGCCGCAGAAGCAGGATTTGTTCCCACCTCTTTCTACTACCTCAGCACGCTTTACCCAAAGTACGTGCTGGGGAGGCGATTGGGCCTGTTTTGTGGAATGTTCGCTATAGCGGGCGCTTTCGCAGGTCTCATAGCCTATGGCCTCTTCAAGATCAAGTCTGACGTCCTCCACGACTGGCAAATCTTGTTCATCTTCGAAGGCGCTATCACACTGCTGATGGCTATTGTAACATTCGTCATGCTGCCTGCAGATCTTCACACGGCTTGGTTTCTTACCCCGCTGCAGCGCGCTCATGCCGTCAGAAGGATGCAAATGGACCTCGATGAAAACGTTCCAGACATAGAAGAGGTGGCAACAACCAAAGAGAGTCGGAGGTTCTCATCCCGAGATCTTAAAGAGGCTCTAACGGATTGGAAGAAACTCATTGTTATATTGTTCAACATCACTGCGACTCTTCCAGTGTCCGCCTTTTCTTACTTCATGCCTTTGCTCGTCAAGGGAATGGGGTATACAGGTGTTAAGGCATCCCTGATGAGTGTGCCTCCATTCATTGTCGGAGCAATTGGATTATTCTGTTTCGTCACGAGCAGTGATTACTTCAAAGAGCGCAGCCTCCACGTCATGTCCGCTATGTTTTTGGCTATTATAGGGTTGATCGTCATGGTCGTCTCGACCAGCTCAAAACTTAGATATGGATTCACCCACGTGTGTCTGGCCGGAGCATTTACGGGAGGCCCGCTCATAGTTGCTTGGATTGCAGGAAATACACCTGAAAAGGTGGAGTATATCATGGTCTTTTACCGAACAAGGCTAATATTCACGGCCAGGGTGTGCGCTCGATTTTAATTGGCATCAACGGCTACTCTAACCTGGCCGGTGTGATAGCAGGGCAGCTCTTCAAGACGAAACATTCTCCTAGATGTGAGCCACTAGCGTCTTTAATTGACGCCAATCTAACAGCAATTAGATCGATTTCCATTGACAGTAACGATGTGTATCATGTCTGCCGGAATAGTCGGATTTGGGATAATTCGATCAGTATTTGTGTATATCAATCGATCGAGAGAAAGAAAGATAGCAACCTGGACCGACGCAGATTTCGAAACCGAAGAAAACAGCACCGTCAGGCGAGGTGATCGCCGATATACGTTCAAATACGGGTACTAGCCCCCCAGAGATATACACACGCTGGCCTGTTCGTTGTCACAGATAGGATTACTGGTATTTTATTATGAATCAACCGCATTTTGCGATCCACATACTCAGGACTCGCTCCATCTCCCCAGCGACGCCCCATTGTGCGCTTAGCCCCCTCAGCAAGATCAGCAAAGCACTCAATTCATAACTGAGGTTCTTGGTGTGGACTGTCATCGTGCTTGTGCCGATTCCAGCCGCGAGTCCGCCATGGAACCTTCCAGCCACAAATTCGACTGTCTCTCGTTTTGCGGTATCACCCTCTCTCAATACCCTATCGACAAATACGTGATCCAAGTCCCTTGAACTCAGGTCGCTAATCGCAAGGCCAGCAACTTCCCAGTCAACCACTGAAGGTAATACCACCGTCACAACGCCTGCTCGAACGTGTGCCGCATACAGTGATGCAATACAGAAGACGCCAACCGGAACTTCGAACCCGTGACATCGTCCGCGCGGCAACTCTTCGACAATCTTCTGCATTTCGACCGCATGGAGCAACGCCTGCCTGGCATTGGGGCTTGCGACCCACCCCCCCGGGTCTAGATCATCCTCATGTCGAGGCGAACCGCCAAAAATGTGCTGTTGTATGCCGAGGAGATGACAAAGTCGCCGAGTTCCCCGCGCTGTATCGGCAGAGATAGAAAGGGCATTGGTATGCCACCGAAGAAGGAGGGATAGGGAGTCGACCGGGTTTAAAGACGGGTTATTGATGATGCAGCCACGAAGTCGGAGTAACGCAAGATAAATCTCGCGTGTCCCTGGACATCCAACTGGTGGTGCAGCGTAACCACGGCGCGATTCGAGTACTAAGGACGCAATACCTTCGAGGGCGGCCCGAAGAGAAAGGCATGATGGCAGCGAAAGCTCACTAGGTACCGAATTCTCGTAGCCAAATAGGCCACGAAACACGTTGCAATATGAAAGCTTGGGGTTATGCGGTACAGAGGCGCGTGTCTGTTGAACCCATTCAGAGGCCGTCGTGGCTTCAAAAGCGGCCTCGCTGCCAGGTAGAGGGAGAGGATTTCCCATGTGTGAAGCAAAAGTCGGGTTCCCCGAGAACTGTGCGACGATTCCATCCATGATATACATGCCTAACAAGGCTCGGAGTTGGGTTTCGCGAGCCGCCCAAAATCGCCATATCTGCTGCTCGTGCTCAGAATTGGAGCCGTCGACGGGCAATTTAGGCATCTTGGCTAGTTCGAACATCCCACAGTGTCGTGCCCAATAGAATCCGAGACCGTGGAAGATCTGAGACGTCATCCTGATCGTTTTGTCACGGGAAAATATTGCGTACACCTGTGACAGCAATGCAGTGAGGACTAGCTGCACGCCTCCACATTTGTCGTAGGGGCCTTTGTGCCCTATTAGTGTATGCCAGGACGTCGCTATCGCCGCATGAGACAATCTCCAGAGCGCCTCTCCTTTTAGGATGGCATCCTTCCCTCCGAGGAATAGCGAGCCCAGTGCTATGGCGTTTAGCAACAATGGAGCCGAGCATTCTCGGAAGACAAAGGTCGGTCTATGAATGATTGGAAAGACGCAGTTGACCTGTGTGAAGAACATGTGCAGGCAGCCGTCAAGAAAGCTGGATGTGAGATCCGAGAGATCCACAGCGGTAGTGATGTCTGTGAAGGCGGTTGCAATCAACCCACTGAGCTGCTGGACCGCCGACTGACCGCTGTCAGTCCGTGAATCGGGTATGAGAGGTGGAATTGCGGCCGCTCCGTTTCCTACGAGCGGGGTCAAAGGACCGTGAAGAAAGGGTGCGTACGTCGATGCCTGCGCCCAGAAGCTGGGATCGTATGAAATGATGCTCTGGAGCAGGTCCTCTGAGTCTGGCCAGAACAATTGAGCGTTTGAGTCTAGCACCACAGTCTCCTCCCAGTTTTGAGGTGCAACGGCGCCTTTCTCTGTTGGTTGATGAAGTCCATACGCCTCCGCATCGACTGGCGATGGCAACGCAGAATGGTCGTCCACGGAGCCACAGTTAAGGTCAAGAGGAGGTGCTGACGTGCCCTGGGGGGTTAAGTTGCCAGAGACGTTCTCACAACGAATATGCAGCTTAGCGTGCCGCTTCATGGCATCGTGGCGGGCGAACTTCCGACCGCACTCGCCACAGGCAAACGGCCTGTAACCCGTATCTTGCACACCATCAATGGGCTGAAAATCTTCTCATAGTTATTACAACTTACGAGTTCGCTCATGACGCTGACACCTGTATTAGCTCTGGATGTCATGTAGATGGAGTCGAACCGAATACTTACAAGTAGATGTTCTCTCTTGCTATACGCTTGATGGCATACCGAACATTGAAGGCGCAGCCTTGATCGCTTGGTAAGAACTGGTTGATCCGATGGTTCGGGCATGGCATCAGATTGCAGGTGTGGAGATGGAGATGCGACGGTGGGGCAGATTTGGCTCCCACATATCTTCAGACTTCCCCACTCGGGGGCCGAGGTCTTATGAGCTATGGATGTGCAAACTTACATGGCGATGCAGATAGATTCGGGCCGTTCAGGGGTTCGGGGATGACCGTCCGTGGAATGCAGAGGGGCCGAAACGAATGTTTGGTGTCCGGTCCGAATTCGTCCTCATCTCATTTTGGATCTTCAAATTGGCGACATGGCGATCTCAAATCGTCCAATAAACCTTAAATAGACGAAATGAAAAGTGAACTCGGTGTGAACACGAATATTCGTAGTCGAATAGGACTAAAAATTTAGAATTTCCGCGTATTAATATTCGTACTAATAAATATTTGCATTAACTACAGTAAAACATCCCAAAATTTAGTTGAATACGAATAACTAGCCATAGTTAATCCTTTTTCGTGTCTAGCCCTAGCGAAAAAGATTAATATAAGCAGGCGGCTTGATTCTTAAACAACACAGAGATCTGTACGAAATGGCGTTCGATGAACCTCAAACGGTCAACAGGGATGAAGTATGTTGGAGAGGACCACGCTCTAATGCAATAACCACAAACATATCAAAGTTAAAGCACTAGAGGCCCAGAACCCCTAACTGCTAAGTAGTCATGCTACTTATGGAAGCATGAATGGAAAAAGAATATGGTGTACATATCAGAAATAGGGCGTGCTGACCATGTAAAAGCCCTCTTTCTGGTGGCTTAGGCGGGAGTGGTATCTTCTCTTTTGATAATTGAAGTCGTTTCGTACTGATACTAAAAAATAATAGGTCGCAAGGCTAAGTGGGATTTTCAGGCAAAGATTAGTAGACTGGAGAAGTATATGTAAGTCAGAATGGGATGACATCTGAATTCTTTGTGGCTATCGCAAGATGACAAGCTCGTCCCGAGGTAAAGTAGTTGGGACTATATGCACACAGGTATCAAAGGACTATTCACGACCATGGCATGGATAATCCAGCGCAGCGTAAATGGCGTCCATCCCATTCATCACTTCCATGACATCGTATCTTTTAGCAAAATGAACGCTCACACAGGTACAATCACCAACACCGAAGCCTAATCAAACAAACTCGAAGCCTCGTTTATTGCTGCCCCCTTTAGCAGCTGTCGCTCGATCCTCTGGATCTTGCGGAACCGGATCGTGGCGGGGGTAATACAACGTTCCATCGTGGCCTCTCCTGAAACTTTCAATCGTGTCGTTGCCACTGATGTTCCCTTGCCTTCTTCCCCCTTTCCCTTTATCTGGCTCGGGGTCAATGACCTGCTCCGAGACAGTATAATCCACGTGCTTTTTGATGACGTCGAGGCGATGCAACTCATTGGTGCTTCCATATTCACCGCCTTCCATAGTTGCTAATGTCGTACTCCCAGACCGTCTCCCACTCGATATATTGCGGCCAGCGGATCCGTTATTTGAGCCACCGTTGCGACCGCTGCCTCCATGCTGTTTCTTGCTCCCAGAATTGCCCCCGGGAGTACCTCGTCGATAACCCCGATTGTACGGGCTGTTGGCATCCACGTATGGTTCATGCGATGCCTTCCGTCGTCCTGCGGCTTGAGAAAGTAGGAACCGGAATGCTGGAAGATTTGAAACGATGACTGCAACAGCTGCTTCGACATGCGACCAGGTGCTTAGAAGACTCGGGCTGTTCGCAACAGCAGCCATGTTACCAGACGCGTCGGAGGTTGCCTGAGTGACCATGATCAGGCGTGCGATGGCAAAGGCAATGATAATGAATCCAATGCTAAACATGAGACCAAGCCCCATTTTTTGTCGAGCATTGATACTGAGGCTACGTAAAAGGCGGAGTGGAAGAACCATTACTGAAAAAGATTAGCGGCTGACACTTGGTTGCGATTAGTTTTCACATACTGAGACCATCCGTGGCGATATCCGCTCCTGTTGCAAATCGAATCGATTGGTCGGACGCGCGTAGCTCATCAGGATCCGAGCAACCAACTTCTCATGTCAGTCTCTTCAATGGCACTGATAAAGGTAGTTGTAAGCTACTTACACCCAGTCCAGTACTTTGACAATGGTCTGCACGCCAGAAGATTCGACAAAAGACACCCGATGTACAGTAGCACGACAATGGTGAATATGGCCCACCAAACACGCAGGTATTGAGGCAATCCTATAATGAGGCGTCGGAAAAAGAACAATAGGGAGAGCTTGGCTTGAGGTCTGTTAGCTTGAGGTGTTTTTGAGGAGAGGCAGTGACTTTCAGGGAGGTTGTCGCAGCCCCAACCTCCACTCTTGAGAATTTGTTGTTAGGGAGCAAAGAAATGAAGAACCAATACCGAGGAACAGCGCGGAAAAGAAGAGCATCATTTGGCTGCAAACAGGTTAGCAAACGTTCCTCACTGCGAAATGGCGGCAACTTGCCTGAACATGAGCTTCAGGGACGTCGAAGTGTCGGCCATCATCTGACCCATATCAACTCCAGCAGCGTCCGCGGGATTGTTCAGGAGCTTTGTGAGGAACTCTCCCGCAAGATAGAATTGCGGCATCATTCTCGTAATCACAGCGGTAAGACCCGTGAGGCAAAGAAGCGCGATGAAAGCGCAGTAATCGTCCGCCCCAAACTTCTTATGCCGCTGCCATCGTGTGATTCCTCGGGCTAGAGTCAGGGTGAAACTTGCTCCCCACATGATCCATATCAGAATCTGTTCCGTTGCTGTCAGGATGCGCTGCGACATATGTAAGAATGGAGAGGGCACCAACACAGAGATCTGTATATTGAAGCACCAATACCGCCATGGCTGGGTCGACCAAATAGCGACTTTGTAAGGATTCGATAGATGGGACTCCCTAGGGAACTCGAAAACTGGAGTCCAGCTCTCGAAATCCAATTCTACGTCATCAACGAGAGTGGGGAGAAAGGTTCCAATGTTGCGGAGGGCGGTTGGCTAGAGCAACAAGGGCTCTATGCAGCGGAACTTCAATATATTAAGGCGCACAGTCATGATCAAGAGGAGCTTCCAAGAAGGATTTCTCCGATCCTGAGAACCAAGGCACTAAATACCAGCTCTGTACGAACATATATAATGAAGGAGACTTGGGAGGATTAAGGACATGGGTGACTTAGGTGGCGGGAGGAGATTTTGCGATTTATGTGAATGCAAACCGTGGGGTGCAGTGCATACGAGTGGTAAATCGCTAGGCAAGGGCATCTGACATAACTCTGTCCCTGGACCTACCAAAATGCCGGCACTGTCATCAGTGAGACCGGAACACTGGAGTGATCTTCCGCATTATCGCAAGGGAGATAACTTATGGTTCTGCCAGTGGCTGATTCCGCCGACCGGGGGACCAGTCGTGAAGGTCAGCATGGGGAGAAAACCAGATGCCCTAGATGCTAATAGCAGCCATCTATCCGTATTACACAGCTGCATACTTAGTCCGTGCCTATCGAAGGGTCTGGTACTCTGGTGCATATTCAGCGGCACGCCCCCTGGGAACTTAGGACATCCATGAGGCTTCGAGAAGTTGATGGTGGCCACATGCCACCAAGTCGGGAATCCGGCTCTGGCTGCCAGGTCTCTGGTAATAGTGACATTGGTGAAAAATGAAGGCAGAGTCGGAAATGGTTCGAAGATGGATGTTTCTTCGAACTAACTTACTTCCCAAGGAGTGGATTCACTAGACGATGTAATTCTCCGCCGGCCAAAGGAATTGCAGGGAACATCCGTCCTCTTGGATCTGTCAATATTGAAACCGTTGTATAACAAGCCGCCCTAGCAGGGTATGAAATAAATTCCACGCATTGCGTGCAGATTGTCAGAACAGACTTGGTGATGAACAGAGCGACGAAGTGAGGAGTCAAGACTGGAGAACAGCGGGGGTAAGGCCGAGAGGTTGATGTGTCCAGCCACCCAGAGCATACATACCAGGTAACTAGTGAAGTACGGACCTGAGTAGGGTAGCAAGCACGCAGAATAACGGAAGTACCGAGTACCGAGTTCCGTACTGCGTTCGACTGTCTGCTGGTTTCTGGGTATGATGTACTAGGAAGTAGGCTCGTATTGACAATTGCTTTGTTAGTTTGTCTTTAAGTCCGGGTTGGATAGAAGTTAGAAAACCCGTAATCTAGCTGAGATGCAGAAAGCTGGAAGGTCTAGAATGAGTAGAATCAGCCGATGAGCTGTGATACCCAGGCTGTAGCGTCGGAGTAAGTACCCACTACCTAGGCGAAACAACCCGCAATGGCATCTGATGACCGGAATCTATCCAGCCACATCGCATTCTGCTCAATTGGAAATTCGGGGTCAAATCAGGATCCTTGGATGTTCGAGCACCATCTGGGAAAGTGGGAAATAAGAATAAGTCATGCATGGTCTAGCCTCGCGGACCAGCTCACCGAGATTCTTCGCCTATACTGTAGTAATGGCTCAAGGGCCAAGATGCAAGTTCACACAGGCCGCTGCACAGACTGCATACAAAGCGCCGCGGGCGACTCTTTCTCCTCAAACATGGAGGTGTTGCAGGGTAATTTAAAAGAGTTTGGTACGTAGTTCGAAAAGGTAGCGCCGCACTTGGTCGCTATTGGGCATCGTTCATCCCCGTGATTGCTGGTGGCTGACGCGACAAGGGAAAGTGACAGAAATTTGCGCCGAGGAGAAGTTAAGCTTTGGAATGGGATACCATTGGTAGGTACCTTATGAAATCCGACCAAATCTATTGTCTGAAAGACTGGAAGTTTGGAACTCAATACAATCTGGAAGCACCGTACAGGAAAAAAGATTCCGTGGATGTTGAGAATTGAGAGGAAGAGATTGAGCTTTGAAGTGCGAATTGGATTCCCCCTAGGAGGCCCGACTGGTGGACGGTCCCGCCAGCGATCGTCGGTTCGTCATTGTGGGTTATCGGGCCGTTCCAGGTTCCAACAGTTCTGGTTGGCAAAAGCCCATTATCTTATTAGTCGCGCTGAGGGTGGAGAACTCCACCGCGGGGCATCGGATCGACCAATGGAATATGGACTTGGACTTACGCCGAGCATGATCGATGTATGGTACATTTAATATATCCGTACGGAGTATTCCGTTCGAATCCTGGAATTAGAAGAAGATGGATGTGGTGAAGCTGTAGTTCGCTCCAGCGCCTGCTGCATGGTGCCTGTCCACCCCTTATGATCTTTTCCATGGGGAGATTGAGGACCAGGAGGCCATCCCTCTCAATCGGTGTCGAAGCGAACCAAAATAGATCTTGGGGGAATGGCCACTCAATCATTGCAGATCCAATTAGTGGCAGGGATCAAGTAGTAAGCGGGATGAGATACATTAAATATTACACGGTAAAGCCGATCATCCTATATATGTACAGATATTTTTGTATATAAACCCTACTCACGCGGCAGCGACCTTCCAACCACCTGGCATCAGGTCGGTGAATACTCTTGCCGAGTCATATTTGGACCTGACTGACTTTAACTTCGCCAGATTGGCTGCTCCGTAGTTCTGGAAGACGAGCTGGTCCTTGTCTGCATCGTTCAGGTACCGGAACCCGACAGAAACCCCACGGGACTGCAATCCGGCTTCGAGCTGCGCTGTGATCCCACTCGCAAATGTAGAGACAGCAGCATCGTCGGCAGCATTCAGCCAGTTCCAATTCAGCACCACCGCGAAGTATGGCCCGTTGTTGGCGTCCAGACCTATCGGATTGCCCCCAGAATTGGCGCCTGCTTGGAGCATGTTCTTCGTGATCGGCTGGAAGGTCATACTGGCCCCAACGCCGGGAATGGCGGCCAGCTCGTTTATTCTGGTCGTGAACGTGTCGTGGATGTATGTAACGGCGTCTTTGTTGACGACGAAGGTGAGCGTCCGGAACTTCTGGCGCAAAGCGTCGGGCTGCAGCGGATCCGTTTGCGCAAGGTAGTCGTTGAGAGGCTGATATGTGATGGTGTCGATTAGTGGTGTCAGAACTGGAGCCGTGAAGTTCTGGAACACGGTGGGACTGAGGGTCGGCGAATCGTAAAACTTCGTTGCTGCGTAGAGAGTGAGGCCGGCCGCTGGCGCCATGATGATGGTAGGTACGATAGCAGACTTTGGATCCTGCGATCCAAATGCCCCAAAGGTATACACGGCGTTGAGGTACTCTTCCCGATTGCTGGCATCGTATTGCGCAATGCCAACCCAAACCGAAGGAGAATTATAAACTTTGATATCAAAGCGGGTGACCAGGCAGAACGAGTTGCCACCGGCCTTCAGAGCCCAGAACAAGTCGGAATAGTTGTTGGTCGCCGTCGCCTCGATCAATTGACCGCTCGCGAGCACGCACTGGAACTTCACAACACTGTCCGATCCCCAGCCGTATTGGCTCGAATAGAACGAAATGCCGCCTCCGAGAATCAATCCAGGAACTCCCACCTTGCCAACTCGTCCACCGACCGCGGCCTTTCCATATGACGCCAGATAATCAGCAACCTCTCGCCAACGCCGACCAGGTCCAACGCTCAGCGTGTTTTTATCCGAAGAGATGCTTAGTGTCGTGAGGTTGGAAGTGGACAACAGGATGCCGTTCGAATCCGCATTGTTGTAAAGGGGGATGGGCATGTGTCCACCACCACGGATGGCGAACTTGACATTCAACAGACGCACAACCTGAACGAATAGGCTAATTTCGGACGGTTCTTTCGGGACAAAAACGCAGGCTGGGGTGGAATAATCCACGGCAGTCCAATATCCTAGATCAGACATCAGACCAGTTGAAAACATCCAGAAATTGAGTTGCCTTACGGGTGGTAGTTTCGTAGTCATAAACCGCGGACCCAGGCAGGTACAATCGCGTGCTGAACTGCTGCTGCAAGCGGGTGCATGCCTGAGTTAGGTTCAGCCTAATTCCAATCCGTGCTGCCTCATCGAGACGTGCTTCTATCGTGTTGAACTCCGGTGTTGGTGTGCTTTGTACACTAAGGGCTGCGGCAATAGCCGCCCATATTAAATTGTTGAGCTTCATTCTCGAGGAGGCGGACACTGCGGGCGTCACAGGGCAAGGAAAATGGCAAAGAACGCGACAGAACGGGCAATGCTAGAGAGAGAAGTCTTCCCCGGTGACGGACCACCGGTGACGACAACTGAGGTACTTAAGTGATCGCTTCACGAGTCGATGATGCTCCAGACGAGTCGAGACCCGAAGGAGCGTGATGGTAAATTTAAGTTCGTTTGCATGTAGCTAACATATAGCTTCGCTTAGCCGCATATCAAGAACGCGACTGAGTCGGTTCAATAAGGCGGCGATCTAGCTAATAGAGACCATTGATCCGTCCTGGCCAGTCACAGGCTGTGCTTTGCGGTCGGTATATTCGCCGTTCGGAACAAAATGACTTTTTGTAGCCGATCTCCGTGAGAAATTGAAGAGTCCAACCCAGCACCCACGAATTTGGGATTCCAGGGTTCGCTCATTGGCTTGAATTCGATGAAACTTGGAGGCCCCTGGCAGCGTTCATGAAATCGATACCGCACCCTGGACAGCCAGCTGCTGAACTGATTGCCAGGAGGACCGTGCCTCTGGAGAAAATGTAGCCGGGCAGGTTTACCGTCGTTGACACGACCTTGCTCGTACTGTACAAGGGAAAAACGATAGATACCACCGGGCCTCCATATTAAGGACGACGATGAATTGTCCTGGTACTTTACCCGAAAGTAAGAATCTTAGTTCTTATCCATCGTCCTAGGCTCCCAATCCAACAAGATAGCATGAGATATTCACCAGACAATCGGCATGTGGTGTGACCCTGACACATCTGTGGCCTGTGAAAGAGATAGGTTGGGTCTTCGCCGTCGATGTAATGTCGCTACGACATCTTCGAGCCTCGACATCGCCAGAATGGTCAAGTTCATACGGTAAACTTGGAATAGGTACATATGGCCCGTCTCGAAAGCCGCATTAGCCATTGCGAACGACTTCCGCACAACTTCAGAATGGAGTCAGCGACGGTTCGATCAGGCCGCCACTTTGCGACTTCGACGCGATCCTGTCTTCTTCGCCGATGTGGATGACCTGGTCGTATTCGAGGAAGCCTCAGCAGGCGCATCATCGGGCAGCTCCTCAACCTTAGCCAGTGTGGGTTTCGCCGCCTTTCCATTGCCGGATGGCTTGGCCTTTGCTCGTCTTGATGCAGCCTCTTTTTCTAGTTGCTGTACGGTCATTTTGCTGGCTTTCCACAGGGCCTTTTGGACTTCTTCATCAAGAACCTCCGGGCGTGCAATTGGAACCTCGCGGCATTCCTTCAACAGTTTTCCTCCTTTCTCAAGGCTGTACTCCGCTTCCATGGCAGCGTGTAAGAATGTCTGAGCACCTTCCTCCGTGCTTTTGAGGAATAGCCACCATAGAGGATAGGTGACCAAGTATAGACCCAGCCCCCAAAGCGTACCTCTGGTGAGGAATCGCCTCATGCCAGGTGACCGCGTCCATCCCGGATCTACCATCAGTACCCGTGTATTGAGAGGTTTTTTGTCTGGGCGAGGAGTATCTTCTAGATGCTTTTGATATGCACAAGCGAAGGTCATCAAGGCCAATTTTGAAGTACCATAGAATGCTCCGGCATTCGATAACTCTGGTTTGGAAGTGTCCTTTGACTCTCGGCCCTTCTCGCCAGCTGTGGTATTCTTGTCATCGTAAGATATTCCAGGCAATCGCCCGCCCATGTATGAACTGCATGCACCGATGATGACGCGGACGTCCCGATCCGGAGGTTGCGCACGTAGAGCCGGACTGAGGATGTTCAGCAACTGGAAGTTCGCCAGATAGTTTACCCCCCAGTTTATCTCGACCCCGTCCTCTGTAGCCTCAATCTTTGATCCTCCTGGCGTCAAAGTATTCCCGCACAATATGACCATGTCCAATCGTCGGGGAGGCGTATTGTCGATCCACTTCGTCGCGAAGATGCGGATGCTGTGTAGATCTGCGAGATCCATATACTCCGCAGTGATGAGCTCGTTGCCAGTCCGGATCCGAAGGTCCATGATATAGTCCACGAGGAACGGGTCCGTCAGCGGTTGCTGGGTAAGGAGAACAATTTGCGCGCCACGTGAAGCCAGATCTCTTACGACAGCTGCCCCAACCCCTGATGTTCCACCCTATTGCGAGATTGATGTTAGCTGACATGTCCAATGGATCTCACCGCTAATGGGATAGAAGTTACATACTGTCACCATGACTACTTTGGAATGCATCACTCGCTCCGAGAGCGTCTTTGCACCGCCAAAGAACACCTTCACATAATATAAGATTGTAAGGCATATTGCAGCCTTAAGTATTGTGTATGCATAGGGAATAGATGCGAGCCCCTGGAAGAGGACTTGTGCTGCAAGAAGCACTGGCATAGCGCATTAGTTCTTCAGATATTTCAATAACAATCTGCGAACATGGCAGCTACCATCCCTTATGTGGACTCGTCAGGACTCAAGAGAGATGTTCAATCTGATCAGTGCAATTCTCCTAGTCAGAAACTGCGTGTGATGATAGGATTGCCTGTGGCTGTAGGTGAAAGAAATTTCTGGGCGACCATAGGCTCCAGGCAACGCAGCGACGTCATGTTCAATGGTGACTTACGGATCCTTTCAGGTATTGTATCCCACATAGCCAAATGCTCATCAATTGATAGATTTATTTGATACAGCTATCTAGATCATACCCAAGTACAGTAGAGAACACAAGGGACAACGGCGATGAGAATATCAATATATTTTCGCTATTCCGGCTTATTGCTATCGAGACAAACGAACCATCAACTGCCATGAAGAAGATAAATACACAACCCGCCTGGAGCCGCTCGTAAACATATTCAGACAATATGGAGTACAATGAATCCGGGTACCCGCTCTGATCAATACCTCTATAAATGCCACCTCATATAAGCCTTACGGCTCTATTTTTTCATTGATCATTTCGTTCGACGGAAAACGGCCCTCGGAACGACCCAGTAGCGGTTGGCGACTCTTCCCACTCCCCCAACTCTCCCGAGTTTCGGAACCTTCAGTCGGCTCGGTTTCTCTTGTTGCCGTCCCCGCCATGTTTGGCTCGGTGCGGCCTTGTTCGACATCTCCGGTTTCGCCTTGCTGATTCTGTTGCTGCGCCTGCTGCACCTGGGACGCGATCCCCTCCGCAGTCTCATGATCAGGAGTGGAGATCAAATCCCATTTGCGTAACAAGCGTTCGACTGGCGGTTTGAGGAAGGGAGAACAGGCCGCGATGGTTGTCATCATCATCTCCAGCCATGTCCAGATTGCCCATTTATATTCCTCAAACTTGGTATCTTCGGCATCCTCTGCATAACTTGCGACGACAAGTTTTGTGATGGCAAACGCTGACGTGATCAGTCCTAAGCCCATTAGGCAACCAAGCAAGGACTTTTCGTAGCGTCCTCGATGGATTTTGCGGATAAATATGATAGGTATAAGGGAAAGCCCGATGTCAAGGACGACATGGATAGCTGAAAGCCAAATCAGCGTCTAGAGTCGTAGCAGTGTGATGGGTCCGGGTGAAATCCCAAGACTTACAGGAAAAAGTCGCGATCTTTCTGAACGCCATATTCCCAGTGAGACAGGGTTTTCCCGTGATGCGTGGATCCCAAAGACTCTCTAGGGGTTTGCAATGGCCAATGTCCCAGAAGATGTTTGCCAGTGCCAGCGCCAGTTGAAAGAGGATGACTCCATACAGCCCAACGCGCCACCAGCCGGTGTTTTTCACCCGTAGTATCGTGAAGGCGATAGACATTCTTAGGAAAGAAATCGTCCAAATCCAAAGCCACGTACTAATCACCTGGAGCTTGGTAGCCTTGACGAATTGGTCCACTGTAAGGTAGTTGGTGCGAGTTCCGCTTCCATATTCGAAGCTGAGTACTCCTGTAACGCACAATGTGATCATGACAGGCTGTGCATGCTGGTTTAGTTTGATCCGTAGAGCAACATCGTTGGACCGGGGATTCATACCAGCGAGGCGGCAACAAGCACATCGTCCCACCAAATAATCCATGCCGGTCGAGCGTGTGCCCACAACCGCAACACGATGAACACTACGGCTATAACTGTGGTCGCGATCACTAACGATCGCTGCTCTGAAAGCTTCGATGCGCCGGGTGGAAGATCCTCGGAGATCCTCGGAACTTCCATGATGTATCAAAACGCATATACACAAGGACTGTGTCCGCAGAACCGAGCGCTGAAGACATTGTCATTCGATGGTCGCTGAGAGAAGGAAATGCCAAAGAGAGGCAGGTCAGAAGTCAATGGACGTCTTCGCACAAGAGCTATCGTGGTCGCTGCAAGATGTAGAATCATATATCAGACGATGGTGAACATTTCCACCTCTTCCCTGGCAGGGCTTTTGTGGGGTGGGATGATGTCGTGCCTCCACTGTCAAGTTTGGGGCCGTACTGTAAATGTACCAACGATGCCTTCAGAACCCCTCCAAGAACATAAAATAGAAACAATACATAGTAGATACTCTTGCAGGAATGGCACATTATGGACGAATTAAAGATATACAATAACCGTAGAATGGAACGAAACTAGCCCTCAAAAACCAATCATTGGGCGTGAGAAAACAGGTCGCAAACTTGAACTTGACGAGCGAATCGAAATACTTATGATCAAAACTTGGTAGACGGGATTGTACTGAACCGAGAAATGTTAAAGAAAAGCGAACGTCACTTTGACGTCCTAGCATGGCCCTTAGGTCGGTCCAGTACAGGCAAGGTATGAGTTGCGACCAATGGATGAGAAACGCGACAGATGAAGCGCAATATCATGATGGTCGCACATTGTGGCACTATAAGAGCTCGGGTTTCATCCATTTGAACGAATTAAGCGGCCCAAGGGAAACGATTGATAGGTAGTAGTATGCGCTGACCCTTTCACTGCTGCGAAGGATATTATCTGAAGACAGGAGTTCCATTAGCCGCCCGCGCTCTCCCCAATCTCTTCAATCAGATCTACGATCTTCCATCTCAGGCGATGTTCCGCCTCGATAACAATCCAGGCCGTCAGCACGATCAGCTCTTCGAGCATATTGCCAGCGTGCGGTCCGTCGGGGATCTCGATATCGTCATGGTGATTCTTCTTTTTGCCGGACACGGCTCCGTCGATTTTCGCTGTATGTTTCGCAAGGGTGGATTCCTTGGTCTGGTCGGGGATGGTGCTCTGCTCATAGGCGGCCGGATATATGCATAGTTGCCCGACATAAGCTCGTTTCTTATTTGGCGGTTGTCCGATCTTTTCGGAGGATCGGAAAGTTGACCATCGATCTTTCTTCAAGGTAGCGATCAGAGCGTGATCGGATTTTCGGATCAACTGTGCAACATCGTGATCAGCGAACATCCTTCCACCAGATATGACTCCAGCGACGGGATGAGTATCTAATACCTTAACATCATGAGTCCACCCTTTCAGCTTATTCTTCGACAATGTGCGTGTTCCAGACCACTGATATCGCACACCATCAAACTCCCATTCCACTCGCCGGCTCCAAAACCCAGCTCTCCGCACGTGAATCTTGCACACCTTCCCCACAACCTCCATCTCGTCCTGTAAAGGCTCCTTCGGCGGCTTTGGCTTCATGTGCCAGAACTTTCGCCATTTCTCCGCCCGCCGTGCCTTGCGTTTCGCCCTTCTCCGCTTCTTATTCTTCACGATCGTATCAACACCGTCGCCCATCCATAGGCAAAACGAGCCCCACATCGCAGATCGCGTCATCCTTGCGATGGCCAATGTATCCGCGGTATATTTGGGGTTGTCTCCGCGGTGCAAGACGGGTCGCCATTGCCACGCATGCTTATGGGGGATCGGGTTGATGATGAAGTATGATGCGGGAGCGACGCCGTCGGGAGGGTCGGCTGGGGAGAATAACTGTTTTCGGCCTTGGAAAAGCCGACAGTAGAGATTGAGGGTTGTGGCTGGGTTAGACTGCTCTGCTGGTCGTTTTACCTCCTCCTTTGCAGCGTTTCTTTTCATGTTTAATGTCCCTGAAGGTCGGATGCCTGTCGAGAGCAAGTCGAACCGGTTCGAGCGCGCTATGCACCGTCGCTGGAATACTACTAGAGTTGAAGGTTAGTCTTTAGGAGTTAGTCGTCTTGGAGATAGGTTGGCCATTAGGCAGCATATATATTCCCGATTCCAGGCCAATCGGTGATCTCATGCATCTCATTGTTCATGGCATACTGCACGATTGTGCCTTATGGACGCCGTTCGAACCTAAAGCTGAAAACTATACGGATAGAACGTGCGCCAGTCATGCGTATCAGGAACGAAAATGATCGTCAGGGACTCTCGAAACACAATGGAAACATGCAAACCTATACGAGCTATTCGACGAGAGCGCGATCGCAGTTCAGACTCGTGGTGGCTGAGTTCAAAAACCCATGTCGAATCCTCAGTTGCCCAGGATTTGATGGAGATTGGAATGACACAAAATGATACAACCGGTTCCGTATGGACAAATCTCCACACAACTCCTGATGTGCAGACATAGTGTGTATCCCTATTGTATGGGATGAGATATCGGATGAGATATCCGGATCATTGAATATCCCTCACAAGACATCACGAAGATTTAGGAATGCTTGGCTTTTGGATCATCCCCAAGACCCCAACTCACGATCTGCTAATAATAGCCTAATAGGTAATAGGACGGGACAGAAGATTTTAGTTTAGGATCTAGGTGCTGACGTTGCGGCGTCGGGCTGTGCCACATGCAGAAGACAGCCAAACAGAAGAACTGACGCGGAGGCCCCTGCAAAGGAATCTGCAACGTGAACCCTTGCGATGGGCACGTTTCAACGTTCTCCCTCTTCCACAATAATCTAGACTCCAATCCACCCTTTGATTATCTGATATGTACCTCCTGTTTGCACTCCTTTCTTTGACAATCTTGCGATCCGACCTCTTTGAATCTGCGTGATACCTCCACGGATCACGCGCGATTAGAGTTTCATCATCGAATTCCCCGTGCCACCCCGAGTACCTCCCCGCGACCTCGCCCCGCGAGTCTAGTTAGCACCTTCTCCGCGCTCCGCATCCTCGTTTTCGCGTGTCGGTAAAGTATGGCAAGGGCTCGATGAAGACCATAGACAAGAGAAGGCGTGCTGGGGGTGCTGGAAGCTCTAATGGACTCTCATGATGGCAACCATCGGCGAAATGCGTCGACTCCGCAGACCCCTCAGTCGATCCCGCTCCAGGACTTCAACAACCCGACGCAACAATCGCAAAGTACCGGGCAACGTCAACGGAGCATAACCGAGAGGGGACGAGACTTATTACGAAGTAGAGATGGAGCGACACCTCGTGTTCATTGGGGAGGCGGGTCATATCAACCTGTCACTGACGACGGGTCGCCGGGCCGCTCTCTTCCTAGAATTGTAACTTCGAATAATACGAACCGACGGCCTCATCACGATGCCGACGAAGCCTCTCCGATGGAGGATGGTGTTGCCTTCCAATCTGCGATTGGTGGATTTGCGGGTTTAAGTTTTTCGAATGAAGACGACACCATCACTCCACCCGCTCCTTCCGCTCAAGGTGAACACACGATGCGCTCCAACAGCGTTCCTTCCTTTTTATCTCGAGTGGAATCCGACTCTGCCACCGAAAATATCGACCTGGACGATCCGAACGATTATTTTTCACCAACATATGGGGACAGAACTCCATTAACCACCCACCTACAACCCACCGGCACCTCGAATCCAGGAGGACAACAACACGACAGAATGAGCTCCACAAACAGTTTTGGCGCTGGAAGCAGTCCGGTGCGATCGGCGCGCCTCGGAGATGACCTTAACACCACAGAAGCTGGCCTTCGCACTCCTGGCAGCGGCGAGATCCGGAGGTCCAGCTCTTTCACGAGAACTCTATCCCCATCCTCGGTCTCATCTCCCTTACACCGTGCTGGTACCATCATGAGGCAAATGTCTCAGCGTGTTGTCAATCTGAGCAATGAGCCTGAACTGGTCGAGCGTCACATGCGCAGGAAATCATCCACCCACAGTACGAGGAGGGCCCAATCACCGTCACATCCCACAACCGCTGGATACTCCGAGGGTGTACAGGATGAGGAAATCCCACCTGAGAAATCACCCGCCCCTCAACAATTCCAGCCATTCCGACGTCCTTCCAAGAAGAATCTCCCAAACCCACTTCGAGGCAGATCGCTTGGGATATTCCTACCCGATAACAAACTGCGCATCAAACTCTGCGACATCCTTGTTCACCCAATGACCGAGCCCTGTATTCTGCTCTTGATTGTCATCCAAACGGTGTTGCTCGCGGTAGATGCTCGACAGAGCGTCTTTATCGGGCATCGAACCCCTCGGTGGGGGTCGTCTTGGATTGACTATGCAATGCTGGCACTTTTTTGCATATACACTGCCGAGTGTTTCATCCGCACGATTGTGTCTGGATTTATTGTGAATCCCATTGAGTACAGCACCGTCAATCGCCAGGTCGGATTCAAGAAAGCTGTAGCCGCGAAATGGCACTCGTTGTTTTCCCCACTCAGTGTCGATACGACGGCTAAAAGCCAGCCATCGCCATTTACTACTGAGCCCCAGCCATCGATCATTCGGGCATTCACAGCCACCAACCTCGAGCCGAACCAGATTGCAGATTCAAGGTACCAACGTCGTGTCCGCCTCGCTCACCGCGCTTTCCTCCGACATTCGTTTAACCGCCTTGATTTCTTGGCAGTGGTCGCGTACTGGATCACCTTCGCCATCAGTCTAAGTGGGTTTGAATCTAGCAAGCATGCCTATGTCTTCCGCATGTTGAGCTGCCTGAGGATTCTGCGGCTGCTGTTACTGACGAGCGGCACTACGGTAGGTGCCTTCCTGAATTCGATGAACATGGAGTTAATCATATGTCTAGGTCATCTTGCGAAGCTTGAAAAAAGCCGCCCCTCTTCTGGTCCATGTCGCATTTCTGATTGGTTTCTTCTGGCTTCTGTTCGCTATCGTGGGCGTTCAGGCGTTCAAGGCGAGCTTACGGCGCCAATGCGTTTGGAAAGATCCCGAAGGCCTAGAAGAGGACTTTTTAAACACGTTTCAGTTCTGCGGCGGCTATCTTGATCCGAACGGCACGGCTCTCTCGTGGCTTAATTCTGATCTTACCCCTGGATCTGATGTTCACAAAGGGTATATATGCCCAGTGAACTCGATGTGTATCCAGGGGGACAACCCTTTCAATGGAACGCTAAGCTTCGACAACATATTCCAGAGTCTAGAGCTTGTGTTCGTCGTCATGAGCTCCAATACTTGGTCTCAACTGATGTATTTCCTGACCGACAGCGATTATCTTGCAGCGGCACTCTTCTTTGCCGCAGGGATCGTAATCCTTTTTCTCTGGCTTATCAACCTTCTCATTGCTGTCATCACCTCGTCCTTTCAGGTGATTCGAGACGAGAGTAAGGCTAGTGCGTTCACCGCCGAGGAAGTGGACCAAAGTCTGGAATTACAAGATTCCGGCGAGACTGCAAACCGGAAAATCAGCAGGATCAAGAAGCTGTTCGACAAGACGAAATGGCTGTGGATCCTAATCATTATATCTGGCACCATCTGCCAGGGCTTAAGGAGCGCTAGCATGGGCAGCGGTCGAGCAGCATTCGTCGACGGCGCCGAAACGGCCGCGACCTTTATCCTTCTTCTGGAAATTGTGCTTCGATTCATCGTAGACTGGCGGCATTTCTTTCGCAGTCGACAGAACATCATCGATTGTCTCCTCGCCATCATTACAACCGTCATGCAGATCCCGGCGATCCATAACTCAGGCCAGCCTTACGCCTGGCTTACGATCTTTCAAATCGTCCGATTCTATCGAGTAGTCTTGGCCGTTCCAATCACCCGTGACCTCATTCTCACTGTCTTGGGGAACTTTTCAGGTCTGGTCAATCTTATTCTCTTCGTGTTCCTCCTCACCTTCCTTGCTGCTATCTTCGCGGTTCAAATGTTTCGTGGCGAGTTCCCAATAGCCGACGCCGACGGCGAGAGCATACATGTCACTTTCTCGTCGATATATAACTCGTTTCTTGGAATGTATCAAGTACTTTCCAGCGAGAACTGGACAACGTTGATGTACAACGTTACCGGCTTCACGGTGGCGTACAATACCGCTTGGATCGGCGCTGCATTCTTCATCATCTGGTTCATCCTGGCCAATTTTATCGTGCTGAACATGTTCATTGCTGTCATTCAGGAGAACTTTGACGTTTCAGAGGATGAGAAGCGCTTGCAACAAGTGAAAGCATTCCTTCACGAAAACGACCTAGGCGGCAATTCCCATGGGAACCTTTCGCTCTCGACGATCTTCAAGGTCAGCTTAGCCACGGGAAGGCGCAAAGATCCGTTGGCATTCGGCACCGCAACCACGGAGATGTTACTTAAAGGCGCGGTTGTTCGGGATTTCCTTGACCAGCAAGACGAGCAGGATCCAATATCATCGCCTCCACCACCCGCCACGCCACAACCTGGACTGCGATCGGCACCGACAACGGTAATATCGCCGGGAACACTCTCAACGGCATGGGGTCGGTTCTTTGGGTTTCTTGGAAGCAGCGAACCGAATCCATTCTATTCACGTTTGGAATTTTCCAGAGCGAACGAAGACCTGGATCCCCGTCAAATGGCGAAAGAGGTGGTCTCAGCGCGCGAGCGCCGCAAGAAAGCACAGCGAGAATATCTACTAAAGCACCCATCATACAATGTCTCGCTGTACACGTTCAAGCCAAACAATCCGATCCGAAAGATTTGTCAGAAGATTGTCGGACCTGGTCGAGGCGGGGACAGGATCGAAGGTGTGGCACCTAGTGTACCAATCTGGTATGCGTTCTCCGCCTTCGTCTATGCTGCTATCGTAGCTATGGTGCTGCTTGCCTGCATCACCACACCGCTCTACCAGAAGGTTTACTTCCAAAAGCATCCATTTAGCGTTAAGAATTGGTTCGTCTTCACGGATATGGGCTTCGCTGTGCTCTTCGGCATCGAAGCGGCTATCAAAGTCATTGCGGACGGTTTCTTCTGGACCCCCAATGCATATTTCCGCGGATCTTGGGGTTTCATAGATGGCATTGTGCTGGTCACGCTATGGATCAACGTTGGTACGAGCTTGTTCAATGAAGGGCAGGTCAGCCGCGCAGTCGGCGCATTCAAAGCCCTCAGGGCTCTTCGGCTGCTGAACGTGAGCGACAGTGCTCGGAACACGTTCCATTCGATCATCGTCCGTGGTGGACTGAAGATCCTTTCCGCAGCACTCGTGTCGCTGAGCTTGCTGATTCCCTTCGCCATCTATGGCCTCAATCTGTTCAATGGGAAGCTGCTCGCTTGCAACGATGGAGCCGACATTTACAATCTCGACGACTGTGTTGGAGAATTCCTCAGCTCACCGTACAATTGGGAGGTGTTGACTCCCCGAGTGGTCAGTAATGAATATTACAGCTTCGACAATTTTGGCGACAGCTTGTTCATCCTCTTCCAAGTCGTCTCCCAAGAAGGATGGACGGACGTCATGTGGGCTGCCGAGAATATCGTCGGAGTCAACCGTCAACCACAGCCGCTCGCGAGTCAAGGCAATGCCATCTTCTTTGTCGTGTTCAATTTGCTCGGAGCGGTCTTCGTGCTTACCCTGTTTGTGTCGGTCTTCATGCGCAACTACACCGAACAGACGGGAGTCGCCTACTTGACCACCGATCAGCGCTCGTGGTTGGAATTGAGAAAGCTTTTAAGACAGGTTGCGCCCTCAAAGCGTCCAGTACCTAGCCAAAGGCGTGAGTCGTGGAAGGAGTGGTGTTATCGACGAGCCGTCCGAAAATCGGGACGATGGCAGCGATTCGTCACCCTCGTCTTGGTTGTCCACCTGATCCTTCTCTGCTTGGAATTCTTCCCCGGGCCGTTCTGGTGGGATCTGGTCCGCGAGTTCATCTTTTTGGCATTCACGCTCGTTTACATCGCCAACATCGCCATCCGGATCGTCGGCCTTTCGTGGCCGCGTTTCCGGAGGAGTAGCTGGGATTTGTACTCTTTGATCTCCGTGTCCGGCGCTTTCATCACGACGATTATGGTCCTGGCTCGTCCATCCCATTGGGTGTACGCGCAGGTACACAACTTCTGCCTCGTCTCCATTGCCCTCCTTCTCATTCCGCGCAACAACCAACTCGATCAGCTCTTTAAGACTGCCGCTGCTTCCTTGAAGCCGATTGCAAATCTTCTCGCCACGTGGTTCGTCCTGTTTCTAGTGTACGCCATCGCCTTCACTCAGACATTCGGCCTCACAAAGTTCGGCGAAAATCAGACCAGCAACATTAATTTCAGGTCCGTCCCTAAAGCTCTCATCCTTCTCTTCCGACTCAGTATCGGCGAAGGTTGGAACGAATTGATGGAAGATTTTGCATCTATCAGGCCTCCAAACTGCGTGGTAGGGCAATCTTTCAGCGAAGGAGACTGCGGCAGCCCAGAATGGGCTCGGGCACTTTTTATCAGCTGGAACATCCTCAGCATGTACATCTTCGTCAACTTGTTCGTGTCGTTGATCTACGAAAGCTTCTCTTATGTCTATCAGCGCAGCAGCGGGCTTGCGGTCATCAGCCGCGAGGAGATCCGGCGCTTCAAGCAAGCATGGGCAGAATTCGACCCCAACGGCACGGGATTCATCTCCAAAGAAGCGTTCCCGAGATTCCTCGGTGAATTGAGCGGAGTCTTCGAAATGCGCATATATGATGGCGACTTTACGGTCCGAAGGCTGATTGAAGACTGCCGCCTCCCAGCGCGCCAGAGTGTCCTTCCGGTTGATGATCCTCAGGAACGCCCTGAAATGGACTTGAAGAAGTTGAACGCTCGCTTGGCGGAGCTACCGGTACAGGAAATCAGGAGGCGACGAGATCGGATGAACAAATTCTACGAAGAAGTTCTGGTGTCTAGCGACCCCGATCGTGGAATCGGATTTAATTCTTTGCTCATGATATTGGCGCACTACAAGGTCATCAACGACAATAAGAGTCTACGGTAAGAAAATATCACTCTCTCCAGAACCATTTACTGACTGAGACATAGCCTGAAGGAGTTTTTGCGCCGCCGTGCGCGCCTTCAGAGGGTTGACGAAGCAGTGCGTCGTAACATTGTGCAAGGTTTCTTCGACACCGTTTTCTGGGCTCGTCGATTCCGTCGCATCACACGATCGAAAGATGACGGACGGATGACTGCCGTTCCGCAATTCACTGTTCCTGAAATTTATGTCGATGACGGCGACGCGCCTACAAGTCCGGCCGACACGAGACAAGGTGCTTCTGCGGGCACCGGTGCCGCATCGTCACATAACGGGCAGTTCAGTTACGCACCTAATGATCTCCATGGTTCCCCGCGCACCCCGAGTTCTTTGTCCCCACGCAGAGGCCCAGGTCTATCGATTGATCTTGGTCACACCGAAGGTTCTACCGGCTCCATTACACCCCCCAACAATCAACATTCGCGAGCAAACAGTATACAACTCACACCTTCAAGCAGCCCGACGCGCCCAGGCGTGTTTGTTGGGCAACCTGCTTTCGGCCAAGGAAACCTAGGACCACAGGATCAATACGGACAGACAGCTCCTGGGGCGTCTCAGCAGTCATGGGCCTCTCGTCCATCTCCTTACGATTCGCCAAGAAATTCAAGACCTCCATCGCACGAACGGCCCATAAGTCCCTTGCAATCCGGCTCGCCTGGCCGCGATGCCGCCTCGTCCCCTGCTCACGGCCCTTCGCTAACAGCCGGCGGGTTGACGAGTTCGGGCCTCGAACCTGGTGGTGGTCGCAGCCGAGCTGGAAGTGCCGTTAGCGTGCAGGACGTGATGGACAGCCTTGAAACGAGCGCATGGGGAGAGAGCATTCGAAGAAGCTTTACGACGCGACGCGGAGGAAACAATGGCGACAGGTCGCCAGCGAGGAGCGATGACGAACGACGTTTTGATCGGGATAACTCATGGTAATGATCGGACGGAAAGGGTTCTGCTCACCGCAGCGGAGGTTGTTTGAATGAGGTAATGTCGAGGTGGTCACGGAGGGTTGTAAATGATGATGACCCTGTGTTTGACAGGCTAAAGGTAGATGGGGGACTGCATGTGCCTCACTAAATGGTGGGCGGACATGTCTGGAAGGCAGCTTGGGCGGCTGTGTTAATGGCTGCATGTGGAATGATCTAGACGATACCCAGAGACACTCGCCTCCGGCGTTGTGCACAAGACGGTAGTAGACTTAGACTACGTCAAATTTCATCGTGTTTGATACGTGTTAGTTTTTTCTAACTGGCGCTACGTCTGCTTCTACTGGCGTGTCATCCGAGCTGGAAGAAAGCGATGATCCTTCGCATTGACATCTTCCAACCTGCATGTACAGAGAGTTTTCGACTCCCCAGGGGTGTGATCCGACTTTCAGGACCATCAATTTCGTCCACTCCAAGCTTTCAGGGGATGTAGGTGCGGTGGACCTCACGTGAGCTGTAATGTGGTGGCGCGGAGCGCTATTTTGTGATGGAATCACATCTTGGACACGGAGTACACGTTAAGTTTTAGTATGAGTGTTGATAGATTGTTCTTTGTATCCTCTGCTGAGGATAATGCCATAGGTGATGCTATCTATGAATAACGGTCATGCTCCCCGATCCGTCCCAGTTCGTGTAGCTGAGAGTACACTGACACAAACCCCCTTATTGTCAGTCACTCTGTTAGCCAGGGATCATTCAGAAACTCTCGTACAGAGGCCCGAACCCCTGGTAGCCACTGAAGCATCCGGTGTAGCACATGGAGGAACTCTTCTTTATCACTGTCTTCCAGCGCTTGCAATTCATCTTCAAGCGAAGATATCTCCAGCGTTGTTTTCCCTGCCCATTCCCTGTCCTCGTCGAAGAAACGGTTGGCTATGTGAAATCGGTCGAGGAAACTTCTAGGGGGCTGTCCAGCAGGGTAACCACTCGAGCCAGGTACGGATATTTTGACTTGAAGCGGTCCGTGATGTCGTTTAGGTAGAGGTGCTTCCCTTGAAGAAGGACCCAGAAGGCCAGAACTGGTTTACGTCAGTGGCAATGCATAATGTTGAGTTATAGGGAATACCATCATTCCCACGCTCCAAGTATCAATGCCTTTTCTCCCGGGTGTGCACAGGATAGTTTCAGGGGCATGATAGTGATTCAACTTGGCTTATCCTCGTACGCTTCAAGGCCTCCCTCCAAGGGCGAGATATCGAGGAGCGACTCGCTGAGGGATGACATACTGACGCTGTGCATATCTTCCCATGCTTAATTCAAATGCCATTCTTGTGCGAAGAGTTTTGTAGAGGAGATATTTGGTATCAAAAACTGTTCTGGCAATGATACAAAATGGCGTACTAGTAACTACTATGTAAGGATGATCTTAAACCCCTATCATCGCTTCACCTACCCGAATTTATGATTCACCACCTAATCACTGCGATGAAATTCACCATTAGCTATAGACTATATTAAGCGAAAATCATCAGCGCACGCCGGGCGCGCGGTTCAATATTCCCTAACATAGATATATAGACCTTGCAGTTATGCACCAAACTCGTGGTGCAATCAATTTCGTCCACCCGATAGGCAAACATTTTCTCAACGATTTGGGTTAGAAATTAGATAAAATGCTACGAGCAGTAGTTAGTTAACTAAGTTAAGTTAGATAAGTTAATGGCAGCGATCTTAATATGGGTTCGGAAACTGGAGCGCAGCACACTCAAGATCGGCATTCAATGACTTGAGATAGCACCTTAGCCACCCAGCGAAGCTGCGAGAAACATACTAATCGTCGCACATTATATTTGGATCCAATGACGTATATTCATAACTTGGAACTAATTCTATTCCTGGGTATATCAACAGGTGTTAATATCCTTATTTTGAAGGTCATGTTAGACTGAAAGGACTGAGCCATGTGTTCAACTCATCATGTCTCCCATTGCTGGGAGAGAGGGTGGCCACCACAAAACTCCCTCTATTTTTTTGGGCCCATCGATCATTTTTGCTATCTTTATACTAATAGTAAAATTATCGAGAGAAACGGATCTGCTGGGGAGGGGATTCGCACCAATGCCGCTATTTCGAGCCGATAAGGACTCCGGATGAAAAATGTAGGTAAATTCCAACGAATCTAGAGAAATTGGGAGAATGAGGTTGTGGTAGATGTTATAGGGAGCACCATAGGAATCAAATGACGGAGAAAGTCGATAAACGGCACATCTAGTGAGGATAAAAGCATTGAAAATGCTCCATTTGTTTGACTTTTGGAAGTGGTAAAATTCCAGTACACGACGAGCTTGGACAGTGACCGACATATATATTTTTACAAAATATATTCCCCGGTAGTATGGAGAAGTTCTATCTCCAACGATACAAAAGTGTGGACGCTGTATAAGCTATATGAACTTGTTTAATCGTTGAAATAATGGAAACGTGAGAAAAAGCGAGAATATAAGCATCGATCTGGGCGGTTTAGGAGTGGAGGAGGACATTTTGTATGAAATAGATACATGACATCAATGGAAAACATGATAACTGAGCATCAAATTCAGAAAAGCATTGATGACAGTCACTCCATTTTCCAAGGGGACGGTGTGAAAATGTTTCATTTTCTATGTAAGAATATGTTAGCTACCCTCCGAACGTTGCCGGACTACCATCCTTCGATATTCGGCCATCGACTATTGCGCTATGTTATACCACTTTTAGCCCTGCGCCCTGGCTCTCCAGTTGAGGACTCCGCCATCATCGCCCGTCGAAACCGAACCATCGCATCGCACAGGAAGCCAGTCTCCCCTTCTCTCATCCCCCCCGCAATCATATCCGCCCCAAAACCTTCTTCCCTTTCTGCACCGGCTCCCGCTTTAGCCCTTCATTTCCCTGCTGCTGCAACTGCTGCTCCTCCGTGCACTTCAGATTCCCCACCTCTTTCTCCAGCTCTTCGAGCGCCGCGCGTAGATTCTTCGCCGAGTGTCGCATCCGCTGCCGTTCGAAGGCGACGGCCTCGTAGTGATGGGCATGGGCCTGGGCATGGGCCTGGGTCAGGGGCTGTACCGCAGGCGGAAGGGGCGGTTTTGGAGCGTGGATGGTCGGGGCGGGGGCGGATGACGAGGAGGGGGCCGTGGACATTGCGTTTGGGTAATAGAGCATGGGGGTTCCAGGACCGAACAGCATCGGGCCTACAGGTGCCATTCCCTCTGCTGCGCTGGTTTTAAGATGGTGGCCGAACAAACCGGGCGGGGATGGGGGCACAGACGGCGTGAAGGGGTTGGGGGGGGGTGGCTTCGGTTTGCGCTTGTTGCCGTACTGCTTCTCACGGACTTCCGAAATGTTCGCCCAGTCCTGGACGCATTCTAGGATAGTATCGCCATTTGTTGTGAAGTGCATCTTGATGACATCCGCCCAGATGCCATGGCTGCTCCCCGCCCCTATCTTATCGTGCCTCGGCCGTGCGTAGGAGGAGACGGTTTTCGCCGGATTGAGCCAATGCAACATGGCGTGGTTCGTCGTCCAGTACCAGACCTGTTCATTGTAGCTCTCCGATTCCCGGCTTTGCTTTCTCCTCTCGCGTCCGGGCTCGTTGTACCACGGCTCGTCGCACAGGACCATGCTTTGCAGGGATATGAGCACTTGGAGCAAGGTAGATTCGCCGGGGCGCCACGATTCACCCTGCCAGGTTCCGAGGAGCGAAAGGCAGACTTTCCCATCGGGGTAGAGGTTCGGGTTGAATCGAACGGTGCCTCCGCCGGTTGTCTTGAAATTGAAGTTGGGCGGGGTATTGGGGTAGGACATAGGGCAGTCGATGTCAAATTCGAAGAGTCCCCCCTCGTAAGGCGTGCCCGATGGACCAACAATGATTGCTTTCATCTTTCCAAGATGCCCCGAGCAGTATCGTAGGTAAATGCCTTCGGGAAGCGATGACCTCAGGGTTGTCAGCTCCGTCATGAGCCTCTTCATCCTGTCTTGTCCAGGAACTTTCGATTCACCCTTGCGATAATTCGGCACAGAATGACTGGTGACCAGTTGCTCATCCGGAACCTCGATGACGCAGTTCTCACGGTGCCATTCCTTCATCTTCGCACTTGCATCGGAGCTGACCTTTGCGTCATTCGCCTGGATCTGTTCGCCAAACGCTAGATTGACTTCGACCTGAACTTGGAAGGCGTCCGAGAGGTCGCCTATCTTCTCATATAGCCGCATGTTGCTCGGCTCTGTCGTCAGCAATTCCGAAGCCTTGGAATTTACGAAGCCCAGCATGAAGGTCGCATGCTTGGCAAGCCTCTGAAGCAGGGAGAGCAGCGGCTGGCATTTGCGATAATTCATCGCATCATCATTCGGGGTGGCCTTGGCAAGGATTTCTCGCGCGAGCATTGCGACGTTGCTCTTCCCGGGACGCGAGTAGCGATGTTTCAGGACAGCCTCCAGGGAGAATTGGGGGGACGGAGAGAGAACTTGTAGGAATTCCAGCAGCGACTCATACAAACCCAGGCGGCTCGTAACGTCTTCGATCGAGTCGTTGCGGAGGAGTTCGGCGGCTCGTTCCAATATCGCGCTGTTCTTCATCAGGAGAAGCGCATGTTCCGAGACGCTGTTATCCATCATGATACCGGTACTGACCAATAGGTGCGCGAGGAGCTTGAACAGGAATTGATGGAGTCCGTCGGGACTGGTTGGAACTGATTTGGTTGCCGTGGGGCGGGAATGTCTGTAAAAGGCATTCGAGCCACCGTAGCCCACACCTTTGGAGAGGGCGGAGATTGGCGCATGTCCTAGTTTCAAATCTGCAAATTCCTCGTCAGAGTCAATGTCTGGGGGATTCAGGAAGTGCTCCAGTGCTTCGACCGGAGGACCCCATTCTTCATTGGAGAAGTAATCAGGGGCAACGGATTTGTAATATTGGTGAGAAATAGAGTGAGGCTTGGATGTGGATTTTAGATCCTTACTTGCCAAGCTCTTCTTGATTGTATCCAGATTCTCTTGTTTCTTGAAATTCAGCATCCCAGCCCCCGAAGGCGTAGGGTCTTTCGGACCGTAATGTCCATCTGATTCGGGATTGAGGAAGTCTAGATTATAGGGTGAAACGAAAGGTTCGTTGGTGACCGAAACGGGGGGTTTTGGGATCGGAAACCCAGGCAACTTCGGTTGTTTTGCTGCCTTCGTGCTCGCTGAGGTGCTCACATTCCCTCCCTGTCCAGGCGGTCCAGTTGAAGCCCCTTTGCCGACGATTCTTCCGACAGCTTCCTTGGGGGAATTGGCGTTGGTCTGGGGTGGATACAACAATGCCATCAGTGTGTCTTCATGGTCAAAGGCCCACAAAAGAGCAAAGTAGGCAAAGATCTGAGCCCCATTGCAGCACAGGGATACACTGATTCCCGCAACCTCGTTCACGTCTTGATAGGGCGTTGGGTGACTGTGGCAATGCGGGCAACATACGAAACGACACCTGCTGCATTCGATGTAACCATCCAACCGGGTCTTCTGCTTCCAGATCTGAACCAGGGTCGCTAGATAATCATCCTGGGAGAATAGTGGGTTCGTGCACCTGGGGCAGACTTTCTCCAGGAACGTTGCCACTAGGCTTTCGACCTGCTCTTTCTCGTGTACCAGCACCTGTAGTACTTCATCGGGTAGAATCTCTTCTTGTATAGGAGGAGCCACTCTCTTTTCCCGCCCCGCTCCTATTATCGTGTCATCAACCTTCCTAGCCGACACCTGGTCCGTTTCCCCAGCCACGACTTGCCCGTTTGGATAGTGAATGCTTTGGTCTTCCGAATGGATCACGCCTTCCATGGGGTCAAAACTGGGGTCCCCGTACCCGAATCCTGCAATATTTCCGTGATAAGAAAAGACGGTCGCTGGTGTGGTTTGTTGTTTCATTTTCAGAGCATCGGTTACAGTTACAGGCTGGCTGCTGCTCGGTTGATAATGGGGAATGCTGTCGGCGGAGTCCTCATAACCGGGATATATGACTTGAGGGCCGTTCGGCCCGTAATAAGCCTTGGGGGGTGCATTCACTTGGCCATGCCCGGGATGGTAAGGGGCCTTCATCTTGGGACTGGAGACGATTGAGGCCAGGGAATGCGGTGTTCCTATTCTGTGGGCGTGATCCACGACCGGCTGGGTGGATGATGGTCCCAGCGCGATAGAGCCATTCGAAGGGGTTGTCTGGCCCGCGCCGCTTCCATCCGACAACGATTTGGAGAAGGGGACCGGTGCCTTGCGCGATAACGAGCCGTGCTGCTGTTGCGCAGATGCTGGGTTGAATAACGGGGTGTGGCTTTGACTTGTTGATGGCATTCCCGAAGGGATCGTGCCGTGAGGCATGGCCGAGCCGAATGGGTTCATGGCCCATGGCGCAGTACCGCTAAAGAGGTCGGTAGAAGAATATCCCGCGTGGGGCGCAGCTGACCAAGCGACTTGAGTGGAATAGTTAGTCATGGTCAACGGATTTGGAGGGAATAAGGGCGGCCACGATGCGGTTGGTGCTAAGTGCTGAGGTTGAACATTCGCCGGAAGTCCGGGATAGAACAAGAAACCAGCATGTGCTTGAGGGTAGTGGTGAGGGTGGTGGTGAGGGTGGTGAGGGTGGTGGTGATATGGACACCCGTGAGAGAGGGGAGGATACAGCGAGGTGAACGGTTCCGCCACATTCGCTCCAGCTCCATTACCAGTATCTTGTTGCCCTATCTTTTGGTTTGAATCCTCCTCTCGTGTGGAATCGTCAGACTCCATGATTCACGTTTAAACACGCGATACGGTGTGTTGCTCTGATCAAAGATAGACAGATCAGGAAGCACCATGCGAGACGAGGAGGAAGTTCTAACAGGAAAAGAAAGAAAGGAAGGTGAAGGTAAAGGGGATTTAGTGACACGAAAAAGAAAACGTCAGTTCGCGGTCTTGTGGAATTGAATGACGACCGGCTCTGAAGCCTCCCATTCACCAGTATAGCGTTCTAGTGGTGGGGGTGCGTTTGCCTTGGACTGAGGGTGAAACTGAATAGGTGAAATAGGCAGAACTTCCGCTCCTCCTTGGACCGATCAAAGACTTGAAGGATGGGCCGTTACGGAGCCTCGTTGACGATAATGTCGGCTGGTTGCAGATAATTCACCACTACAGCAACCCAATGTTGTGTCCGTGAAGGTCAACCGAATGGTAGAGGGGAGACGGAGGTACCACAGCTGCTGAGCTTGTGGTATAAACCCTTTGGACAGTTTATGCTCTCTAAGGCCGTCAATCTGATTCCATGCGCGAACGTTCAAGTGATGTGTTAAAGCTGTCTTGGTGGTGTTTTCGAATCATGTGGCTTTCTAGGTACCTTATTAACTAACCGTGTTGCTATATCGGTACGTACCAATGTCGGCTGCCGATGAAGTCCAGCTCTTCAGGGCTGAGGCACAGCAACGCAACAGCTCCAGGCCATCGACTGGTGTAACAGCAGGTGCTAAGCGCCCAGAGTTCGACTCCAGCTTATCTTGGTGCTTTCTCTCCTTCAATTTGTAGTTACTCACGACTGGGGAAACATTGGACGGACACACTCTAGCTACCTAGGTACCTTCGTATACGATCCCAATTCAACCGCTACATTCTACGGAACCACCATGTGAGGGGAAGTCCGCCTGGTCGATGAAAGCATCCTCTCGGTTGCTAGAAATTGAGGGTGTTTCACCTTGGAAGTCCTCCCCCAGCCAACAGGTATCTAGATCTCTAGAGGTAATGCAAGTTGAAATAATGGAACGACTGAGGGTTTTCAATATACTGGGTGGCCGTTCAGGCTGGGGATATTAGTGTCGTCCACGCCGGATAGATGACGTCGATGACTATATGTTTTTCAGCGGGCATGGTTTCAGTGCCATCGATGCGCTGCTGAAATTTCTTTTAGTTTAAAGAACGTTCGAATATTCCTAGAACTCCTTGAGCCGTTGAACGCTTGATGTGCACCATTCTCTGCTATCCTGCTTCTGGCATAGCGTCCGATCCTCGCCTCCCCCAGGTTCTCCAGACTCTCTCCCCTCCCGACTCTCGTCCATCCCAGTCCCCATCATCAACTTCCGTTCGCTGGAGACCGTCTCATTCCCGGATTTGATTCGATTCTCTCCCGGCGAACATGTGAGCATGGCGTGGGCGGAACGGACCTTTGATGTTTCCACGCCATGGACGGGCCACTCAAGATCCGGATGTGCCTGAAACGGCGGCAGTCCAATGCAGGGGTTTACACTGGCTATCATTCTTCAGGCGAGTCCTTATGTGGACCTTTCATTCAAGTTGAGATGATTCTTCCTCTTGTCCGCTTCCTATGAACCCGGTTACATTTAGAGGACTATCCTGATACGGACTCGAGCCGTAATCTTGGGCGCATTTCATGTCCATGTTATCACCATGTTCGATGCACAATGGCTCTACGGATGCCCCGTTCGTATTGTTTGGCTAGGAATGGATAAGAGCGACTCCGTAGCTGTCATATTGTTCAGAGCATCTGATCGTAACTCAACATGGTGTGCATATGCATGTTCGGCTGGTATCGGACAGACTGGGACAGGTGTATTGACGTATAAAAGGTGACCATAATGCTACCGTTGAGCAGCTGGATATCTCATCGATACTTTTGTCAGGAATATCATCGCAGTTTTCATCCCTTAACCAACAGGTTCACTACGCTTTAATAATACTCAAGATGGATAAGGTTCAGAAAGCCCTCGATGACCTCGAACGCAAGGCGACCAAGAGCGTCAAGATCATCTCCAAAGGCGAGAAGTTGTCCGTCGGCGATGCGATCAAGCTGGGCCGGAAGACAAACTCCATGATATCAACCATGAAGAAGGCCGTAAAGGGATACGAGGTATGTGTTTAGTTCTGCCATCGACCTCCAAACCTAACATTCTACCAGGGCACCACCCCCACGGAGGAGGAAAGCCAGAAGATCCTGGCGCAGTCGAAGCGGATGGTGGAGCTCAGCGAGGCGCAGCTGGACCATTTAATCTCACTAAAACCGCACATCGAAAAGCTGCACGTCGGAGGTATGCTTGCGTGACAGACCCTCATCAGCCCATGAACACTGACAAGCTTTCAGGTCTGGTGAAGAAGAGCATGTTGAGGACCCAGGCCGCATCGGGGGAGCTCGAGAATGTCATGCGGGAGAAGTCGCCGGAGAACCTGAAGGCGGAGGGTGAGGCGCTCGCGAAGCGCAAACAGGCTGTATTTGAGAAGGCGCTCGCTGCTTTTGCCAACTCCACGGGCGGTGAGGACCAGGCTGAAGGCGAGGACGACAGTGATTAGGTCTATGAGAGCATCCTGTGTGTCAATGGCCCACCCAGCGCGGGATATATAAAGGGCCACATTTAGGTTCGAAATATAGTCAGTCTCGGAAAACAGGTTCCCAAGAACTGCATCGGTGCTGAGATATGTATGGACCATCCCTACGTCGAGACTCGGGTGTGATATTGGCGTATCCAACACCAAAAGTCTCCCAATCATAATCGATCCAACCCGAAACGTGGTCCAAACGTGCCCCGATTGTAGTCCCGAACGTTATTTCTCGCCGCCCTCATCCGCCTCTTCTCCACCCGATACCGGTTCTGCCGCTCCGGTGTCCGCTCCTTCTCCAACCCCACTTTCCAATCAATGAGCGACGGCGTCCCCGATGTACTGGACACGGTAGCATGTGAGGTCCGTCGGCGACTCGACGTGGCTTTCCGGGCGCGGACACTCGACCTGCCTTCGGGGATGTTGTGGATGGAGGAGGCGCTATGCGTCGTCGGGATGGATCCTGCGGGATTCGGGATGGTTTTCAGCTTAGAGGAGTTGGCGGACGTCGACACATCGAGGGGATCATCTGGGACTGGCTCGGCTGACACTATAGCCTGCGAATTCTCCTCGGAGCCACGCCCGGCTCCCTTCCCCTGCGACGTTGTTCCCGCCACCGCGTTCAGTCTTCGGCTCGGTCGTGCCGGGCCCGATTTCAATTTCTCTTTCGCATTTTGCGGATCTTCGTCACCGCGCCGCCTCGCATCCTCAGCTCTCTCTGCCCATTCTGGCGGACATGCCGCGTGCACACCACACATCATTCGTGCGCGTTTCCCAAACGCCGCATAGTCTTCCTCCATTAGCCTGCCTGCCTCCCCATTCAAAGCGCTGGCGGGATTCGGCTCGATGAGCAGGCAATTGATCGTGACAAGGACGTGTCGCAACGTCAAGCTGTTATTCCAATCGCGCTTCAGCGTGTCGACGCAGATCGCGCCGCTCGACTCGTCGACGTTCGGATGCCATATCCGGGTGCGGAAAGTTGCTGTGGGAGGGGCGGTTGGGTAGTTGGGAGGCATGTCGAGGTGGAGTTTGAAGAGGCCGCTGGCGTACGGGGTCGATTCGGGGCCGGCGAGGAGGACGTCGAGTTGGGTGAGGTCGTCCCCTGAGGGCTCGGGAGAAGGGAAGAGATAGTTGGGGGGGAGGCCGGCATTGTGGAGGGAGGCATGGTCGGCTGCTAGCCGGCGAAGGGATCTTGCGTTCTGGGAATGGAATTAGTGATGAACCAAGACTTCGTAGGCGTCAAGCAGGAGAGTTCTTACCATGCGTAGTGTGATGGAGGAGGGATTAGCCCGATGGCGGTTGGAGGGCGGAAGCGACCCAGGAATTATTATGTAGAGATTTATGGACAAGAGCTGGATACGAAGGGCTGTATCAATAGCAAAGTACAAGAAATATCCAAACCGTAGGTGTATTAACCATGCGTTGAATATCGTTTATTGATTGAAATCAGAAGACGCGTATCGTGGGTTTGAGACGCGTCAAGTGCAATCGGGTATTGGCGCCTTATTGCCTTGCTTTGGGGGACAGTGAGGTACAGGAAGAACAACTTGAGCAGAGGTAACTAATTAATGTCCTTTGTTCCGAAACCTTCGACTTCATTCGAAGCATACCGGTACTGCCTGTCATTCATATATATCAATTCTAAGTCAGAACAGTGTCTGTATTACATTGTTCTCTATGCTCATACACTAGAATCCCTAAACTGGGTTTCCTGGCATGCTTCCACTGGAGCTTTTGGTTGGGATGATCCAAACCTCCTGGATTCCTTGGGTTGATCTACCGTATTGAAACGGACGATTGCTCGTCGTGTCGCGTTTGTTTCAATTGTATAACATATTCCGCTCGGCTCTTTCTGAGCGGTTCCCTCGTTGCAATGCGTTTTCCTATATAACAAATGGTTGCCAGTCATCCAGTATGAGTGTCATGATGACGGGACCTTGACAAGCACTCCGAGGTTACTTGAAGCCTCCCTTTAGCAGGCCAGTGTATTCGCCCAGGTCGGTTGATCCGCTGTCTTTGCAATATACACATTCTATCATTTCCAGTGGGGTAGGACATGCTTCTCTGTCTTTCCTGCTTTTCTTGTCATAGTCATAGAGTTGCGTATGATTTTGGTGTCTGTTTACACCTTCCGAGTCTCCCTATTCCTTTCGGCCATGAGCATGGTATTGTGTATGGATTTAAGGTCGATACAGACTGAATACGCTCTTCCTAGGTTTGTTGTTCTCTCGCTTCGCAAATGCGACATTGCATGGTATAAATTGAGCAGCTACCCGACCTGGAGATGTGCTTCATGGTCCCTTTTGCTCTCGATACAAGTGTCCTATACCAGTAGATTCCATCATCATCATCATCATGGCAGGTAGAGACATTCTAAATAAGGCCTTTTTTTGCTACTTCGGGTCTTGATGCACGTATATATGTTCAACGTTTGGCGATTAAGGTCCCGGTTCGCCAGGTAGGCCATACTTCTACCGACTAACTATATAGGACCTCTTCGATTCAGAAAACAAATCGACGACTAAGCGACAACATCTGGGACGGTTAATAGATTGATAGTCACGAGTAAGCAATCATCGCTCTACCACGATCATCATGGCCAAGTAGTGTTTGGGCCGAGCAATATTAAAAACCACTGGCCCGGGTTTTTTCTTTTCTTCTTCCTACGCAACTGGTTTCGATAATTCGTTCAATGGAATAGATTTCCTTCCTTATTGCTGGAGTCGACAGTTACCCCTTTGTCCTTTCACAATTCTCACTATCAATCGAAATTGTTCCCTTCTTAACTTTCCACCAACTTGAAATATTTTACTTCTCGCAGCTTCTTTGAAAATCTTCCAAGGAAGTGCTATTTCGGCTGACAATTGTCTATCCTTACTTCCAAGTTTACTCTCACTACCATGGCTCCCGAAACTAATCACAGCTCCAGCAATCTCCTAACCTGCCCATTCTGGTATGAGGGCAGATGTAAGAACGAGGACCGTCACTGTGTGTTTGCACATAGAAACACTGGCACTCTCGCGCCCTTTCCCGGAGAGAACAAGAATGCCGAGAGTCCTAAACAGCCCAAACCGAGACAGTCGCTACCTCCCTCATCTGCCCACTCAAGGACGATTGGGCAGAAGAATCCGAACTCTAGTACAGTATTACCACCACCCCTGAAGCCAGAACCGTCGACCCTACAAAAGGGACTTTCTTCCAACTTCATCTACTACCTACAACCTGTCCCACTCACTCAAGACATTAACATTGATTCATCAGGGAAGCAAGTTTCCGGTCTTGAGGGCTTTGCAGTTCCAGAATTAGACCTCATATCTCTCCAGGACGAAGTTACGAGCATGATGACTTCACTAATTGCAGAAACTCATCACCCCACCAATTTCAATTTCAAATTACAGAAACTAGGTCTTTCGACCGAAGCAGGACCATCTCCCCTTCACCAATCAGCAACATGGTTGAGCAATGGGAACAATGCCACTAGGTACCCGATCCAACTCAACCTCATTGGGCAGAAGACTGCAATGCAAGTTGCCGCCGACGCCCTTCTCGTGGAATGTGTGGTCACGAAGACTGATAACCTGCCTTTGGCGATGCTCTTCGCCGGTGCCCCCGGTAGTGGCAAGTCGGAACTTGCCATCAAATTCGGCCCTCTATATGGCATGAGCACGATGCGGATCAGCTGTGCAGAAACGACCGCGACCACGGAAACACTTTTCGAAAGTGGACCTGTCATTGGCTCTTCCTTACTGGCTTTGAATGACTTCCTCTCGGAGAATCAAGGACAGCGGAGCATAGTGGTGTTGGAGCGCATTGAAAATGCCTCCAAGGGATTTCAGGCTGTTATCCTTGCCATTCTGTCTTCTGGCGAGTCTATATTTCCATGCTGCCAGCCCAGCGTAGCGCACTAACACCTTGTACAGGGCAATTCCGCGACCGCCGATCAGATACCTCTGTGCATTGCGGCCGAGTAATCTTCATCTTCGAGACCAACATGGCCAAAAATGAAGCCATCGAGCTCCAGAACATTCTTGCTGCAGGCAAAGCAGCCGAAATGTCGTCCCCAGCAACGCATTTGAAGGATCGGATCCGCATGGTGATGAAGCAGCATCTTGATGTGAGAACACTTTCAATTTTATGACGGAGTTGAACTAACCTGAAGCGCAGGACGAGCTTTTTTGGCACATTTGGTCATTGTCCCCTTCTTCTGCCTTATCCCACCCCAGCAGGAGCAGATCGTCGTCCTCGAATTGAACAAACTGGCGAAGCGTGCCGCGATGAAGGCATCTCAGAAACCCCCTACTTTCGGCAACGTGCAACTGAAGATCCTCGATCCCAAGGCCGTGATTGCGTATATCCTCGATGCAGGATACACGGAGGAGGGGGGCGCCCGCAGCATCTAGAGACCCATCAACGATCTGATCACGAAGCCGATGTCGCGGGACTACTTCAACAATGGAGCCGGACCGGTGGAGCAAGGGAAGCAGCAGCATCGCTATCTGGTCGCAATCATTGATGGGACGCAGGGTGGTGCAAAATTTGGGTCTGGTGGCAATCCAGGCCCAGATCCTGTAGACTGGTGGGACTGGGAATATACGCGGCTGCTTATGGGGAAAGAAGTATAGTTGCAGTATTAGAGCAAAGTAAAAGTTATCAGCTTCGTGTATAGTTCATCGTAAAGCAATATTTTGAAATACGGAAACCATGATGTCAATTTTAGCGCCTTTCATGGCGTGCTAACTCGTCCATCTTGTGACGTCCCTGTCCGATGCCATCGCCATCCTTGAACATGTGCTCCAAGCATCTCTTGTCGTTTCTGCCACGCTAAGCTACTAGACGGGATTGCCTAAGGGCAAGTCAGCTTCTAGTATGCGGTCTCTAATTTGCGAAATTGGCATTTCTCTGTTGATTAGACGGCGGGAAGAACTCCGCCGGATAATGTCCTCCCCGCTTCAAGAACCTCGACCCGCTCGTCCTCCTCAATGCACCCATATTTAAAAATTTGCGCCAATGACGAAATGCACAATAAGAAGGTTGCTTGAATGATGGCTTTGGATTTGGGGAATTACTACAAACGGTCTTTCTCAGGTCAAGCTCGCCCTCTTCAAGTCAATAGACAGGCCCCTTTTCGCCAATCTCCAGGGGAATAGCCGCGATCCCAGCTTGCATATAAGCCCTAACTCTAATCCACTGGGGTTGAAAGATAAAATACACGACGCAGAAGCGAATCGAACAGATCGGACACACAGCGCCTACACTGGTCATTATCATGACATGAGGATGACGGATGGACTAAATATGCGGTTAGCTTTCCTTTCCTTGATATATATTTAATGGGGATAACCGAGGGAGAACTTACCCAGCCAAGACCGCCTCGTCCACAACGCTCTCCTGCCCTGTCACCATCATGTACACCTCGCCCGCCAGTCCCTGTGGAACCGTGCACGCCCCCTGTTGCAACGGCGTGAACATCGTCTGACCCTGATTGACGTACGCACAAAACTGCGCGCCGGACGGTTGTGCCGTGTCCTGCAGTACAAGGCTCTGGCCCGCCGTCACCATCGGGGTCGACAGCTGGATCGCCGGGAACGCCGGGATGTTCAGGTTGCTTCCTTCAGGGCACGACTGGATGAACCCGCTCGCCAGGGTGAACACCGCGCGGGGCCCCAGCGGGGTGTCAAATGGTGCGGGGACGGGGGCGGCGGCGCTGGCGGCCCGGATGAAGGTCTGATGGCGGGATTCCACGGTGAGGATGCTTCCGGCGGTGGAGAGGATATCCTTGGATTGAATGAGCGGGGCGGCGCCGAGGTAAGCGGAGACGCCGACGGCTTCGAGGATGCGGGCGGTGGCGACCATGTCTGCGGCGGTGGTGAAGTTGAAGTTGTAGGTGCATGCTTGGACGGGAGGAGCGCCGGTAGCGGAGATGGCGCTGGTTAGCGCGGTGACGTGGGTGGCTTCGGTTTCGCCGATGGCTTGAAGGGCCTGGATATTGGCCTCGCTGAGACCGAGGGCGGAGAAGTCTTGGGGCGGGAAGCGTTGGAATCCTTGGGAGTAGAAGTTGGATTCGAGGTGTTCGAGGGACAAAGCGCTAGGAAGTTGGGCGTTAGCAATACCACGAGAGACGACGAGTTAGATACCCACAATTGGAGGATGTCAATATCTGATAATCCGCCTGCTGGTGCCGCTACTGGGGCAGTCGGTGATGGCGAAGCCGCTGGCGGTGCTGGGTCTTGTCGTCGCTCAGGCCGGTGAGGGTATTTGTGCCCGGGCTGTGGGCGAGGCATGGCCTCGATACCCCCTGCGATGCCGAGGACGGCAAGAATCTTGAGGAAACTTGATATAGATGGCATTGTGACGTTTTAATGCACTGAGTTGCCCGTCTAATAGTATTACTGCCTTTTTTTCCTTGAAGGACTGTGATGCTGGAATCAATCCAAGATAAAGGTCCAACCAGGGACAGGTATATCAATCAACTACAATGAATGACTTGAGTGAGACTGGGATTAATGAGAGCAAGCTCTTCCTGAGAAATGCACAACTGAAGAAAACGAAGAGGAACGAGAGGAAAAGGGAGCGATGCTGGGTATCAAGACCATGAGGACAATAATGCAAGAAACATCTCATGTATTCCCACGAAGAACAAAACTGAAGGATGGACGACGCCTTATAATCGGCCCATTCTCTCATTTCCCTTTATCGGTAAAGCCAAGAGAGTTCTGAGACAGGAACATCGCGCCTCCGAGCGACCCCTACTACAGCTCGTTTGAAGTCCCAAAAGGAGCGCATATGCGCCTCTACAATGCAGTTCTAGTAAGGCTTCGACCTCAAGCGATCCAGTCAAGACGCGGCAATGGCCGACAAGCTTTCCGTCACTACCATGTTTGGTATCGATAGCACCGGTGGCGTCCAGACGCATACCCGGATTTCGTAGAGTGCCAGCAGCGGAGATGGGACAGGACCGTCGCAGGGGCAGCGGCGGCGGAGAACGTTTCCGCGAGAAGTGCCAGGGCAGCTTGGTATTGCAATGAAGGGCAGTTAAGCAACCAATTTCATGGGATGCGAGGAGATTCGAAAAAGAAATCTTGCTATTTGTGAAAGAGGCGTCGGGGAGGGAGAGCTTCAAGTCGCGATGTGTGACGTCGTGTGTCGGAGACAGGGGTCCCTCTGACGACCCCGAAACCTTGTCTGCTCCAGCCACGATCTTGGAACCTCATTTCTTCATTTCTTCCACTGCTGCAGCTCACGGAGCTGGGCGCTTCCGGTAAGGGGTCCTTCGATGAGGCTGCAACGTGTGGGTGCTTCAGTTCAGCCAGGTCGGAAGCGTCCGGATAGAGGATGTTTCCAGTACATGTGGACAACGTCCGCGGATGACAAGAAACAAGTTAGAGACGAAAACGTCGAAGATTGGCGAAGCTGCATCGACAGATACTATGAAATTGTCAAGAGGATGTGAAGTGTGAAGTGTTTAGGATCCGCCTTCGGACAGGACTAGTCCCTAGCATTGATCGGATTAAAATGGTCCACCGACAAGACGAAGAGCGAGCATGTCATCGTGCCTTGGAAATAAAATAAGGGGAACATCCTGTTCTACTGTGTAATGTATTAAGTTATTAACTAAGTACATCCAAGGAGTGCGTGAAGCTGATAGTCCTAGATCAAACAGTGCTTTATTAAGTTGTGATGGACTAGAGAACGATGTCCAGAACCCAACCCCTATCAACGGATACTAACAACTCCCATCTTATCACATCTACGCGCGAAGAAGACAACACGCAGTATACAAGCACGGTGAACTAAACAAATTAAAACGGGGCTGATTAATCTCTACGGAATCTGTGCAACGCTATCTGAATATCTCTGATTTGTTTGTCCATGCGCTGCGCGAGGTACTTTTGTTTCGGTGTGCGTGCTCGTTCTCTCTCCTTCACTCGCTCATTCCTCGCTAGGAATACTCCGGTTCTTCTTTAAACTAATCCTGTGGCCCATTTGGGTGGCGCGGCTTGGCTTTGGCCGACATGTGGGCGGTCGCATGATCAGAGCCCGATTCGATTCATGACTGAGACCTCCTCTTCGTGCTTTCGTTCTGGAGGTGATAGAATAATAAGGGGTAGCGCATGATTGACATGCTCCGGGAATTGAGATGCCGAATGGTATCAGGAACAATTTAATCCTGTAATCCTCCATTGTGCACATGTTACTGGAATGATGTGCGTGGTGCTGCATTGATTTCGCGGTGATACCCCGCAATGGGGTATGTGGGGTGTGTAGAGTAGGTGTTGCCTGTGATTATGGGGTGATAGGGAAGGGAATGGGGATGATCATCTGGTTTCATTGCGAATGCCACAAAACGTCCAACATAAGAACGAATCTCTGGCATTCGCCTCGTCGTACTAGCTTCAACTTAGAGGGCAAAAGGGTTCAAAGACCGAATAGTCAAGCAACTGCAACACCGTTAGTCATTATCACTTCAGCCGGGCCAGAACACACTTACGGTGGGCTCTTGGACAAGTCCGTCTTTAGAATAATCGGCACCCGGGTCAACTCGCGCACCTCCTGCACACAATCTCCATTCTCATCTCGTAGCGTGAACAGGTCCAAGTACTTCTCCTTGTTCGTCAACTTCACTCCCGGTGTATCCGTCGCGCTCTTCGACAGCTTCGAATCGGACTTGGTGCGGTGCGGCGTCTGTCCACCGGCGACCAGCCCGTTGCGGGTCGGGGAAGGCGGCATGCTTTGCGTTGGGCGGTCGGCACCGGCGACGGGGTTGAGGGACACACCCTGCATTTCCGCGTTGACGCCGTTGGTGGACTCATCGTCGCTGTCGTCGAAAAGGGCATCAACATCGTCCGTGGAAATGGTACCTGTGTTGACCTGCTTGCGTTGCGCTTCCTCGGTATCCTTGGACGGCTTCGGAGCCTCGTAGCGCTTGAACGAGGAGTGGTTCTTGGGACGTTCGTCCTCCGGAATGTAGGCCGAGGACGGAACCCCCTTCTCCCAGAAAAGCTCGAGAAGGCGCTTGTTCTTGTCGAATTCGGCCTTCTTCAGCGGCAGCTGGTCGCAGTGAACGCGCTTTTCGAAACCCCATTCGGGAATGAGGACATCGAAGGCCGACTCGTAGACGCAAAGCACGATGCCCTCGCTGATGAGGTCCCCGCCAAGTTCCTTGCTGTGCTTGTCCATGAGACGGCACGCCTCGATGTGGACGCTCTGCTCTTGGGCGAAGTGACTGGAATCCTTCTTGGTGTTGCAATGATCAGCGGTCTTGTTGAGGGCTTCAACATCCTCGGAGAAACCGTCAACGTTGTCACTGAGGATAGCGTCGAGCTGTCGATGGACAATCACATCGGCATATCGGCGCGACGGATTCGTGAAATGAGTGTACACGCCCATGTTGAGAGAAAAGTGAGACTTCAAGTCGGGAGTGCTCTTGCCAGCCACATGGTACTTGGCGCGCTGCATAGACTTGATGAGCAGTGTCTCGACTCCCTTGCGAGTGTCCACATCGTCGATGTTGAAGAGACTGTTCTGAAGGGTGCTGCTGCTAGTGATGTCAATCTCTACGCCGATAGCGTTCATTCTCTCGGCGAACGTTCTCAAACGTCGGGGGTTGGGATCGGCCTGTCTGCGAAGCATTGCCTTCTCTGGCATGGCTTCAAGGATCTTCCTCGCGACAGTCCCGTTGGTGAGGGTGTGAATCTCTTCGACAAGCTCGTGTGCCGCGCTCGTGTCGAAGATGTTCTTTTCAACAGGAACATTCTCGTCGTCAAGCTGATACAGCAAGCGAAGAGGAGGAATATCGGTGGTGACATCGCCAAATCGATTCTGCTTGAGCTTCTGGGCGATGGAATTCAGAAGCTTGACGTCGTTGACACGATTGGCATCGAGGGAAACGTCTCCATTTTCGCTCAGAATGGCACCGATGTCTTCAAATGGAACGTTCACAGTGCTCTTGACAATAGCCTTGCCAATCCAGGTCTTGTCTTCAAGGACGCGGCCAGATGTAGGGTCAATCTTGAATATGACGCTAGCAGTATAGCGATCCTCACCGGGAGTGAGGCAGCAAAGCTGGCTGGACAGACGAGGGGGTAGCATGTTCACCGTGCGATTCATCAAATAGACGGCCGTTGCCCTCTTCTTCGCCTCACGGTCCACAAGAGACGAAGCCTTGATGAAATGAGACACGTCCGCAATGTGAACGCCGAGTTCGATCGTGCCATCTTCGAGAACCTTGACGTGGAGAGCGTTGTCAAGTGCTTTGCAGCCTCTAGGCTCGAGGGTAAAGACTGGCTCATCGCGCAGATCCTTGCGGCCTTCGGTGGAAACGGTCCAATTCTCGAATCCAACATTGTTCAGCACGGCATCGGAGAAATTGTCCGGGCCGAAATTGTTATCGCGGAGAAGTGCATCGGTCTCCACGGTGAGATCGCCCATCTCGCCAAGCTGTTCGACAAGGGTGCCGAAGGGATGGAGAGAAGTGATGGGCCATCGTTTAATGCACGCAACGAAGATACGATTCGCATAATCCTGGTGCTTCTCAACGAAATCCCGAGGCGCTTGCTCAGTGGGGATGGCGATAAGAGGAACACGTTTGTCGGTCGGCTTGAACCAGACAATCTTCGGCTTATCTTGGTGGCGCTCCTGTTGATGAGGACGAGAGTTGTGGCCTTCGCGGGCGGCGCGTTCGGCCTCCTGCTTCTCCTTGGTGGCTTGGCTGCTAGGACGAAGCAATCCGAGAGTTCTACATGATGTTAGAGAAATACAAATCCAGGCCATGAAATTATTACTTACCCAGAGAACATCTGCCCCGCAATCCGTTCAACGACGGCCACAATGTGACCTGCATACAGGGGCTTCTGCTCATCGTTGATTTCCTCTTCTTCCATCAATAAGAGACTCTGACCCTCGACCTCGACATCGTCGTTCTTCTTCTGAGTCGGTCGCTGCTTCAAGCTGCCACGTCGGCGGATGCCTCCGTCCGCCGCAGACTGGGAGCTCTCGGGCTGTGTGGTCGCATCGTTGACGGCAATGCCTCCACCGCGAGAATCAGTGTGGTCCTTGCGTTTCTTCTTTTCTTCTTTCTCTCGCTTCTGTCCCCACACTTCATCAACATCTAGAAGTTCGACCGCAACAAGATCGCCTTCGAGGGCACGGTTTCGATCCTTGCTGCCGCAAATGAAGATGTCGGCATCCAAGTCTTGAGTAGTGACGTAAGCATCGCTTCGGTTCTTCTTGTTGACACGAAGTATGCCAGCGACGAGCTGGCCTTGACCTAAAAGAGCGGGCAGGCTTGCCTGAGGAAGGTAAGGAGTGAATAACGTCTTTCGTTGTTGCTGGTTTTGTTGTTGCATCGGCATGTTCTGAGGAGCATGCTGACTTGCTTGAAGGCCCTGGCCATTCATCTGTGCAGCTTGAAGCGCTTGCAATTGCGCAAACTGAATGGGGTTGATATTTTGCATTCCGAACTGAGGCATCATACCCTGCTGGAGCTGCAACATTTGGGGCTGTCCTTGGTATTGGAAGTTGCCAAGAGATCCCATGCTCTGCATCGAGCCGCGGGTACGATGGCTAGGCTGGAAAGGCTGGGCGTTAGGGTTCTGGAAATTTCCCATTGATTGCTGTGGTTCTTGGGGAGGGGGTTGCTGGTTGTTGGGTTGACGCCAATTGCCTTCAAAGTTTCTCGAGCCGGTACGGCTGTGTTGGCCGCTTCTGCGCGTGGAGTCACCGACATCGCCGCTTTGAGGGAATTGGAAGCTTCCGCCACGACCCTTGGAGTTGCCAACTGCCATGCTCTGGCTGCGACCATGGCCGGAGCCACGTCCACGACCAGAACCAGTGGGGGCAAGTTGGGGTGTTTGTGCTTCACCAGCGCCTGTAGCGGGGGCAGGCGGTGCGGCATTATCCGCAGCGGGCCCCGGAAACTGGAAGTTCGTGGTTCGCCGTTTCTGTTCCGCGATTTCGGCGGCCTTCTTGGCTTCGGGAAGCGCTAAAGAGTGACGACGGGCGTGTCCGCTTCCACCATTGCCTCCGCGTCCACCACGCGGGTTCTGGTTCTCTCGGCGCTCGCCTTGGTTGTTGTTATTGAATTCTCCGAAACCGGATGCACCGGAAGAAGGAGCGGGTGGCGGTCCCAGGGCGCTGGCAGACGATTGGTTTCGACGGTGAGATCCTGGCTGGGTCGGTGCACCCATAGGAACTTGGAGGTGTTGTCCTCCCATCTGCTGCGGAAACTGAAACTGATTCCCGTGAGGAGAGACATTGGCCATTTGACCAGTGATCGGGAAGCCACCGCCAGGCATCTGCTGATTGGGAATTTGCTGGCCTGGCATCTGCTGGCCAGGAATTTGCTGGCCATGCATCATGCCCATATTGAGGTATTGGGAGGTAGCAGCGATTTGCTGTTGCTGCTGTTGCAAGGCTTCGATCTGCTGAGCGATGGCAAGTTGTTCCACTGCATACCTCATTGTTAGCTAATGTCCTTTGACGGCTTTCATGTGGAAGTGAACGTGAAGATCACACATACTCATAAGCGGTGTGAGCTCCGATGGGCTTCGTCGATGTGCAATATGCAGTCTTCGACCGCCGGGAGCCATTGGGCCAGATTGTCCTTGCTGGTCCATGGTAACAGAATCGTATACACACGGTCCAAGATGGACAAACGTATGAACGTATGAATCAATGGACAAAAGTGACGCTACGCTGGTGACGCAATAGGAGTGAGAGGGCGGATTTGCCCCCGAGTGGAGCCTGGTAATAGGCAATGATCGTCAGTATTGAAAACACCGTAATAGAGTGAGCAGCACATACAAAATTCAGGAGAGAAATGATTTCAAGTGTATGATCGTAACAGTTGGGGGTTATCTCCAGATGGATACAAAAGCTTTCTGGATGCGGCTGAAGCTCTCGCAGCTAGACGAGTCGCTGCCACTTCTGATGGTGAAGTTCAAGAGATGTGCTTCCAAGCTCAAGATTCTGTCGATCAATGAACAGGAAGAAGTTGGTAGACTGGTGAGATCGAGATGGACGTGAAGAGTCGAGAGTCCAAAGTGATTGACGAGGGGATTCAAGGACCGCAGGTGGCAGCGTTCGGTTGCCAGGCCAAGGAACGGGGTGACGTTGTTTCCTTCACAACGGAGCGGGCGACGGTAGTATGTTCCTTACTTCGCAGGCAAGATGGAACAGGGTGGATGTGCAGATGCAGAGAGTGCGAGTGAGGATACAAGCGTTACTTAGGGAGAGACGAAAGAGCACCAAGGAAGGTGAAGAAGATGAGGAGAGAGTGATGAACGGGATGGAAGTGAGATGAGAGAGGTTGTTGAGAAGGAGGGGGTTCAGTTCAGATCGAGTCTCTTGTGGAAGCAAGAGGCGTGGTGTGGATGAGCACCGACGACTCAGCGACCCAGCAACCGGCAACGTATGCAACGGATCGTATGGCTCGTCCAACCCTGGTTTAGCGGGGCAGTTTTATTTGCAGCTGTACGGGAGATCCCGAGTCGCGATTCGATGATTTGATCCGAACTTTCTAACCAGGGTCGAGTGTAGATGTAAGAATACGATAGCGCGGGTGGCGGGGGGTAGACGCCAACATGGGGGGAAAGCGGAACCAGGCTGGGGTGCTTACGGGATCGTTGGGCGGGTTGCACCGCCGGGGTTTGGCTCTCTCACCCACCCAAGGCTACCAGCCGAAGCAGAACCCTGTTCTGAGCCCCAAGCCCAATTAACTTCTGAGCACCGAGCAGTGAGAGGATTCGTAAGGTCGAATGCCGTTTTGCTTCCTAAGCATGATACCGCTTGGCGCTTGCTGAGCATCACCACTCCTGTGAATTTGAGAACGGATTTTTTGATTGGCAATTCGTATAAATCCCTTCGTCATACCAGCGGGCACTTGCGAAAGATTGGGTCATCCACGTGACTGAAATCGAAGCGTCATCGTCCACTGTTCTCAGTTCTCAGTGATTCTCGCGTTTCGAATCAGGTTGGGTCGTCTCTTGGGTTACCGTCGTATGGAAACAGTGTACGACCATTTGGAGCTTTGGACCTTCGGACATTGTGATATAGGCTAACGTTCTGAGGTGGACTTGACGATTTGCCAACCCTGGGATCTAGACTTCCAGTGCATACTTGTGAGCACCATTTTAAATCCATGAGCTCCCTTGACGGTCCCACATCTGGGGTAAGCTTTCGCATGCACAGCCGAGTCCAAGCCGGGTCCCAATTTGGTTGGTGTTCAAACTCAGAGGAGAATGGGAAACTGTTCAGGATTAGGCCCAACATCACTAGCCAGAATTAACACATATATAATTCGACCGTCTCCTTGTCCATTGAGACGTCTGGCAGATGCAGTTTTGTTCCGATATATCCACAGCTTCATCATCAGATTCCAGGCCACATGTCCACAGTGTGGTAAACTTTTGATGCCATCCCTATGGACCGAAGGCGCGAAACAAATTGGGCGTGTTTTGTTAGGTAGGCACCGAACATTTTGATGAATACTAGTGCCTTGTATCTGGCTGCTGATAGCGTCCATGTCCTATCGATTATTAGCAAACTCTATCCATCTCGTGACCACAACTTCACCGAATATCTCTTCGCTGTCAATTCATCATCACCCTGGATGGAAACATTCTATTCGTGGGGGTGACAAGGATGGGAAGAAGCACGAGACGTGGATTGGCTGGATCTTTCACCACTGTAGGGGATAGGGGGATAGGGGGATCCGAGCGTCGGAAAATTTCTTTTTCCGGACCCCCCAAATCCCCCTTGGGACCAGAGCGACCAAAGAGGCAAAAACATATCTTTATTCTCTGCATTGATTCCATCGGTTTTGTCTACTCTCCTTATCCTCCATTCAATCAAGATGATAGACTCAAATCTCGAGTCTAGACATGTGATGCTCCATGTTGCATTACTGATATACCTGGCCGGCCCGAGCATCGGCACAGGGTCCTTGGAGGCCCCAGTCACTGCTAGCAGACTCATAAGTGGGACTTCGATAGCAACCTAAGTTACGGTTACGACCGAAGTATCGAACTATGATTACATACAGCCGTCTCTGATGTTCGAGGTGGACAAGCCTATGCGGAGATGGCTTCGACCTCGAGTACCATTGCGTCATCGATCGGGAGGAGGGTCGTGCTCTTCGGAACAGAATTTGTTTCATAACAGCCGAATCTCAGGTCCTCGAGCCTCAAGGTTTCATTATCAGAAACCACGACCCTGAAAAAGCAAGGGAATATTAACTTTGTATTGGGAAGGGAGAAAAGAACAAGAATCGGTGGATGAAATGACCAAAATCGGACGTTCGGTCTTCAGAATGTCAGAAGGAATCCTACAATGTCTTGATATCACTCAGAACCTTTGTGCCATGCTATGGGGTTTGTGGAGGCGTTTCTTTTCGACATTCCGCGCAGTCTATTCCCTCATTGTCTTCCTGGAGAATGTGTACGCGATCCCGTCGCGCAGGACAAATGATACCCCGAGCCGCAACTGCCCCATCACATCTTACATGATGTTTGAATCGCAGCGGATCTTCACCACGCGCTTCATGGATGGGTGCACAGGCGAACCGAGCAACCACGTCATCGCACATCTTTTGTAGCGTTAGCGTACTGTCACCTGGGAGCGTTGGGAAAACGTACCCTGAAAAGGACTGGAGCCAGTTATGCTGCGCTAAACTTTGAGCGAGAGGCAATTAGAGATAGGTGTGTGGCGATGGCTTATTCCTTCCGCACCAAATCGTTGATCGTTGCGTGGGGTCTCGGAATATCGGGTTTATCAAGGACTGCACTTACAGCGTGGAATAGAGAAGACAGACGACCAGCGACCCAATATATCACATCGGCCTCGTTACCGGACCGTAATCCGAGAATCTCGGAGCTTCTTAGGACCGCGTGGAGCAAGTACCTTCATTTGGTAAGAACTGGACGCATGATTCCTTATATTAATCGCTGTCTCGAACCATCCGGGCGGGACGGATCGAATCTCCCTCCGGCCGTGTGGACTTTGGCACCCGCCGGGAAATATTATTTGTGTTGAGAGTACGGACTACAGATCAATGTATAGGAACGGAATGCATTCCGGCTGGATTCGGTGCTGATCACAATTGGAGAAAATTCCTCGTCGTCAGCATGAGGCGGTCTCTTAAAAGCTCTCCCGGGGTCGGTTTGTATGGGAGGATGATTTCTAAGTTGCCTTCATCTTAATTTCATAAAAGTCTCATCTCTCACTTACGCATGGCTCGGAATTTCCGTTAATCATATCTGCATCTCTTTTAGTATATGTTGTTTGTCGTCGACTTCAAGCAGCTCTGCCGCTTTCGGGGGTTATAAAGGAACGATATTGAGTCTCTGTGGTCTGGTGGCCCATAACATTCAAAAAATCTACTAGAAGTCACAACGAGATTACGGTGGTCCCATGAGCCAAGGCTTCTCGGTGGCCTGGTCGCCTAAATGACAAGACCGCATTCGAACCTCCGTCATGCGCATGTCTGGCCAACAAAGACCAGCGTCCAGCTGAGTCGCCACACGATCACACTGAGGCCCATTCACGCGATGGACGTAGTTGGATGCACGCGACCCTGTCATTTACGACGTAAAGGTGACCAAATCGAAATATATGATGAGCGCTGAGGAGGCAATGAGGCCCTGTATTGGAGCATAGGGATACTTTAGACTCGGCAACCGTGAGATCAGGGGGCCAATCCTCTGTTGGACACGCTCCGCCTTGGTCGCATTGAGCAGAAGGTACTGGACGAACAGAAGATACCTTCGGCGTCATCTCGACAGGCGCCTGTTCGTGATTTGAGAGTTGAAAGGCGTCCCGTCGTGGACTGTGTAGGCGGGAAATGGAATTTTGATCGGTCCTAACGCACGTATACGGTATATCTTTCGCAAGATCAAAGGAACTGGGAGAGGAGACATCGTGGACAGGATGATACCCATGGAATAATGGTTGAAGAAGCAGTGACAGGAGATATAACCTCTGGAATGATCCTTGTGGTCTAGTCAAGCTCAAATTATATCCCATCCATCCCAATTTCTCAAGAGCACAATATCGTCACACGGCGATTAGTTGCGTCGCCAGTTTCGGAACCCGGTACTACTCACCAGGGTCGTTTGTATCCGAGAAATGGTGCGGTTAAAAGCGCTAGCATCCATCGTCCCGAGCCGGGCCTCCGTGCAGTTCTCTAGCTGCATCATGCTGTTGCGAGCTTGACGACACAGCGGGAAAACGCAGATGTACGCCGAAACCGCCTGCATCATGCACTGTTTTGCGTTGTCATAGTTCCCCATATCTGGAAAGGCGATTCTGGAATGGAGATGTGACACGTTTGCCGACAGATTGAGAGAGAAGCGCAAAGAACAGTGACAGCGCCTTCTTGAGAGGAGGACGACATCGTGCAGGATGCAGTAATAGGATCAAGAGCACTAAACATGCGATATCACAACCATCGAGTCGGACAGGCGCAAACCATTACCTCCGAAAAACCATAGCGACCCCACTTTACCTTCACAACCCGCGGTCTCCTTCTCCAAATTTTCCTCTAAACAACACACCCCTCCGAAAATTCCCTTGGTAACCCACATCCCACGGTATCACCTACAATCAATACGCTCCAAACGTGGAAATAAGCGTCCTGCATCACTTCACCACCACGCGCCAAGGCCGTCGTGACAAAAGCGGTGAAGGTGTCTCGCAATCCCACTGGCTGCGGGCACCGACGCTCACTCCCGCTACACTTCACGGATGGTGATGCTATTGGACTATTGGGTTCGGTTGCTGTAGCGGCGGGTCGAGGGTGGATACGCCGGGCCGATGGATGAGGGAGGCCAGGGAGCGTCATTGGCGCGTGGGATGGAGGTTTTAGGAGAAAGGATTGACCAGTGAGGGGGGAATGTAAAATGAATTCTGGTGATAGGATACAAGATTTCATGGTGTATTAGGGCATGGGAGGAGGGTCTGATGGGATGACAGCTAACAGCAGCTGACAGGGAGTGTTCTACCATAAAGCCTAAAACCATGGGCATTGCACAAAGCTTCTTGTACGACATCATAAGAAAGCAGAAAAACATTTTTGTCCTGAGCCAAGGATACTATGCTTTAAAGGATATCAATATGTGCAATTTTGCATATTGAATTGAGGCGGAAATGTGTGTCGACAGGAGACCGTGCTGGACTGAATGGCCCACGGAGTGCCAGTGATCTACGGGGCTCCTAACCACATCGGTGACCGATGCTGTAAATTACCGCTACCAGCTCTCCGAAGGTTCAATTCACGACTATGAAGAAGTTCATTATTTCTCTATGAAGATAATAATAAGATTCGACATTTCTTTATGTCATAATCAACTAAAGTTAATGACATCCAGATCTTCGATATATCTCTAAAGGCACCTAATACCAATACTATACTTATAAAGAGAAGGTCTTTGAGCTCAAGTCATTTACATTCTGATGATTTCTTACCCTAGAAAATCACTGGATACAGAGTGCCTAAGGAAGTATTAAGGAGAAAGGACCTAACTTAGTCCTGGTCATACTGACTAGACAGAATAGGGGACATCCATACGGCTCCCAGCCCTCAACTTTATGCGAGACGGCGTAAGCGGCCGTGCCTCAGGGCTGCTGTCCAGTGTTCGGTGTCCACACCAAACGATGACCCCGAAAAGTACTGCCACTGGCTCTACTCCGTGTGCGTCGTCGCCACTAATTGCTTCCTGCAGATCGGGCTGTCCCTTATTCCCTTTCCTGCGGCTTCGCAGGAGACGTTCTTCCTGCAGGGACATCTACCTCAGTTTTCTCTTTTTCCTCCTTGATAAACCCTACCTGTGTCTTCAACTTCTGGACTGCGGAGGAGAGGACGACCGCTGACGTCGACGATCGGGATCGAAATTTTGACACCAGCCCAAAGGAGGGGGGATTTTAGCCCTTCCCGGAAGCTTGCAAGCATCCCCGACGCCAGAGACGAACCTTGTGACCAAAATCAAACCTCTCGCAGTCTCGCATCATCGAATCTCACCCATCACCCCTCGACTTGGGGTGCTGCAACCACTCGTTCTTCTTATCGTGCCTGCATATTCGATTCGAATCGTCCAGCTCGATTAGAATCAATCCAACAGCATCTCGCCTGGATCGATCGCGCGTTCGGTCCCAGATATCCGCCTTCCTCCACCTTTCCGACATCTGGTCTGGTCTGGTTACCCGCTCCGAACCATACCATCAGAAACCAGCCCTCCAGTCCGTATCAGGCAATTCCCTGCATCCTTCTCCCAAATCCCGTCACGAACGCGAGAGCCACTGCGCGATAGTATCACCGCCCGCCGAGCAAGCAATCGATCCGCGTTTCCTGGGAGACCACCCTCACTCCACCCTCGTCCGAGCGCCCTCGAAACCGTGCTGGATTTGTGAAGCGAGTCCTCCCCAAGCAAACCCTGTTGCGTCGCTTGTGGCACCGACGCATCCGCCCTCATTCGACGCATCCCCGCCCGATTTCCGCCCGCACGGCTTGGAGGAAACACAACCCGCGTGTGCGTTGCAGAAAGAATTCTCCTCTTGGTCCTTGCTCGCGAGTTTGCTGCGCTTTGGTTTCGCCTGCATCGCTGCACGGAGCGAAATCCACCGAGTTGCCCAGCTCCACATTCGCGACGCCGTGTTTCCATCGCGCAAATTCGTCGAACAACAGAGTCGGCGAGATTTGCAAAGTTTCTTTGTATCGTTTCCTTCAGTCGCATCGCTGCTTCGACGCATCGCCGGATCCTGCCAAATGATCGGTCGACTGGTTCCGGATTGCTTGTGCGCCATAGGAACGAATCATCGAAATGGCAGTCGTCATATTGGCAGAGGCGCCGGCGCCGTGGTACGGGTTAAAACAAAGTCTCCAGCTGGCGAAGACTGGAACGGTTGATGCCAAACATGAGAAGTGGAATGGCGATGGGTGGACGGTGGCATATGGGCTGTTTACATTGTGGACGCAAGCGTTGCACGATTTGGAGAATGAGCTGGCGCAGCTTAATGTTGAGAAGCGAAGTTCGGATGCGAAAGTGGGTCACAATCAATTTCCACGATGCCAGTTATTATTGTTCTTATATTACGGGATAACTGACTACAGTAGCTGAAACCCCTTCGACTTCCTTCACTGTTACCTGCATTCCCGACCGAACAAGAGAAGGAGGACGAATCCGAATATCCGGCTGATGTACCGACCGACTATACAAGTACCTCTACTCTGGCTACGGTGAGGCTCTACGACTCCCCCTTGTTGCTGGACCCTGGCTTCACCAATAGCTCCGAACCAAGCGACAAGCGGGACGAGACTATCGATTGGTCCGACCTTGGCGGTCTGCGCCAGTGCGCGAACAAGAAGAAGGCAAAACAAGCACAAGCGAAAGCGAAAGCCGCCAAGTGGTCAGGTGAAGGCGAGGAGGAGAAGAAAGAAGAAGAACCCGCTGGCGATGGTGGGGATGGGAATGATGCTGGCGATATGGGTGGGGGTGGAGGAGGTGGCGATGAGGGCAATGGAGATAACTGGGACGATTGGGGTAACTCCGGCAAGAAGGATAAGAAGGGGGCCAAGAAAAAGAAGCAGCAGGAAGAGGAGGCGGAACGGCTGAAGAAAGAGGAGGAGGAGGAGGAGGAACGACGGAAGAAGGAAGAAGAGGAGGAGGCTGCAAAGGCTGCCGAGGCGGCGAAGGAGGCGGATCCGTTGGACGATTTTGGCGGATGGGGAACCACGGCCAGCAAGAAGAAGAAGAAGGGCAAAAAGGGCCAGAAGGAAGACCCTCCTCCGGCCGATACGAACAAGTTCATGGACATCAATTTGGACGATGCCTCGTCTCCTAAGAACGGTGACGATGACGCACCTAAACTTGGTGATCTCGGTCTCGACAGCGGCAACACCAAATCGAGCCTCGACTTCGGCTCTGGCTGGGGCGGGGGCGGGGGCGGTTGGGGATCTTCCAAGTGGGGCCTTGGTGGCGCGGAGGAGAGCAAGCCAAAGACATCCACGTTTGGCGACAATTTCTGGGATAGCGTGGATGGCAACGACAATAAGAAGAAGGACGAGGAGGAGGACGCGGGCTTTTCTTGGGGCAATTCGACTCGGAAGAACAAGACCACGATATCTACTGGGTTTGACTTTGGTTTCGAGGAGGAAGAGGAGGAGAGTAAAAAGGAGGAGAAGGCTTCCGACCCTTGGGGGTTAGGCGGCGTCTCCAAGAAGGACAAAAAGAAAGGCTTCGGCTTTCTCGAAGATGATGAGCCCGATACGACCAAAGACGTTGCTGTGGCGGCTGCAGCCGATGGCAAAAGTTCGACCGATATCTGGGGTTCTTCTGGCTGGGGGACAACAACCAAGGCTGACAAAAAGAAGAAGAAGGGGAGGAACGCCATCGAGGAGTTCGAAGACCCCCCACCTCCCAAAGAAGAGCCCAAGGTTGAGGACGACCTGTGGGGTTCCAGTGCCAAGAAGAGCAAGAAGAAAGGCAAGAATGCCATCCTGGAAGTCGAAGAACCTCCTCCTTCCCCTCCTAAAGAAGAAGAGACCAAGATTGAGGACGATGGCTGGGGATTCAGTACGAAGAAGAGCAAGAAGAAGGGCAAGAATGTTATCGCGGAGGTCGAAGAACCTCCCCCTCCCAAAGAAGAAGAGCCTAAGGTTGAGGACGACGGCTGGGGGTTCAGCACGAAGAAGAGTAAGAAGAAGGGCAAAAATGTCATTGCGGAGGTCGAAGAACTTCCTCCTAAAGAAGAAGAACTCAAGGTAGAGGAGGATGACTGGGCAACTAGTACGAAGAAGAGCAAGAAGAAGGGCAAAAATGACATCGAGGAGGTTGAAGAGCCTCCTCCCGAAGAGGAAGAGCCTAAGGTTGAGGAAGACACATGGGGTTTCAGCAGCACCAAGAAGAGTAAGAAGAAAGGAAAGAATGTCATCGAGGAGGTCCAAGAACCCCCCCCTTCCAAAGAAGAGGAGCCCAAGGTTGAGGACGACGCCTGGGGGTTCACCACCAGCAAGAAGGGCAAGAAGAAGGGCAAGAATGCCATTTTGGAGGTAGAAGAGCTGTTGCCTCCTCCGAAAGAGGAAGAACCGAAGATTGAGGATGACACCTGGGGCTTCAGCAGCAAGAAGAGTAAGAAGAAGGGCAAATCAGCCCCCGAACCGGTCAAACCTGCCGAACCCGAACCTGTTCCCGAGCCCGAGCCTGAGCCCGAAATGACTTTCGATGATTGGGCGCCTACCCCGACTGTCGGAAAGAAGGGCAAGAAAGGGTCCAAAGCCACCAAGGCCCCGGATCCCGATCCCGAACCCGAACCGGAGCCCGTGAAAGTGGAAGATAAAGATGACTGGGGGGATGCATGGGGCTCGATCAAGTCAAAGAAGAAAGGCAAAAAATCCCTTGCGGTCGAGGAGCCGATCGTGGAAAAGGATGATCCGCCGAAAGTTGAGAGCAAAGCTGACAAGAAGAAGAAACGCAACTCCATCGCCAACGCATCGATTCCAGACGAAGATCCCCCTCCGGAGATTCCTGATATTGCCGAGGAGGAAGACAAGGGGGAGCCGGAGGAGGCTAGCAGCAGCTTCTGGGGTCTGACCTCCGGATTTTCTTGGGGTTCCAAAGGCAAAAAGGATGACAAAACCAAGAAAGCGGCCGCAAAGGAGTCGGATGATCTACTTGACTTGATCGGGAGTAAACAGGAAGACTCGCTTGAGAAATACACATCTCACGACAGCGCCCGAACCATGAAGCCCGATGCGGTTGACGAAGGCAATGGCGGCGACGACGACTTGTTCAGTTCTGGGTTCAAAACAACATCGAAAAAGGACAAGAAATCCAAGAAGACGAGCAAGTATGATCCGGTTGAAGTGGTAGACGATTACGCCAGTAAGATCGAGACCCAAAAGCCCGACGATGTCAAAAGTCAGGCGGATGAGGAGCCCGAAGGATTCGTCATGATGACCAAAAAGGAGAAGCGCAAAGCCGCTGCCAAGAAAGCGACCAAGGAAATCGAAGCACCTCCAGTGCCCCTGGCCGATGAAGTTGAAGAGGACGTTCCACCACCAAAGTCCGTTGAACCGCCGCCTGCCGACGACCTATGGGGGGCGCCCGTCAAAGGCAAGAAGGGCAAGAAAGGTGCCAAGCTGACGAAGACGTCGACCAAAGACAGCGAGAAGTCCAAGGTCGCTGAAGAAGAACCGATAGCTGAGGAACCCAAAGACATGCTCGATGAGCTTCTCAGGACCGACACCAAATCATCGACAGACAGCAAGAAGAAAAAGAAGTCAAAGGTATCCGATTGGGCGATCCTTGACGACCCTGTGCTCGAAGATCCCCCTGAGCCCGAACCCGCCCCCGAAGAGGAGAAGAAGAAAAAGAAAGAAGAACCCAAGAAGAGTAGTATGTTCAGTTGGGGCTCCAGCACAACACCGAAAGCGAAGACGAAGAAGGAGAGGGAGAAGGAGGAAAAGGAGCGGAAAGCACAGGAGGAACAGGAGAGGGAAGAACAGGAGCGGTTGGATCAGGAGGAACAAGAACGCCTCGAGAAGGAAGAACAGGAGCGGAAGGAGCAGGAGGAAACGGAGCGCAAGGAGAAGGAAGAGGCAGCGGAACAGGCCAAGCTCGCAAAGATGAAGCCGCTGGCACGCAGAAAGTATCTCAGGGAGAAAGCCGAAAGGGAAAAGGCCGAAGCTGCTGCTAAGGAGAAAGAGGAGGAGGAGGCCAAGGCCAAGGAAGAGGCTGACAAAGCAGCAGCGGAGGAGGAAAGAGCGGCGGAGGAGGCTTTGGCTGAGATCGAGAAGGAAGAAGCCGCAGCCACAACTGCCAAGGCGGGATCATTCTGGGGAATCTCGCTTAAATCCGCTAATAAAGCGGCTAAGTCCGACGCCACCAACCCCCTGTCGAAATCCAAGGCAGCAGCCAATGACAGGGAAGGTGCCACGGACGCGGGCGAGAACCTTCTAGGCGACGCGGACTACGACGCGCCCCATGCTGACGAAGACCCGCCTCCTCCCAAGTCCGTCGCCGATGACTGGGGGACTTTGACAAAGGCCACTTCAGCATCCAAAGCCACGTCCAAGAAACTCACCAAGAAGGAAGAGAAGAAGTTGAAGAAGAAGGCGCCTATTCCTGAACCCGAGCCTGAACCCGAACCCGAAGTGGAAGAGCCAGAGCCAGAGCCAGAGCCAGAGCCAGAACCTGAGGTCGTTGTGTCCAGCAAGAAACTCAAGAAGGGCGCAAAAGAAACGGCGAAGTCGAAGAAGAAAGAAGTGAGTCCGCCGCCTGAGGAACCGAAAGTCGAGCTCCCTGTCGAACCACCCCCGAAGACTGCCAAAGAAGTCGCGAAGTCGAAGAAGAAGAAGGGAGTTAATATACTACTCGAGGAATCGAAACTCGAGATCCCAGTCGAACCGCCGCGAAAGAGCTCTTCTCCTGTGCCTGGAGGATTCCCCGACGACGACGACGAAGACGAGGAACCTGCCAAAGAAGAAGAGAAAGAACTCGAGAAGAAAGCGGAGAGAATGCCTGCTGCTTCAGCGAAACTCGCCCGAAAGTCTACGCTCAAAAAGACCACCAAATCGTCGAAGTCACCACCGAACAACATCGCAAAAGCGGAGCCAGCTACGACAGAAGGAACGCAAGGGTCGGGAAGCACAACTGCGGTGGAGCCCGAAGAAGGCAAGCTGCCGACTCCGCCGCCAGAGATAGAAGAGGATCTAAAGAAACCATCCACCCCCGCCAAGAAAGAGCGCGCGCGGGTCGTCCGCAGTTCCAACACGGCGTCCTGGGGTTTCTGGGGCTCTGCGCCGAAGCCTGCCGAGCCCCGGAAGAAGTCCAAGGACGAGTCCGAATCTCCGCCGAAGGAAAAGATGGCGCCTCCGGCATTGTCGCGCTCGAAATCGGCCCGTCGGCCGGTGGATAAATCATCGAAGTCCACCGAGGTTGACGCCGGGAAATCGTCCGACGAGAAAGCGTTGCGACGCGCATCAACTGCCGCAACACCGAGTCGTTCGAAATCGACTCGCGCCAGCGGTGGCTTGTCGCTCTTCGGAACCCCAACGCCTCAGCGATCGAAGTCGACCCGCGAGCGGTCCGAGCGACGACGTGACTCGACCGCCCCTACCGGTCTGACGACTCCGCCGGAAGACGAAATTGCGGACAAGGCGGCAAAGATCATGGGTCTCTCGCAGAGCAAGAGTGCTAAGCAGCGGAGAAAGAGCGTCCCAGACCCCTATGCGTTGGACGACGAGGACGACGAGGACGACACGGAGGACGGGGACGATGCTGGTGTCGCTCATGCGGCCGAACCGCCCCCGATGTCTCGTGCAGATTGGATGGGAAGGCGAAAGTCAAAGCGGGAATCCAGGCTCGTCGACTCTGGAATGGAGGACGCCGCTATGGCCGACGTAGCACCCGACACTACTATAGGTGCCGGTGACTTCATCGCCGAGACCCCTCGCCGCGGCCCCACCGCCCGACGTGCCGGCAGCAGTGGCAAGCCCCGCGAGCCCAGCGTCTCAGGCGGTGGCGGCCTCATGAGCTTCTTCGGCATGAGCAGCGCCAAGAAGCGCGCTGCCGAAGCGCCCGATCGCCGGTCCCGCGAAAAGCCCACTCGTCGCGACAACCGCCGCGAGAAACCCTCCCGTCGCGCAACGACCGACGACGAAGGCTTCACCACCGACGCATACGGTACCCGCGCCACGACGACCAGCACCGACGCCGAAGAAGTCGAAGCCCGCCGCGCCGAACGCCGCGCCGCGCGCCGAGCCGAGCGCGAGCGCGAAGCTGAGCGCGTCCGCGCCGAAGAGGACGCCCGGCGCGAACGCCGTCGACGACGGGAAGAGGACCGCCTCCGTCGCGACGAGGAGGAGGCGGCCGCCCGGAAAGCGGAGAGACGCGCCGCAAGGGAAGAGCGGCGGCGGCAGGAGGACGAGCAACGGCGGCAGGAAGAGGAGGATTTGCGCCGGGACACCGAGCGGCGGGAGCGGCGGCGGGAGAGGGAGCGAGAGCGGGAGCGAGAACGCCCAAATACCGATCGGCGCCGAAGTTATGCGGAGCATCGATCGCGGACAAGCGACGAGGAGCGACGCGCGCGGCACGACGAGCGCAAGGCGCGGCGGCGCAGCGAGCAAGTTGGTCGGACGCCGTCGAGCCGGCGCAAGACGTCAGCGCCAGCGCCAGTCCCAGAGGGGGTAAGTTCGCGGCACGCGGGCAGCGACCCGATGCGGCCGTATCTGTCGTCGGGGAAGGACAAGACGTCGTCATGGGTGCATAGCGTGAATAGCTCGCCACCGCCGCCACCGCCGCTGGAAGGGACGGTGATGGATGATCAGCCGAATCCGGAGGCGGAGGACGTGGGGCGGGCGGTGGATGAGGAGAGTGACGGGGAGCGGTTGCGGCGAGAGGCGAAAGAGAGGAGGAGGGGCTATGGCAAGCGGGAGGATCGGGAGCGGGGACGGGATCGGGCGCGCAGGTCGACGCATTATGATCTGCCCCAACCCGTGAAGAAGTCGGGGGGGTGGTTGAAGAAGTTGGGGATATGAGGGATTGACGAGGGAATTACGAGGCTACATTTCTGCGGTACGGCAATGGGCAGTGGAGTTGGACGATGTGCGCACCCGTTTTCGATCATTTGGCTCGATCACGGTTTCCACGATACGGTGATGATCAAGGATACCCGGCTCATTCGTTTTGGGTATTTTCATTCGGTGCCGTTGCCATATTTCTCGTGGCGCGGTGGACCATGGCGGTGGCTTTTGGCCATTCCATGTATTTTTCTTGCTAACATTGATACCCATTTTTTGCCTTCGAGCACTTCAATTCATGCGAATTTTTATCACTGGTCAATTTATTGTGCATTCTCAGCGTCGATGGTTTGACAAAGTCGATACCCAACACTATGGTGTCTTCATCAGGCAAACCGTTACTGAGCTATACAACGCGGAACAATGTCATTTGAGTTATGGAACATTTCAAAGGTATCTAGTAGCCAGATCTCACCCAATGGATATTTGTAGAATTCAAAATTAATCAGCCCAAGCCGTCGTGCAGCACCTAAACCTCTACTAAAACCATCCCTTCACAAACCCCTCTCTCCCCTCGCACCCCAACTACTCCCCTCCTCAATCCTCTCCCTCCTCCCCAAGAACCCACGGTCCCCACTGCCTCTTCCCCTTCCCCTTCCCCCCCTCTTCCTTACCCAGCACCGAACACATGCTACAATCTAGCGTCGTCTTGAAATAGTGCTCGAAGCCCGGGAACGTCGCCGCGCAGCCGGGAATCATCTGGCGGGTGTAGGTCTTGAAGGGGATGGTGGCCGAGCAGGGGATGGCGAGGACGCGGAGGTGGCCGCAGGCGTGGTGGATGGCGAGACGGATGCACATGGTGGGATGGATGGTGTGGATAACTGGAGGTGGTTGATGAGTGTTTAAATCTGGTTAGGTGGGAGAAAACGTGAGGATAAACGTAGGGAGGATTGTAGTGGACGGAGAGATCCTGGCGTGATGGAGCATATATAGGCGAGAAAGAGAAGCTATGAGTCAACGTATGTCATGTCATAGATCACTATGATCAAGATCCCCCGTGAAGAAAATCGTCTGGGAATGGCCGAACACAAGGTACGTCAAATAGAACACAAGGAAGCAACCATAGTGATAAGCAACGTCGAATTCCAAGGGTTTGGTAATATGTATAGACGGAAACACCATCAATGAGTCACCCAAATGTCCGCTGAACGCCATGACAGAAATCTACCCGGGTCTCTATGCCGTCGCTCTAGGTCCTGTCTCGTCAATCCACGGCACGCTGAGAGGATGAGATTTAGCTTACGTGTATGTCACATCAACCTGTTCTCATCACTCCGCATCCGGGTCTGGCAAGATCCCCTCCTTCTCCAACCGCCTCCGCGCTTCCTCGATCGCCCATGTCTGGATGCTGTAACCAATTCCATCAGCCAACAGTCCCCTCAACCCCCCCGAATCAACAGCCCCTCTGCCGATGGGAATAAATCAACGTACCTCGTATCCGGCTTAAACGCATACGCCACCGCCAACAGCCCAAAGCTCCCCATAAACCCATAGATGAACACGTTCTCCCATCCCTCGCTCTCGTACTTCTGGCCCGGCTGGATTCCCCACAGCCATCCGGAAGGGGGCTCGTAGTGGGGCTCGCCGCCGCTGGGTCGGGGGAGGGTAGTGGTGAAGGTTCGGCGGGGGGTGGTGGTCGTGGTCGTGCGGGACCGGAGGGTGCAGAGGGCGGTGGAGGTGGGGCGGGGGAGGCGCATGGTTGGGAAGGGGGTGGTGTAGGCGGGTGGGATGGTGGGATTTGGAGAATAGGGAAGAGGGGCACGGGGCGATGCGGCGATGGCTGGATGGCACGCAATGGCTGTTGGTTGAATGAGATGACGGTCGAGGAGAGGTGAAGCAACTGAAGTCGTGATCTGAAGTGGCTGTTGGAAGCGGAGCTTACTAGCGTCGGGGGATCTTCGGATACTGAGATGACACCTCAGGCCGTCAGGCACTTCAACGTTTCACGTGCGTCACTGGCTCAGTTCCATTCTCATTTCGTTGCTCATGGTCATCCGAATACAGTACACCATCGATTGAGGCTTGAAGATTTTGTGTCACATCTCAAATTCCGATATATGAGGATCGTGCAAAAAGCTAATCTCCTTTCGATGAATTTCGTTCCTTCGTGGCTCAATTTGCCGACCCTGATTCGCTCATAGCCCAAGGCATCCCATATCTACATTATTCCCTAGAAAGCTGATTTACAAAGGCAAAGGGTAAGAGGCCTTGCTGTGAACCAGAGGTGTCCACAGCCTGCCTCTTTTAAACGCCATTGTCCCGAAAAGGGACATCCATGCTCTGCTGCTAAATGCCATCAGTCGTCCTTCCATTATCTCCCGTTCGTTCGGAACTCGTCACTCGTCACTCCTCAGTGTCGTCGTGATGGAGGATGTGACGGGCGTGACGGTCGTGACGATCGTCGAGTGTGTCGATCTGAAGAACTCAAGCTACCTAAACACATTGTTAGCATCGACTCGACAACGGTCATGAACCGGTTTACTTACTCGGACTACTCTCGGATCCATAGGTGTAATCGCTTCCCGAATACTCCGTCTTCGCATGTTTCCGATCATGCTTCCTCTTGAGACCCAGCGCGATCGCCAGCCCCGCCAGTCCCGCCGCCACCCCCGTCGCCCCTCCCAATCCAGTCTTCTTCTTCTCCGGCCGCGCCGGTCGGTCACCATACCACCGTCGACCCGAACCCCCCGCGGAGCTATGGCGATGATGGTGTTCCTCGATATACTCGGACCGTCGGTGATGGCGGTGATCCTTCTTCTTACCCAGACCCAGGATCGCCAGGACACCGGCCAACATGCCGCGCGCCACGCAGCACACGCAGATGAAGATGAGGATGGTGATCGCCGCGAGCACGCCGATGACGATTCCGGCGATGGCGCCACCGCTCAGTCCGCCGCCTCCCGTCCCGGTCAGGGGCTCATCGACGTTTGCGCCGGTCGCGACAGGCGGGGCGTACGGGACGGTGGTCGTGGGCGCCACGGTGGCAGTGGTGACGACGCCCGTTCCGCCGGTCGGACGGAGTGGGACCGACGCCGGGGGGAGGATGCCGGTGGTGGTGTAGCCCGCGTTACCGGCGGCGGCGCACTGATTGTGGTCGTAGCAGTACTGCCCGCTCGCGCAGCAGATGTCTCCGCACGGCGACTCATTGAGTTCGAAACGGCATGACTTTCCGGTTGGGGCGGCGGTCGCTTGGGCGCCGGCGATGTAGGAGCTGTAGACGGAGGTCATCGTGACCAGATCCGTTTCGACCCAGGTGGAGGTCCACGTTTTCCACTGTCCATCGGACCCCGATCCACCTGCTGGCGCTCCTTGTAGTTGCCCGCCTTGAGATCCGCTACTTTGCCCGCATTGCGCTTGGTTGTTCGAGTCGATGAAGCAGGCTTGGTTCGATGCGCAGCAGAGCTGGCCGGCCCATCCGCAGGGATTGGCGCAGGCTTGTCGCTTTGAGAGGGTGTGGTTCTGGTAGTCGGGGTGGTCTTCGATGATCACGTCGGTGGGAAGGGGGGATGTGGTGGAGAGTTGAGAGAGGGCGAGGAGAACGAGGAATTTGGGGAGCGATGCGATGCAAGGGGGTCGTGCCATTCCGATCGACTGCGCCCAGTGGGCGGGAATTCCGATCCGATTGTTGGAGGAATGTGAGCCGGATCGTGAACTGACGATGGGAAGTGGGAGTTTGACACCTCCCTAGGCTTTCTGAATGCGGCGAGATCGGTAAAGCACGTGGACAAGTAAAAAGGCTGGTATCAACGAGTGATTCTGTAAGGTTTGGTTCAACGGGTAGGTGAAGGAAGAGAAGCACAACAGTCGAGAAGTAGCAAGGAAATGCATTATCATGCTTCACTACGACCGACCACCCGATGCTTCACTTTGGAGGGGCTGGTGCCAGCCTCCGCATGTCCCACTTTTCAGCCACATAGTTTGACAGGGGTGTGCCTCGGCCGCTGCACGAACCATACCGCACTTCTATACCAGGCAGCAGGGCAGCAAGGCAGCAAGGCAGCAACTAGCAAGTCAGCAAGGCAGCAAGCCATTACTCCAGCCTTGTGACGGGAGATCTCCGCTACGTTGATTGGATCATGTCTCCGGAACGGAAAATCGTCTCCCCGAATTCATGGCAGCTCCTGGCTGACGCTACTCGTCCAGATTGATGTGATTGTGTCCGAAAACATGTCGTCAACCCCATAACATAATCCACCCTTCTTGCTGCCATCGTCTCTTTTCCCGTCATTCGCGATACCCTTGACTCCTTGTGCGACGCTTAGGTCTATTCAACTCCTCTCCGATCACCCACGTACAGCTACTACATGCCCAATCGCTCCCCCCTTCCCTCCAGGCCTCACACCACAACCCACCTAATTCAATCCACACGCCGTCCCGTTTCGAGGTGTCACCACTGATCTTTCGGCCTCGTTGCCCGTATTTACTGAGAGTTCGAATATAACCATGGATACCAACATGGAAGACGTCGGGAGATCCCCGGAAGTCCAACAAATCACGTCCAACTCCGAACCCGCCTCCATCAACACCCTAGACTCGTGGATCGACAGCCTCATGAGCTGTAAGCAGTTATCGGAGGCAGAGGTCGAACGGCTGTGCGATAAAGCTCGAGAAGTTCTCCAGGAGGAGTCCAACGTGCAACCCGTCAAATGCCCCGTAACCGTGTGCGGCGACATCCACGGCCAATTCCACGACCTGATGGAACTCTTCAAGATCGGCGGGCCCAACCCAGACACCAACTACCTCTTCATGGGCGACTACGTCGACCGCGGCTACTTCTCCGTCGAGACCGTCACCCTCCTCGTCGCCCTGAAGATCCGCTACCCCCAACGTATCACTATCCTCCGCGGCAACCACGAGTCCCGCCAGATCACCCAGGTGTACGGCTTCTACGACGAGTGCCTGCGCAAGTATGGCAACGCCAACGTCTGGAAGTTCTTCACCGACCTCTTCGACTACCTTCCCCTCACCGCCCTCATCAACAATCAGATCTTCTGCCTGCACGGCGGCCTGAGCCCGAGCATCGACACCCTCGACAACATCCGCGCCCTGGATCGGATACAGGAGGTCCCGCATGAGGGTCCTATGTGCGATCTGCTGTGGTCGGATCCCGATGATCGATGCGGATGGGGGATCTCCCCGCGCGGCGCCGGGTACACGTTCGGCCAGGACATCTCGGAGGCATTCAATCATAACAACGGGCTGACATTGGTCGCGCGTGCGCACCAGCTGGTCATGGAAGGGTATAATTGGTCTCAAGACCGGAATGTCGTTACCATCTTTTCAGGTATGCCACCGCTCTTGCGGCTCGCTCATCGATTACTAACGCGAAATAGCACCGAACTACTGTTATCGCTGCGGAAATCAGGCCGCAATCATGGAAATAGACGAGCACTTGAAGTATACTTTGTAAGTCCCCGTCGCTCGACTCCTCCATCCGCATCCTAACATCCCCCCCAGCTTGCAATTCGACCCATGTCCGCGGGCGGGCGAGCCTATGGTCTCCCGACGAACGCCCGACTATTTCCTGTGAGCGCGACGGGTATCGGTGGCATGTCACGAGTTCTCAGCATCACGAAGCATAGAAGATGTGTATACACTGCAGTTGAAAAACATTCACGTTGGGCGGAGAAGGATAATTTCTCCCGAGCATCAATGGTGTACCATCAGTAATGAACGAGTAACACTTCGAAGGAAACGTGGTTTTTTCTCTCGATCTGTGAACATGTGTAGGGCAGTCCTATTGATGTGTAGGTACAGGATGGTGTTTTGGAGTGGATGGAGCAGCTCATCCGTCGAGTCCGGAGTTCCTTAGCCAGCCGACGGGAATAGAAATCTACCAGTTCCTTCGGTAGTTCCTTCAACGCTGTCCTGGTCTTTTGCAAATAGCCATTCCCCACCCCCGCTTGAGGATCCAACGTCCGGCCGTTGACTGCGTGACGCCAGTTCTACTTGTTACAACACGAAGTGCCACCATCCTCCGCGCCCTTCACCATCACCGAATCTCCCTGCGCCCGATCTCATAGGCCTCCAGATCCCCGTTGCCGTAGATATCCCGTCCCGTCGCATATCCCTCCAAGCCCCGAAAAACATCTTCACCGCACCACCCAGCTCCGTTCCCCAAGAGCCTCGGAACTCGCGATGATGTTCAGAGGCGACGTGGAGCCGATCGACATCCAACGGAGGGAATAGAGAGACTATCTTCCGCCTGCGCCATTGGGTGAGGATGGTTGCCGTGGCATCGTGATGGAGTCACATGGTGACGTTCCCGGAGATGCGGAGGACGGGGCAGTGCCCTTGTCAACGGTGGGTAGAGAAGGTAGGAGGGCAAGGTCTGGGGCGATGGGAGGAAAGTGCTTGAAAATGTCTGCGACCTGTTTCGTTGGCATCGACAGGATAGAGAGCGGAGGTAGACATGCTCGGTACTCGATAACATCGAGAAGGGCAGTGTCTGATATTGGAAGATCTTTTGGACGAAATCAAGCTTTCGGGTTGGAGTGGGGTGGATGACGGCTTTTGTGTCTCGTCCAATTCGGCCGAGCAGGCACTCGGTTGTCTAATTCTCTTGCCTGGAACCAAACTCAACGCCGTGTAGCAACACTGGGCTCGTTACAGGGGATCTGTCCTACGTCGAGATCTGAGACAATATCCTCCTCTTTCATAGCCCGTCCATCGCCCGAACGTTCCTTTAGAGGCTGGATAGAGCCGTTTTAAGCTTGCACTTCGGTTGTAGCTGGGGTAGCATCCAGGAACCATTCTTGAACACCCCTTGATGTCGACAGCATGTAGATCCCCGGATTCCAAAAGGCGCCGAACGAGTAACATATAGCGCCCCCACCTACTATTAGGAGACTGCCATCCTTAACTAGAGCAGCCCCGTGTCCGACAAGTAAAGGTCTCTGAGTCGGTCCAGATACCAGTGGAAGACGGGTGAAGTGCAGCGCTTTGGATATACAAACAACATCATCCATCTCTGGTATTATGCCGTTCGCTCCCACCCCGCCAATGAGAACAAAGCCTTTGTCTGACGCAACAAGGCTTGCACCAAACCGTGTCCATTCAATCTGTTTCGGGAGGACGGATTCCGAGACTCTCTCTGCCAATACTTGCAACCCATCCAGCGTCCACCTCCAGCAATCATGGAACACGGTGCCAGAAGCAGAAAGGCCTCCCATCAAGAGACCATCGGTCAACCCGCTGCATGCCATCGTGGCGCTAAATCTCGGCTGGGGCTCATCCATGGGGCATGTCAAACGTCGCCAGCCGGACGACCCAGTCCACAGTGCCCATTCGCCAAGCACTATGCCATCGCCAGTCCTGCCGCCGAAAACAAGGACGCCTTGCTCGGTGGGTAGATGGACTGGGACTGCGCAGTGTCGATATCGACCCGGAGTGAGGTGTTCAACGGGAGTCCATTGATCTGAGACTCCAAGCCAACATGCAGATCGTGCTTTGCTCGGGGTTGTCCGTCCACCGACACACAAATAGGTGTCGGGACCGCATTCCGTTATGGTGTGGCTGGACAGACATTCTGGAGGGCCGGGTAGATCAGGAGCTGGAGAACTGCAGCTGTACGTGTCGTAGTTCCCCTGCTTCGCGCTTGAGGTTTGGCCTCCGTGAAAGGAGACAAGCTGCGCACTGTGGGGTATCACTGCCCCATATCGTCGAAGCCCAGCGCCTTTTGGCGCCTGGAAGTGCTGCCATGCAAGAGCGCTTTGGACTGGCGGCGCTTCAGCACCCAAATGATCATTGTGTTGGGGCAATATGGGTAACAGCGGGCCTAAATCGTAGTTCCCGGCAACCAACACGAAATAGTGCGCGCCAAACAAGGCGAACTCCTCCCACTCATCAAATTGCTCCACCTTGTCCAGCGCAGTCCTCTGCTCTCCCGAGAGGAATTCATCATTTTGCCAGAGGTTCCAAAGGTTCTCAACTTGAACGGACGTCCAGCCGTTTTGGCGGAATCGCGCAGCCTGGGCAGCGAGCGACGGGCATTTTCGGATCTGCTTCAGGGGCGCGGTTTTTTCGAAGTGGTTGAGCATCGCCTGCGCAAAGGGATGGCCTTCCCCATCGGGGAGGTACTGCTCCAGGATGCAGAAACGTGCTGTGAGTGACATTAGCTACAATCTTGGTCCCGTGGGACATGGCTTTTGGAAAGTTCATACAATTTGATATGCTACTGAGCTTATCGATGAGCGTATTCGCGTAGTTATAGTCCACGTACGCTAATGATACCTCGGCAAGAAATATGAAATGTCTTCCATGTAAACCAAGTTCATCCGTTAATATTTGCTGAAGTCGCTCCGGATGCCGCAGATCGCAGCCCACTGCATAGTATCCTTCTTCCGTTTCAAGACTGACGGCTTCAGAGGCCGTACCAGTCGTAGGTGTCAACCCGAACAAATTCTCCCTTCGGATCTTCTCCGCCTTCCGCTGGATAAGACTCGGATAGTCTACGTCGACGAATACGCAGTCCCCGCATAGCTGTGGTGCTTTCCATCTCGTCCGAAACGGAAGAGTATCATAACCGCATCCGAGATTCACAACAGCTACCTGTTTTCCTGCCTGGCGGCACTCCTCCAAAAATCGCAGGACCACGAACTCAATCGCGTGCACACGAAGCCAGTAACCCCTATTGATGGCCGGAGCTCGCCTCTTAAACTTTGGAACAAAATGATGCAAAAACTCCGATTCGTCGGCATTGTAGAGCCTTTCAACGCTGCGTTTAGAGACAATGCTGTAGTCATTAGTGCCGATGATGGCTTCATCACGGCTCGATGCCTTTATAGTTGAAGAAGTCTCCATCGGACGTTTCATTGTGATCTCCAGGCAACTCTGGACAAGGGGAGGTTTAACACTGGTCTATCACGAAGCAAAGCCCTAGCTCTTTTCAATCAAGTCCTCCATGATGATTTGCAAGATCCATCAAAGGTGCCATTCCTTCCGAGTCTCCAGTCAAGAAAGTCTAGGATGGACAAATATTTTCGTCATTCGAATTAGGTGATTAACCTGAGTACGGCGGGCTAAAGCTACCAATAGCGACATCTACGGACATCTCTCGTAATTATCGAGCTTCTGGAACTCCACCACCATCGAACCTCGAACAGGCTCCCGCCACCTTCCACCTTCTGACAAAGACAGAAATCGCATATTTGAAGGTTTGGCTAAATTAAATTTCCTGGATAAGAGCAAGGGATATTCTCTTCGCGACTTTGGCATCGCAGAGCTCTCATATATTGTCGTGAGGTACTTGCCTCCCAACAAGTAGGCTATCCCAGCCGACTCCCGTGAAGCTGCAACCTTGCGATATCTTGACCGAATTAGGTCTGATATTGGCTATTCATACCTCGACGCCATCATGGCGCTCAATTATGTTACCTTCAATCAAGACTATAGTTACATATCCGCTGGTTTGTTGCGCCTGCTCATATTCAGTTCGACGTGTTAAGGTGGATAGGAACTACCAAAGGATTCCGACAATACACCACCGAGCCATTTGAGAAGCACTTTGAGACCAATGAAGGAGACATCTCCCTTGTCGAGATGTTGTTCTCCACGTCTCTGGTGGCGTTAGTATTGTCTCCGCGATTATTGCGGATACAGAATACAAAGGTAAAGCAATCCATACTATACTTCCAAATCCACTGATCATCTCTAGCGTCAATCGACAATATGCGACCTCACCTTTCCGTCACGTGTTCTTGCCGTCCGTATGAACAGAAAGCGCTTAGTTGTGGTCCTTGAGGACTCCATTTACGTCTATGACATCAGTAACATGAATTTGATTCGCAGAATTGAAACTTCACCAAATCCACACGGTAGGACTACCTGAGATAGATTGGGTTGGTCACTGACGAGGTACAGCTATCTGCGCACTTTCATCGTCATCAGAGAACAACTACTTGGTATATCCGTTGCCTCAGAAAGTGGCCCCTTCTCCATTTGCTCCGCCGTCACACACCCCGCCGACTGGGACACATGTTGCCCCAACCACTGGCGAAGTGATGATCTTCGATGCCACCAAGATGGAAGCTGTGAACGTCGTCGAGGCACATCAGACTCCGTTGTCCTGCGTGTCATTGAACGGCGAAGGCAACTTGCTCGCGACGGCGTCCGAGAAGGGGACGATCATCCGCGTCTTCTCCGTTCCGCTCGCGCAGAAACTCTTCCAATTTCGGCGCGGCTCCATCCCCGCCAGGATCTTCAGCATGTCCTTCAACGCGACTTCTTCGCTGCTCTGCGTCTCCTCCGCGACGGAAACCGTTCACATCTTCCGATTGGTCTCTCCGCAAAAGGCATCCAGTCGACCCGGCTCGGCAACTTCCTCACCCCGCTCCCCGACCTTCTCTCCTACTCGAGACCGAAGCGCATCGATCAGTAGCGAAGACCATATCGACTCAGGGAGCATGGATTATGAGTCGATCGGTGCCTCTACAGCCGCAGCGGAAAGGAAACCGCTGAATCCCACCCTCGCATCGATGATTCGAAGAACGTCTCAGAACATGACCAAGACTTTCGCTTCCTCCCTGGGGACCTATCTTCCAACCGCCGTCACCGAGATCTGGGAGCCGCAGCGCGACTTCGCTTGGGTCAAGGTTCCGCGGAGCACTGCACCAAATCTTGGGGAGGGTGGTGGTCCGGTTCGAACTGTTGTGGCGATGAGAAACAATACCCCACAGTTGATGGTCGTCACAAGTGCTGGGGCTTTCTACGTATACAATATCGATTTGGAGAAAGGGGGGGAAGGGGTTTTGGAGCACCAGTTTTCGTAAGCATTTTCACCTTGTCATCATCCAACGCATGCTAATACAGACTAGGTTTATTGAAGCAAATGATAGGCTAGGACGGTCATTATATGAGGAGTGATTTAATTCGACGCATAGACAGGCGCAGGGAATAGGTTTAATGATTTCGCAACGCACGCAGCCGCAATTGAATCAGCATTCTAATGCCTTCTTACATACTGAAAGAACTTCTTGTTAACTCTCGACTTCCCCTTAGCCTCAGCGAGCCTGCTGTTTGATCCACGAGACGGCCTGAGTAGTGGAGGTTCCAACATATCCCAGATGCCCAAGGCTGATAGAAAACTCCCCCTTGCACACTCCATCAGAGGAAGAGCAGAAGATTTTGATCTTGCTGGAGTCGAAATCCGCAATCGGTGACCCATTGAACGGATCTCCAAATGTGACAACGCCCTAAAACTATGGTCAGTGGAACCCATCCAATCGAAGGAATCGGGAGCGCTTACGATAACCTGCTTGCGAGCCTCGGGTCGTGCAAATGCCACTGCCTCACGGGCAACCATGGCACCCTGGCTGTAGCCCGACATGAAAATCTTCTGCTCTGGGCACTGGGCCACGGCGTTCTCCAGCATCTTCATGGCGATAATACCGCCTTCCATACCAAGACAGTTGATTCCGTCCATATCGGCGGGGTAGTCCACACCATCGACGGTGAAATCTCGCCCGCTGAGTCCCGAGCTAAGCGACGGACCGACGGTAAATCCTAATTCGCCCATCTCCGTGGTACCCTTGGCGTAGATGACCCGATATGGGGTGCATGAGCTTCCACCACCAAAGAGTTGACGTTTTTCGGCATTGGCTTCCTCTCGCTTTCCGAATAGGCCGCCTGGAGCAGAAGTCAGTCCGATTCAACGTAGTTACATCGGGTGGGAACGTCAAGAGGAAATTGCTCACCGAAGAGCGAACTGAGACCGCTCGAGCTCGAGCTACCACTCCCACCGAGTAGACCAGCAAGACCACCGCCGCTAACGCTTCCAAGACCACTGGTTGAACTCCCTGCAAAGTCGCCCCCACCTGTGCCTGCAGAGTTACTTCCAGCGCTTTGCGTGCTTCCAGTGCTTCCAGTGTTTCCAGTGCTGCCAGTGCTCCCAGTGCTCCCAGTGCTGCCAGTGCTGCCAGACGAGTTGGATCCTGGCGTGGCCGGAGACTTGGACTCACAGCCTGCTACTGCGGGCAAAGAATTTCCGTCCTTATCAGTTCTAGAGCCCACTGGGATACGGCATTCATTGTTCAATTGAACGATATAGTCCGCGATGCACTTGTTACCCTCCTTACTACCCCCCTCAGGTTGATTGGGACCGTTCGGGTTGATGGGAGCTCGGCCGGTGGTGCGAGCGACGTCTGCGATGATGCAGCTCTGTCCTTGGCAAGATTCCCGGCTCTGAAGCTGCTTGGTCACGGGGGATGCGGCTGCCAGAGCAGCAACGCTCGTGAGGAGGACCGAGATTTGGACCATTATGAAAAGAATTTGGCAAGTCAAATAAATGAACGACTGACTGCGGGAAGCACGACTAAAGGAACGACTTCAGAAGGGACAGGATGAAGATGGACAGGTGGGTGAGAATCGAGGCATGAGAATCGAGGCATGCTACGATATATCATCTGGCTCGCTTTATTACAACCCACATAATTGCCAACAGGATTCGAGAGCAATAACCAATGACGCCTGATCTCACATCTCGGTATCTCTGGGGGAACCCGGGCGGTTTCATGTATAAATGAAAGCATTGATGCGGACAGAGATTGATTGGGAGAGGATCAATCGAGGCTTTGGATGTCCGGAGAGGAAGTCCCAATGTGTGCGATGCTAAAATATACAACTCATAGAATGTTAATTAAATTGATTAGGTATGGTACCTCGTCGGATGTCACTCCAATCGTACTGGGCGGAACGATCCGGCGAGGATATGGGTTGGGAAATAACAAGAGACATTGTGGAGACATCTTCAGGGAATGAAGCCGATTTGAAGCTTGATCTTTTGGACACGGCAGTAAATCCCCGTGGACCAAGTGATCCTCCAGGATGCACAACTTGGCGATATTCTAGTCGCCTGAGTCGATAGCAAGGAAAAGCAGCCAAAGGGAGACGGAAGTGCACAAATAATGAACAGAGTCGGATCCAAATCGTTGGGTGGATACTGAGTCCCAGCCCAATTGGTTCGGGCGATATTGATATGGAGTCGAGCAAGACGTCGCTGCCTTAGTCGTGCCCCAGACACAGTGCAGATTAATTAGCAGCCTCGGTAGGTTAAGCATTTCGGCAGCCGGAACGGGGCTGATGCCGTTTAAGGAATAATACCAGGAATATTTTAATAGACGCGTCATGTGAACCGCTATACACAAATAAATGAAGTTGTAGATGAGGTTATGATGAACGGATATTAAGGGGGCGTGAGGCCAATTGAGGTGAGACATAGATAGACGTCACAGTCGTCGGGTGAGTGGAGGTGCAGGTCTTGGGTGGAGACCTCAGGCAACAAGGCATTCAAAGTATGTGGAGGTGCCGTCTGGTGTGGGCCTGTGGGGGGGGTAACGCGTGCACGGGACTTGCCGAATATAACAGAAATGAATATGTATTACATATTTGCCAAGCTCCAAGGCTGGGGCCTTCAAGCTGGGGCTTGGGAGGCTGCACGCTGCAAGCTGTGCTCCTCCACTCCCGCTGCACTGCGTGCTGTAGCCTACAAGGCGCCAAGGCCACAACATGTATGACGCACGCGTGGGGAGCTGGCTGTTGATCCTCAACGTTCGAGTTTCGACATATCCGTAGCAATCTCTCGACAACCGACTCATACAATACCACATTATCGTGTTTCTTCCTGGAATATTTCAGACTCTTTCAAGGTCTATTGCTCGGACATTGCCCGTCTTCTACTTTGATCTCTCTATCGACAACTACGCATTCCTGGTCGGTACCGGAGCTGCGTCCCACCATCGAAAATACCTGAACATGGCGCCCGCAAATCCGTCTTCTAATCCCTTAAATGCCTCTTCCCTCTCGAGGTATATGGCGGCAAGCCTACCTCCCCAGGCATCACCACAGCTAAAGGGGCCTGTCGATGCCATAGCGCTTGCCGTACATGCGGCGATGATCGCGGTGGGATTCCGGCTGCTTGGCCTTGGGGAGGACCACCAGATTGGTAAGCCTAGAAAGAATCAATATAGAACAACGCTAAACTCAGTTGTAGAAGCATCTTCGGACTCACAGGAAACACAGCCGCTTCCAGAGCAATGGAACGCGTCATCCGCGCATGCCTTCAGATATGCCCACCCGCAGTCGTCCTTGGAATTCCTCATCAAGGTCAACCGAATAGGTAGTAAAGTCGTCATTCTGGGACTGGCTGTTGAAGACGAGAAAGTCTGCCAATTTGACGTCAATATGAAGGACTTCGTCTCCGAGTCATCACTTCCTTCGTCTCCGCTTCCAACCGGCCCAGAGGCGCCAGAGAACAAGGAGGAGCGGATCAAGACAGCACAAGACATTCTCAAAGGCATATTCATCACTCCTGCTCGCCTCCAGGATCTAGCCACGGAGTTTAAAGCGTCCATAATTCAAAAACTGGCTCCTGGAATCCATAAGGAAGGTTACGAGGAGGCCCCCATAACCTCAACTGGACGGCGAGACAGGCCTCAGCAAGATCCGGACGAGCCACAACCAGCTCGGCCGTACCCGTTCCACGACCCTCTAGCCGTACCTCCACGCCACCCACGAGGACCCCTACCCGAACCCATTCCAGGCTTTGAAGACGAGCACGAAATCAACCGGCCGCCACGATTCGGCCCCGCAAATCCCATGGGTCCATTTGGGGGTCTTGGTGAGCGCGACCTCCACCCACCTGGACTCGGACCCCATGATCCGTTACGGCCATATCTCGGCGGCCCAGCAGGCGGTGGGATGCATCCGACATTTGACGATCCGCTATTCAGAGGTCAAGGAGACAGGCAGGGGTATGACCCTCAAGTTCCGCCTGGCTCACGATATGATCCCGTAGGACCTGGTGAGGAGCCGAGAGGGCGTGACGCAGGCGGTAGGTTTCCAGGCGGTGGGAGGTTCGGTGGAACGGGTGGACGTCCGCCAAATCCGTTCGGTGGCTTTGGGGACGGCGACTTTATCTGAACCAGTAGACAATTCAGCGTGATGCCACTAATTTACCATTGAGTAAGAGCTCAGTAGACATGGTCGATGTCATATTTTCCTGGAGCGTTCGTAGGTTCAATCAGATGTCATCTTCATTAAATCATCCATCGAAGGCTCCAATGCTAGGACACCCATCTGTATCTTCCATCTTACGACTTCCATTCGTTATTTTAATCGCATCCCATCTTCTCGCCTTCAATTTTCTCCTTTCAGCCTACCAACTCGTGTCTTCCTTATTCAACCGACGCAACCATCCTTCACAGCTCCGCTGGCTACCTACCGGCCTACCTCTTCACATTTCCCTCCACCACTCCTCATCTTCCCTCTTCAACCATTTACTCCTCGTGCTCGATCTTCTCCTCCCCTCTTCAAGCAACCGCTCTGATCTTCCTTCTCTTTAACCGCTACTTCTCAACCCTCGTCAACTAACTATTTCTCAATTCTCATCTTCCTTCTTTCTTCAACCAACACTTGCCGACTTCTCACTTCTCATCTACCTCGTCTACCTCTCCCCACTTCTGTCTTCAGCTTATCACTCTCCATTCCTCTAGCTACGGCACTTCCGACGCGCAGCTAGTTGCACAGACTGTGACTATACGCCACCAAACATCTGGATCACAACATCTTCGATGTTGACCAAGGCCAAGTAACTAAGTGATATCACTCAGAACTCGGCTACTTGAGAGCCGGACCACGCTCGTTGTCGCACACCGGAGTATCTGCGTCCAATGGGCGAACGAGATTGCGAAGTTCTGCAACCCGAAGGTATTATGAAATACTCTGCTTTATCTGGATGATGAGAAGAAAATGTTTGACAATGACCAAAGTGGAGTTGAAAAGATGGGGGATAGTACAGAATGGTGATCACGGCCTATTAAACTGTCCAAAGGTCCTACCCAGATTGGGGAAACTGATTCCAAAAGAGCTTAGGACCAGTTGAAAAAAGAGGCAATGGGTTAAAGCCAACTATTCAGCGGTATGGTAAGGGGACTCCTCTATCGGATGCCGTTCTGCCGAGTCGTACTTGATGAAGGCCAAGCCATCAAGAACTGGGAGTCGAAAACGACGCAGGCTTCTCAGGCCCTTCTTGGGAAATACCGCTGGGTTTTATCAGGAGCGCCAATCCAGAACAAAATCGAGGAAATTTGCCCGCTCTTTAAGTTTCTGAAAATCAAGGTGGCCGGAAGCCGCCATATCTTCCTCCAGAAATTTATCGGTGGGAAGACTCTACACTCCAAGGAGATGGCTGCCGGGAGACTCCAAATGATAGTTGGTCGTATCATGGTGCGACGCACGTTGGCAGATAGATTCATGGGACGATCTTGGTAGACCTTCCAGAGGCTGAGGAACGCGTTATGAGGGTCAAAATGGATCCCGTCCACCATGCCGTCTACGAGATTGTCCGCATCCGCATGCAGATCAGGGTAATCGCCCTCGTAAAAGAAAGTGGACCCCTAAGTTACCGCACTATGTTCGTCATGCTCCTTCGCTTGCGTCAGCCCTCCAAGCACCTTCTAGCCCTTGAACTTGCCATGAAGGATATTCTCAAAGAGGAAGATATCGCTAAACTTCGGGATATTGCGAATGAAGAAGTCGGTGAGCGACATGGGGATGGAAGAAGGGATTACATCCTCCACCTCCGCAAGGTCCTCCAAGACTACCAAAGTAACTCGAGATGAGGACGCAGGTGAATCTGGCGCCACCTCCGCTGCGGAAGACGATGACGACCCTTCTACCGACGACGATCCTGAAAATCAAAAGCATGGGCTGGTCTTTCACAAGGTTCGGTTTCAGCAAATAGGCCACACAATCACGATACTGAACCCTACGAGCAATTACGAAGATCCACCTGCCTTTCTGTATGGACAGCGTAAACAGAAGGCCAGTGCTTTATATGTTGGTGAAGACGGCGATGATAGCGATATGCACACACTGAGGATAGGACAAGTGAAGAAGAAACAAAGGTCGATGAAGTTCCGGGCAGTGAACTGGCTCAAGTTAGGTGGGGGAATATTGTCGAGTCCCAAGACCATTGCCATCAATGATCAAGGCTCAACCCCCCCGCATGGTTCAAGCAGACGCCGAATTGCAAAGTTATCATCCACGGGCAATTCCTTCTGGTCCTCGCCATCATGGGGAAGATATGCGACGAGGAGGGTTGGGGTAACGTTCATGTGAGTCTAATATCAACCGCTACGAGATTCCTACTGATTCGAGTATTAGTACAATGGCCAGCTCGGCCCGAAAATGGGGGAGAATGATCTCAGAGGCTTTGCAGAAGATCCGGACCTGCGAATTCTTTTCTGCACCCTCCAGAGCGGCGGGGTTGGCCTGAACTTGACCATGGCAACCCGCGTCATCATCTGTGATCCATGGTGGAATTGGTCGATGGACTTCCAAAGGTTCTGCCGTGTGTTCGCATCGGGCAGACCGAACGCACCTATATGACGCGCTTCACTGTGGAGGGAACCATCAACGAACGAATTCTGGCGATGCAGGAGCGAAAGGAGAAAGTGATCGTTGGCGTGATGGGCGACGTCCCGGATTGTGATCCGAGGAATATGGATCCAGAGAGGTTTACGGCGCCTTTTGCCGGCAAGGATAGGAATCCAGAGACGGATGAACGCATCCAAATGACAGACCTAGAGAGTGATGGGGAGGGGGCTAGTGATGAGCCCTGAGTTGTTCGAACGCACACCCAGCACCGCCCGACGGCCCCAGAACAGGTCGGTCAGACGTCGAAATGCCCGCTTTAACACCCCCACGAGGCCTGTCGAACACGATCACTAGGGGATTCATCTATTTGGGGAAAGGGCGCGGGATGGGGGCGTTGGGGTCAGTAGTGGATTTAATGGGATATCAGGGAACACGGTTCACGGTTCAATCATTTAGCATTCTTAAGGTACACTAACTTAAGTAGACAAATGTCTGCACACACCCCCGAAAATCACCAAATCTAATCGCTATACACCGTATCTTGAGATACGCTGCAAAACACATACAAATGCAAATTCAGTCTA